AGCTCTACCAGAAGTGAGCATCCCTGACATCTTCTTTGCTCATGAGCGGGGAGCGTGGATGTCTGTCTACGTCTTCACCTTGTTCGGATTCAGCTTTGTGTCTCCTCTCGTGGCGGGCTTCTTCACCGAGGCATATGGATGGCGATGGACCATGAACCTCGGCGCCATTGTTGCCGCCGTATCGTTTGTCATCCTCTTCTTCTTCATGGAGGAGACAATGTACTTTCGACCAACTCTCGAGGGTCTGGAAGATGAGACTCGGCAAGTAGACGAAAAGGCTACAGAGCCTCGAGCAAGCACGGAGGAGAAGAAGAAGGAGTCAACCGTCACAGACCAGAAAACGGGCACCTCATACGAGAAGAAAGATTACATTGAGAAGCTGAAACCCTTTGTCAGAACGGAGGGACGGCCGACAAAGACGCAAATGTTCAAGTCCATGGTGTGGCCCATTGCCATTCTTTTCCAGTTCCCAAGTATTGCCTGGGTTGGCCTCATCTACGGAATCAGTCTCTCGTGGTACAACGTCATCAATGCCACGGTGAGCCCCATCTTGAGTTCGCCGCCTTACAGTTGGTCTACTGGGGCCGTCGGCCTCATCTACGTCGGCCCTTTTATCGGCGCTGCCCTTGGAAGTATCTGGGCCGGTCACATCGCTGACCGACTCACTCTTATACTCGCACGCCGTAACAAGGGCATTCGCGAACCAGAGCAAAGACTGTGGCCCTTGGTTCTCGCGGGAATTCTCTCCTGCATCGGCCTCATTATCTGGGGCGTCGGTGCTGCTCACCGGGCCCACTGGGCAGTTTTGGCCGTTGGTCTCGGCATCCTGATCTTTAGCTGCGTTGCTGGCAGCTCCATTGTGCTATCGTACAATGTCGATTGCTTCAAGGATATGAGCGGAGAGAGCACGGTGTCTGTTATCATCGTCCGCAACACGCTTGGCTTTGCCATTTCCTACGGCATCACACCGTGGTATTCTAATATGGGTTTGCAAAACTGCTTCATCATGGCGGGCTTTCTCTCACTGGGATGCATGAGCACGTTTTTGTTTATGATTTGGAAGGGCAAGTCGCTGCGTCGACGATGTGCCAAGAGGTACTGGAGTTACGCCGAGAAGGGCATTCATGCTGCAAATTAGAGAGCTGCGAGAAGTGCGTGATTTAACACTACAATTAAGTGGTTTCAACAGTACAGTTGACAGATAAGTGATTGAATACAGATGCATAACTATGTCCTAGGCATGCTTGGCAATGGCAGTGTAAAAGTGGTTCTCACCCGTTCATGCATCGTACCTTGCTTAGTGCTTGCGTCACAGTTGGCTGATGTTTGAACAAGGATTAAAGATGCGAGTCAGGCGATATTCTTACGCAAAAGTGTTTAGAAATATCTTGGCGACCTTCAATTGACAAATCTATTCTATTCTATACCATGCATCTACCAAAAGCAATCAGCTTAGTAGTACCGTAGGAATATTTCCTGATAGAGTAATCCTCGTAGCTTAGATCGCAGAGTGCTCGGCAATCAAGTTGGACGAGTTGGGCAGAGAATCGATGCAGCTGCGATCAATCTCATCGATCTTGACAAATCCGCCAACTTCCATCAGAATGTCGAATTCCGCCAACAGACTCTTCAAGACGTGTCGCACGCCGTGCTCTCCGGCGATACTAAGGCCCCAAACCCAGAGACGGCCAATGAAGACGAATTTGGCTCCGATGGCGAGGGCCTTGAAGGCGTCGGCGGCGCTGCGCACTCCGGAATCGAACATGATCTTTGCAGTAATAAGTTAGTTATATATACATATCTATAAAAAACGGTATGTCTTACGTAGATCTTGTCGCCAACGGCATCGACAATCTTCTCCAGAGCATCCAAGCTAGAGATGCCTCCGTCGACTTGTCGTCCGGCGTGGTTCGAAACAACAATGCCGTCCACACCCCTGATAGAGATCTAAAGTCAGCTTGTCCTTTACAACATGGTAATATGCTAGAATCTGATGCAACTCACAGTTCAACCGCCTTCTTCGCATCTTCCACATTCTGAATACCCTTCAGGCAAAATGGCCTTCCTCCGCTAATCCTCTTCCACTGCGCCATGGTCCACTTCATCTTCTCCCAGGTAATAGCGCGACCATGCCAGATGTTCTCATCAATCCATTTCTGGCCCGCCTCCTTTGGGTTCTTCTTCGGATCAATCCCAGCCTCCTTGAGACGCTTTTGGAAAACAGGGTCCTGGAGACCAAGGTCACCTGCTCCGTGATCGTGGTAGAAGGCGTAGTTTCCGGTGAAGACGTCGTTGTGGCGCCAGCCGAGGGACCAGGTATCCGTCGTCAGCATGCAAGCATCGAAGCCGTTGTCAAAGGCTCGCTGGAGCATGGAGATGCAGAGCTCATCGTCGGGACTCTGGTACAGTTGAAAGAATCGAGGTCCAGAGCCGTTTGCTTTGCCGACATCTTCGATACTGTAGCTTCCAGCAGAAGACAGGCAGTACGCCAAGTTGAGCTCTTGGGCTACTTTGGCCACGGAAAGCTCTCCAGTAGGATGGTAAATGCGGTTGATGCCAATTGGTGCAAATCCAATGGGGGCAGACACGCGTTGGCCAAAGATTTCGGTTGCAGTATCTCGCTGGTTGGTATCAACCAACATGCGAGGGACGATACGGTGCCGATAGAAAGCCTGTCGGTTGGAGAGATGGGTCCAAGAAACTCCGGCATTGCAAGAGGAATAATACCTTTCGTATCTTATTAGTTACCTTTTCAATAAGAAGTTGTAGCCTCATCAACTTACCAGCCTCCCTGAGAAAGCTTTTCCTTGGCCAGCTTTTCAATCTCAGCCGGGTCTTGACATGTTGTTAGAAAAGGCTTATTGTGAGAGGGATCCTAAGAACTTACCAGTGTTGAAGATGGGGTATTTCCCATCGTTTGTGTTCCAGAAGGATTCTCGCTGATACAGCGACCACTGGGGAGTGGTCCTGATGGCGATGTTGGGGTTGTTGGGGTCAGACATTGTTAATAAGATGTTTTGGTCAGAAGCTAATTTGTTTGATTCTATTGATGGTTGGTGTTGTTGATGATGGATCTCTGAGTTTAGAGTTTATTCGAGATATGGACGATATATATATACATGTTTCTCATGTTACTGTCAATTCAGAGTTCTGACGATGCTGTTTCGCATCACCGCCGCCACAGAAACACCATCGAATCCCGAGCATGCTCCGGTTCTGAAGACTGAAAGCCAACTTCAACTTGGATGAAGCAAGAAACGAAGCCATCATAACGTCCACTTGACGTCAGCACGGTTAATCTTGAACCCTTTGGGACTGTAAGTATCTCGAAGTAAGCAGAAGCATATGCAACAGTATGAGGCTCAAAGTAGGCAGCTACTTCACCTCCTGAACCACTTGGTGATATTCTTCGGCAAGAAATTGCCTTTAGAAGCTGGACTATTTCTATATAAGAGCCCATCCCCAGACGGATATCCGCCTCCGTGGGCTGGCTGGCGGCCATCCTCTTATAATATGTCGGTTAAATGAACTGCCTAAATGCAGGTTCCATGATCTTACCCTAGATCGCGCCGGGAAACGGCAAACATTGCGGCTGTGGGGCATCTGGGGGTCAGAATCTCCGGAACTGCCTCAATAGAATCTATATATAAGGGCTGCATTTCCCATCTTGAATCAAAGAGCAGTTTTCAATTGCTTCCATCTCGACACTCCGAGTCATCAGCATATATTTTTGATGGCAATTTATCCGAAATCCAATGCAACATCTCTCTTATCTATGACATCAGCGGCTATCATGATCCGAGATCGCGGCTATTCCTGAATGGGCCTACTCTTACCTTAATCATCACTGCCAAAGACTTCTCATTGGCTTCTCGAAGACCAGAGTTTATGCCCGTAATTTCCGGAGCTTCATCCACAGCAAATAATGCAGTTTGATTATTATGCATTGGATCATCTCTTGGTGGATTTCTTCGTTTTCTGTCATTAAAACGTCTTTTCTACGCTGACAATTCTGAAAGCAGAAATCTGCCGAAGTCGAGATGAACAATCTTGCATTTCAATAGTTTCACCAGATGCCGGATTCTTCAAAGATGGCGGCCGCCTCTGCCCATGAAAATTTCTCGCAACTAGGGTGAGCCGTCGTGTTACAGACAACTGGAGTGATTCGAATTTTGCGTGACTCTCGCGGCCGAGATAATGTGACTTGGCACTGCTGTCGATCAGGGGACACGGACTCGGAGCTGCGCAATGCACCCTCTTCCAGCCTCTTCTTCAGCTCCGGAGGCCCATATACGAAGTCCAAATTGTGGCCATCAGACGACTCAAAGCATCGTGGGCCGAGCAGAAAATTTTCAATCTTCATCCTTCAGTGGAGATCACGTTGTTCTGCGTATCTAGAATACGGCATTGCGCGTTAATGCTTGTGCAGAGTGGGCATAATAGTGGACTCGAGTGGGAACGGGAGGCTTTGACAGCGATCCGCAAGCGGCAGATGCACGGCAATCATGGCCGGACATTCCGGTGCCATGTGGATCTCTCGAGACAAATCCATGACTCGGCGTGATGTTTGCAGAGCGAAAACGGCAATGGCTGGAAGAGTATCTCCGATGAATTTCTCCGCCTCAACCTCATGATAGTAGCAGTATCGAACAGGAGATGTACGAGTACACTATAAGGATGTGCTGAGTCCCATCTGGTGATCCAAACCACGGGACCGCTTGATTATTGAAGGCCGTTCTCCAGAGGCCCGCAAAGCCACCGAGATGGACGCGAGCGCACAAGCTTTTATACCCTCATGTGGGACTATCCCTATTGGAATCCCCTTTACTTGTACATTCCAAGTTATATCAGCATTACGACAGTTAGCTTTTGAAACTAGTTTATCTATCAGACATCTTCTCCTCCTTAAACCCAACTCCTGAATCCCTCATTACACCAATTGTGACTCAATCAAACCAATTGGACAAGTGTAACCAACCGCATGGTTTGCAACTAGAATCATGGGATTTTTCAAAAAACAAGCTACGCCTGCTGTGCAGGAACCCAAGAGGGACCATTCACCTAGCAGTGGAGGCTCTGAGTCTCACTCGTCCGAGGAAAAGGTCACTGTACTTGCTTGTGCTTTGGGAGCTGTTGCTTCCATTGGTGGTTTCATCTTCGGATATGTCAGGTAAGACACCAGAGTTTCAGTGACATGTAATCTGATTGATTGTATCTGACTCTTTTACTTCACAGTGGTCAAATTTCAGGCTTCTTCTTGATGCCAGACTATGCCAGCCGCTTCGGAGAGCTACAGAGCGATGGATCATACACCTTCAGCGCGGCCCGTCAGGGCACAATCGTTGGTCTCCTTTGTGTGGGCGCACTATTTGGTGCTTTGATTGCCGGCAAGATGGCTGATAATATCGGTCGTCGACTTTCAATCTCACTGTTCTCCTTCTTCATCTGCATTGGAACCATTATTGAGATCTCCTCTTCGTACCACTGGGTTCAGTTTGCCGTTGGCCGTCTGGTCACTGGTCTGAGCATTGGAGCCCTTTCCGTCGTTGTTCCCATGTACCAATCAGAAAGTACCCCGGCTGTCATCCGCGGTGTCATCATCTCATCGTACCAGCTGCTCATTACCCTGGGTATCTGGACAGCTGAAATGGTCAACTGGGGAACTGAGACCAAGGATTCTAGCGCCGCTTGGAGAATTCCCAACGGTCTCTCCTTTGCTTGGGCCCTGGTTCTCGGAGCTGGCATCTTGTTCCTCCCTGAAAGTCCTCGATATGCCTACAGCCGCGGTCGTGTTGATGAGGCTCGCCAGACTATTGCACGACTCTCTGGTCTCTCACCCGACTCCGACATTGTCAACCACCAGATCGCCGATATTCAGGCAAAGATTGACGAGGAGAGCAAGGATGTGAATGATTTCCGTTGGACTGAGATCTTCACTGCCCCTCGCATGCTCTACCGCACAGTCCTGGGAGTTGTTCTTGGTGGAGGCCAGCAGCTTACCGGTGCCAACTTCTTCTTCTACTTTGGTACTACCGTCTTTGCTGCCACCGGTATCAGCAACAGCTACACTACTCAGATTATCTTGGGTTCAGTCAACGTATTCTGCACAATCATTGGTCTCTGGGTCATTGGCCGCTACGGTCGACGCATTATTCTCATCGTTGGCGGCCTCTGGATGATGATGTGCTTCCTGTAAGTTTCCCACAATTCTACGATAGTATCAGCATTGGGCCACATTGCTGACAAAATTGATAGTGTGTACGCGTTCGTCGGCCACTTCGCACTCGATCACGAAAACCCCTTGAACACCCCCAAGGCTGGATCTGCTCTGGTTACATTCTCCTGTCTTGCTATTGCCGCCTTCGCCATCAGCTGGGGACCGTTGGTTTGGGCTGTTAACGCAGAGCTGTACCCTGCTCGATACCGAAGTCTCTGCATGGGTATCGCCACTGCTTCTAACTGGTTCTGGAACTTTTTGATCTCATTCTTGTGAGTTTTAAACATTTCAGAGTTGTATTAGTACTGAACTAATGATTGTGATTTGTAGCACTCGATTCATCACTGACGATATTGACTACTTCTATGGTCTCATCTTCGCTGGATGCTGCGCGGCTCTCGTGCTCATCGTCTTCTTCTTTGTCATCGAGTCCAAGGATCGAACCCTCGAAGAGATCGACATGATGTATGTTCAGCATGTGAACCCCATCACTTCGAGCAAATGGGACTCCGCCAAGTACCGCGATGAGCTGAGGAGGGGCGGCGATGCGAGAGACAACGTTCACGACCACGTTCACGAAGAAGCCGAGAAATAAAGTGACGCAATCCCATCCATCATACTGATTCACTGTCCGATTGGGCAGTGCTCATAGCATAATGTAATCTTGAACGAGAGACGATATGTACGGTATAGATAGGAGAGATTCGAGGCTGATGGATAGCCTGTAGCATAGCGTGTAAAATAGCGTGTAAAATAAGATATATAATTGTCAATTCGTTTTTATTGCCAATCGCATGAACTGAGAGCACTGTCATCTCTTCTTTAGCCTTCATATCATGCTTATAGACTCATAGAGCTGAAACACTGTATTCAACTACCACTGGTCTAAAAGTTCATGACTTTATTTTTCTTTTCCCTTTCAAGCGATGAACGGCGGCTAAAAGGCGTAATTCTGTGGGGATGGTGTGGTGATATTAACCATAAATTCGCTGCACTCTTCCGGATATCGGGCCTGAGACGGACCTCTAATTGAAGGCTCTGAATCACTTACTCACGATCCAAGTTCCTGGAGTGGCAGTTGACATTAAGTTGAGTGTTAAATAGATCAGCGCTTTTCGTAATGGATGAATAGTAGAGAAAGTAAATGATCAGCAATTGTGTCGCGATACTCTGTTTGTCTGTCTGGGCGTCGCGCCAAGTACGATATAGATCAGCAGCCTCCAAGAACACTAAGACAAGCTCCGGTCTTCGTCATCCCCGCACGGAGAGCGTAGCTCCAGTTCAGAACCATCGTAGTTTGCCTCTCAGACAAAATAATTCAAGCTTAGCTGAGAATAAAACCAGATCCCCTCAATCTCAACTCACTAACTGTAAACATAACACTTCCACTGCTGAAAGACTGTAAAAACCTCACTGCCAGACCACCTTTGCATCCGTTAGACATATTATATCATGGCGCCCATCCTCCTCCCTCCAAACCACCCCCCTCGCCGTTTCTACGCCGGTGGAGCACAAATATCGGCCTTTCGTCAACTCCAAAGCCCCATTGGCTCTCACGAACCCGAAGACTGGGTTGCTTCCACAACATGCTGTCGCGGTCAAGGGAATGTCGGCATGACCCGCTTGCCTGATGGAACAATGCTTGCTGATGCCGTTGCCTCCGAGCCCGAGAGATGGCTTGGGGCCGACCATGTGGCCAAGTATGGACCGGACACAAAACTCCTTGTAAAGCTGCTTGATGCTGGACAGCGCCTCCCTGTTCATGCACACCCTCACGTTGACTGGGCGTCGAAGCATCTCCAGAGGAAGCATGGAAAGGCCGAGGCGTGGTATATCCTCATGCCGGGATCTGTCTGGCTCGGCTTGACCGAAGATGTCGACCCCAAAGAACTTCTTCAAATCGTACAGGAGGAGAGAGGCACTGAGCTGTTGGACCGAATGCATAAAATCGACGTCGAACCCCACCAGACTGTCTATGTTCCCCCTGGAGTCCTTCACGCAATCGGCCCATGTGTTTTGATGGTCGAGGTTCAGGAGCCAGAGGATTTGTCTGTTCTTTGTGAATGGAGTGGGTTTAAGATCGATGGCAAAGCGGAAGGTCATCTTGGTCTTGGTTTCGAGACGGCGCTCACAGCTGTTGAAACAAGAGGGAGGACAAGAGAAGAAGCCATGGCATTGGTAACCGAAGCGAAAGTTGCTGAGAGTGTTTTCGTTGAGGAGTCGCACAGTTACTTCCAGTTGGAAAGAGTCATCGTCAAAGGGCAGAGTCGATGCCGGCGCGGCTTTGCTATTCTGGTCGTTCTCCAAGGCAATGTGACGTTAAAGACGGAGTCTTCCGAGCTTTCGATTCTGAAGAGAGGGTCAACGGTGGTTATTCCGCATGAGGATGGGGAGTTTACTCTGGAGAGTGAGGATGCAGATGTTGCTATTGCTCGACCACCTCAGTGAAGATGTTTTCTATGTCATATTAGAGGTGGTGGTCGTAAGTCCAATAAGAGTTGTCAATAGATTCAGCCTCCAAAGCGCAAGTGGCAGTGATACATTCCGATTTATGTATTCTCTATATGGTCTTTTATTTCGGTCGCCTCGAACGTGTTTATTATCGTGGCGGATTGAAACCGTCTTTCAGTATCGTATTTACATGTTATTTTCTCATATCTGAGAAATGATGTGGTCGACTGAAACGAATTCCCCAGAATCCAGTCAGGTATTGTTAGAATCGAGCTCTCATTCCAGACTATCGAGACTCGAAACCTCGAGACTCCGTATCCCGACTTGCCGCGTCCTCATCTTGGCCAACAATGTGCTCTTCACTGCCGTCATCAATTGTCGTCCAGCCAGTCTTGTGCGCTCGTCCATCTTTCCCTAATCTCTCCAGGCGGTTACTCTGTTGCCCAATTGTGACGAGTCCGGGTCCTGAGCCTGTTTCACCAGACTGGTTACTCTTACTCTTCGAGCCACGAGATGCAACCACGGAAGCCTTCTTTGTCACCCAGGGGCCGAGGATCGGTGCGTTTACCGCGATAATGGCGACGAACTGACAAGAGAACTATAATTAGCGATCTGGAAAATTCAATACCCAAACAGTCAGAAAGAGAGTTGGACTAACTGTCTCTCGGATAGACCAGATGGTTCCGAGGTTGATGGACGATACATCTTTTAAGCAGAGAATGCATCGCAAGAGTGTTGCAATGATGATAAAAATTCCCATGCACAGCCAAAGCGAGCAAACGATTTTCCTACAGCAAGATTAGATATGTCCAGAGGCTGATCCGTGTCGACGAGCATACCGCATAAGGGGCATTTGTACTCTCCAGAGCAGTGGGAGTGGGATGGCCAATATCATCAGATCGGTCCTGGATTGTCACGATACTGGTCAGTTGCTAGTTGTGCAGTAGCAGAGGGGATAAATGGACCGTACGTAACGTTGGTAACCACCAGTGCCAGGTAGTTTGGAATGTTCAAAGCGCAAGCATCTATCTGCAGTTAGGCGATGTTGACCTCATATGGATGACGACCTGGCAACATACCTCCTGGATAAGGATATACTTGCCAATTCTTGTGGATAGGCAAGCACTTCGTTAACATTACGATGATCGTTGAGACATATCCCGCAACGCAAATTCCCGAAGTGATGTTAACAAGTTGCATTTGCCGCAAATCAAGCCTGTCGTCCTCTCTATTAGTTGCCTCTCTTCAGAGACGCCGCTAGTCATTGACAACTCACGTCAATCTCCGAAAGAGGAAGAGCATGCATGACTTTAAGCACCAAATCATTGTTACATATAGAATCCATCCCGCGAATAAGCATTTACTGCCGACAACAATTCGCCTCGTTTCTTCTGGTGTCAGGCTGAGGGCTATCTCGTCGTTGATACCGGTAATCGAACCATATTGCCCTAAAGAAAAATCGAGACTCGTTAATACCATTACACCATTAGACGATGAGTCGCATTCGAATGGCAATACCTATAAGCTCAAGCATACACAACTCTCCCTATCGTCATGTTAGTCAGTTATTGTAAGCGCAGGCGAAAATAACCTACGGTCCAGAAGAAAATGGCAACTACGGCAAAGTAATCGTCCCCCTCCCAGTCCCAGCCGACTATCGAACATCGACAGGCAATGCGCGCGAGAATAATCAGAGTTCCAATGGCATACTCTGTCCACGCCTCAACCTGGAACGGTGTTGCTGGCATGATGTCGTCCAAAACCACCCAGAAGCCTTCTCATCATATCATGAAGATGTTAGGCACCATCGCCGAGTTTCGAATCTTTTCTCTCATTCTTGGTGCCCAAGATTCTGAAATACTTGAGATGCACAGGCCAATTCTCCCCTGAAAGATTTGTGGTTAGATTCAACGACTAGCCAAGGGGACCAAGCTATGGTGACAACGAAGCGACGAGCCATACCCTCACGGGTTTCCAAATGGCCGGGAGACGAAGTACCATTTTGACAAGTATGGAGTACATAATAAACCTATTACATGGAAGCGATTAAATGGCTCAATACTGGGAGAAAATAGTCCGCTCTGGGGGGTCCATTGCCGATGGCATGCTGCAGGGATGGATGCCAACAGCAAGGGCCTCAGCTTGCCACGACCGACGCCCTCAAAGCTAGAGATGCTTGATGTTCGACGCCCCGTATGCATAAATGAGATAAAGACACCAAAGAGGTAAGGTGTTGGAGGTTCAACCACAGGCCAAAGATACGGATAGGCTGCATTGTAACACCAAGACCCATAATCTGCTGCATCTAATGATGCATGCCAAGAGGGGTAGCCATCTACTGTACTCGTAGTTTGGACAGCTCTTTTTTTGCTGGCCTATCCCCTTGAAGGAATTTGTAGGGCATGTTCATCTTCACCACGACCATGGGATGCGTCTAGTCTGTGGTAGTACATGTGCTACACAATGATCCAAAGTTGTATTATCCAGCTGTTCATAAAACCCCTGAATGCTCCTTTTGTTCTTCACTTCTCCGCCTTGCTCTGCAATATATTATCCCATGCTATTACTGTTCCTGAACTGAATTCCGATTCGCTAAAAGCTGACGCTGCCGAGTCATCACTGCCACCAATTGAGTGACGATCAAAATGACCCTCGTTACGGCAATCCCGGAGCATTTACAGGTTGAACGAACCATCCCAGCTTCTACGCCGGCAAACTATGAGCCTCCTTTCCCTGCATACAGCGCCCAGTTCGCCAAGGATGTCTCAAGTTTGGTAATGGCCGTCATTGGTGCCCAGTTCCCTAGCAAGACAGGGCAGGAAGAGGCTGCCATCTCCAGGGTGAACTCGTTTTTGACATTTTCTGGTGAAGATGGAGAGGACGTCCTTGGGCCTGCATTTTCGGAATGGGCGGCTGTGACTGACCCCAAGGGCTATTACAATATCACTGCTCTTGCTTATTGGAAAAGCGAGGAGGCGTATCAGAAATGGACAACCAAATCTGGCTTCAGCTCCTGGTGGGAAAGCCTTGATACACAGGAACAAGAGAATGGTTGGTTCATCGAAGTCTTCTTTCCAACTATGGACAGGTTCGAGACGGTGTTTTCCAGCGGTGAGATTCCCGAGGGAGCAGCTGAAATGCGAGATGGAGTCGTCGGACCCATCAAAGAGCACGTCTACTGGGGAAGCATGCGAGATCGCCTAGCAATTGCGCAGACGGACACACTCAAAGGCGAAGAGTTCCTCAAGGCCCCCGCAGAACAGGCACCAAACGGAAATCTGTCTCGGAGGATCCGAGTCCCCGGCAAGAAGAACCTGGCCATTATCCGCTCAGGCCAAGACTGGGCCGACACGGCACCTGAAGAGCGGAAGCTGTACGTCAAGACGATGCACCCTGTGCTCGAGGCAGGGATGAACTTTCTCCGCGATCACGGGGACGAGGTTGGCTGTTACAGCTGCCGCTTCATGGACATTGTCGACCCCATAACAAGAAGTGCGGACAAAGACCGCACCTTTGGGCTGGCGTATTTTGACGAGCTTGCCTCTCTTGAGAAATGGAGCAGGGAGCATCCTACACACCTGGCCATCTTTGGTGGGTTCCTCAAGTACGCGGCTCAGCTGAACAATGTCATTACTCTCCGCCTATTTCACGAGGTGCTAGTGGTGAAGCCGGAGCAGCAGCTGTTTGAATACGTCGGGTGTCATCCGGAGACGGGGATGATGGTGGCGAAATGATGTTATATGCATACGAGCCGGCTTGTTCCGCTGCTATCGAGGGGAATTGCAGACTAGGAAGCCGGCATTTGAGCCCCGGCCGTGGTGGCGCGTTGTTTAAAAGGGAGCTTGCCGTCTCAGACTGTAACGTAAGCGGCAATGATTGCGTCTAAATGTTATAATTTCAATCTTTCAGTAGGTTTCTGCAAAGCAGTGCCCTAGATTGGCAATAAACTACCTTTCAAAGAAATGAAAAAAATGACATATCAACCTGATCACCGCGTAGCTACTACCCGTATAAGTAACTGGGAGTGAGACGGTACATAAAAGTGTTGGGTTCGCCTAGCTCTCTGGGAATAGATCGACCGCTATCTTTAACCTTGCTGCTGACCTATTATTGAACAAGCTTGAAAGTAGCCCCGGCAAGGGCCGCTGGAAACGAGCAAAAGCGCTGCGTATACCCGATACCGCCAAAATGGGGGCATGTATGTGCGTTTCTTTGACGCGAAATGAATACGAAGACAACTAAGCTTACTTGGGCCTTTTGCTTCTCCGTGGAAGTTCGCTCTATTACTAGGGATCGAGGATTGTGTGCATCGAATAGGGTGAATGCCATATGCCGTAGATGATGTGTCAGATTAGCAGTTTGGCTGTTGGTTGTCCCATGTTCACGTACGGAAATAAGGATCATGAGCGCGGTGATAAGGAATGACTACTATGTGCTACATGATCAAGAAAGGAGTTCCAAGTCTTTTATCTCCTCATTGAAAAGATGGTCGCTACGCGGCACTTTCTGTTGGTTCCTCAGAAACCCTTTAACAGCGCAGAACGTGCAGCGCAGCATCTGGCCTCGAGTCAGGCACTGGGTCTTACTCTAGTCCACTACGGGTAGATCCAAACGGCTACAGCCGTCCGGGGTTAGCCTGGGATAGAGACTTGAGTTTGTCACGATCAAGTCCGAATGGTTCACGCATGCAGAAAGTGATGGGTTCTTCTTTGGCTTATTCACATTTTCTGTAGAGTAACAGGCCGTGTGCAAAGAAAATAACCATATCGGACAATATCGTCTCTTGGGTTTCCTCTCTCTACCTACATCTACGGGTTTGCCTGCGTCTATCACATTTGAGTTGTTGCTGAGTCGCAGTACATAATAGAGGTTGAGTTTATACAGTATGTAATTTTTTGTTTCCGTTATAATGCTATCAATCTGTAAAAACACAATTGATCCATCCAATGTCTAAATTACTCATCCGAGCTGATTCATGTTATATTTACAATATACAATTTATGCCAATCCGCCACCGGAAAACATTTGCAGTGCCTTTGCCTTGGCCGCGTTCATCGCAGCAATGTATAGGCTGGGTCCAACGCTGATTCTCGAAACACCAATGCTGGCCAGATCAGCTGTGGTGAGAGAGCCAGGTTGTCCAGACAACATGACGGCGACCTTTCCATCCAACTCCTTGACAAGTGTCTTGATGGTTTCGCTAGACAAGCCATTTGGACCACCGAAGAAGAAAACTGTCGTGGCACCAGCCGCAAGATATGCCTTGCCACGCTTGATAGCCTCAGCTACCCGAGCTTCGAGGCTCAGGTCGGGAGATTCCAGGCGGAAGATGTCAGATCGAGCGTTGATGACAAAATCGGGGGCGCCGGCGTCTTTGGCGGCATCGAAAGCACGCTTGAGCCGGGCAACTTGGTCCTCAAGCTTGTAGAGGGAGCCAGAAATACCCTTACTGAAACCAGCGGAAGGGATGCTATCTTCAAGGTTGGCTCCAGCAGCGCCGTATTCTACGGCAGCGGTGACGACAGCTGTGATAAGATCTCCATAACCGTCCTGGAGATCGACGGAAAGAGGAAGGCCTGCCTGCTCTGCAAGGGGGGCAATTCGAGAGATAGCTTCGAGGTTTTGCACCATGGTGAGTTCTTCATCTTGAATGCCAAGACTGGCAGCGATGGCCCATGATGCTGTTGCCAATGCCTTGACGGGCTTGGAGGCTCCTGAGTTCAGAGAGACAATGGCATTGAGAGATGAGAGGTCCCAGATGTTGGAGAGCACGAGAGGAGAACCGGGCTTGTGAAGAGACTTGAGGGTCTGAGCTGATTGGTTGACGGAAGCCATTGTTGTCGATTGATGTGTGTTGTAGATAAGATGGAATGGGATGGCTTGAATTGTTATGAATGAGACTGAGATGTCAGAGGAGGAGAACGAGGAGCAAAAGGGTGGCCTATATACTTTCGAGCGTGAATTTGAGGCATCAACTGAAAACACAGGCACCGGGTCATCAATGCCAAACTAACGCGCAAAGTTACCCAACTTCTGGAGCAATGGGCAATAAGCAATACCGCACTACACCATACAATACCAATAGCAACACTAGGCTGTTGTCACTTGAAGGGCGGAGTTAGCGGATTCGGGCACAAAGAAACGATCCGGCGCCAGCCGCAAGGCCGAACCCAAGCATGCACTCAATGCAAGGCGCCCCATAGATTCACGGCTGGCAATGCGCTTCGATTCGTTGCGAGTCCTCCGTGGCGTTTCTTCAACAGCGCACTTTGGTACGTAGAACGCAAATCACTCGTACACGTATGGTTTGGGAGCACAGCCCTGGTACCAACCACTAGATGGAGGCAACACACATGTCTGCTACCGTAGCCTGATGATTTGGCCATCGTTTTTGAGGCGGTTCTCCGGGATGGAGTCCGGGTGGTTCGGCTGTTGATGGCGGTTACGGAGCAACAGCCAATGAAGGAGTGGTTTAGTTTGGGAGCAACGTGATTGGATGTTTGGAGTGGATGACGGTTGAGTTTGAGCTGGCAGAGAGAAGTAATCGCCAAATGACTAATGTGGCGCTGTGGGCGGAGGATGTGTTACGAGTATACTTGCGTTAGTTCGAGTACGAGTATTCTCTCTCATATGGAAGGATTGCTTCTATTGGCTTTAGAGAGATCGATGCGCTTATACAACTGGTGTAGGGCCTTGGGCGGAATCGAAATTGCTGTGAACATGTTCCCACATCGGGTATTCCTACCTTTTTCGGCCTAAGGGTCTGGCGGGCGATGGGGCAGAGTCTCTCTTGCACGGCTTCTGGTAGTTGAATACTGTAGCTGGAGAGAAGATGTACCGCGTCTTGACATTGCTTGTAGATCTTACAGACAACGGGCGCAGAGGAATTTGAAACATGCCTGGATTACTGAACATTCGGTTTTAGTTTAAAGACAAGATGGTGGACTTTTCTGTTGTATATTTTCCCATGTTGCTGGAGCACAGATGATGGCTAAATGCAGAGAGCGAAAAGCTTTGGGAGGGTTAAAATTGCTGTGAACAATTTTCAGCTGGGCATGCAAGGCATACTCTTGCGGTAAAATCACTGAGGAGAAGTAAATTGTACCTGCGTTACGACATTACTTGTGAATGTTCCAGCGAGCGGGCTCCTGCTCACTAAACATTACTCAGATCAGTTTTTGTAAGGATGAGATTGTTCTTTCTATTGTTGCGTGTATCCACAGGTTGTTGGAGTGTAGATGATAGGTAGATGCGCTTACATAGGTAGCTCAAGGCTACAGGAATAGTTAAAACTGCTGTGAAGCTGCAGGTGGTGCAAGGCGTCTGAGTACAAGGCCTTGGGAGGAGTTAAAATTGCTGTGAAGGGGCGGTCGTCGAACAGCCAGCCAGAGCATTCCGAGTATAAATACGACCACTTCCCTTCTTCGCTCACAGCCTGCACCACAGCGGATGGACCCAGCCGCACAGCCATTTCGAAGCTCCGCCAGCAAGATGCCGTGTAATTGATCAATGACAACATCTCTGTACCTGGCAGAGCAATTCAGCTTATAGGGGAGCGGCTTGGTTTAGGAGCAACGCGATTGGAAACTTGGGTAGACGTAGAGAGAATAATCGCCAAATTACTGATGGGGGCACTACGGGCGGGCGATAGGCAGAGCAGAGAGGTTCCTGTTACGGGCTGTGGTGGTAGAAGTGCATGGGAACAAAGAGTCACTATTATATTCGCACTATAATTGATCTTGAGTCTATAAGTACGTTTGGATAAATATTCTGGAAAACGCGGCAAGTGTTGCTATAAAGTATGGCTGGCTATTGAATATCCCGGGTGTTTAACGAGCTATTACAAGCTTAGATATCCTCTCTATCGAGGAGCTTATGCCTCTCAAACATCTCTTTCATCAATCTGGAACTTTGACAATCAACTTTATGTGTCATACTGTAATTTATACTTTTCTAGAGATTGTAGTCCTCTCTCCTCTCAGCCAAGCCAATGACGGCCACCTTTGCCCAAGAATACTTGCGACTACTACTTGCCACAAACATGTTGTCACATTTCGACCCCATTGAGCAGAATTCTGAAGAGCCAAGAATTTTTAATCTCATCAGCTCGGGCTTTAAGTTCATTGACATCCCAGTTGACCCAAACAAACTTGCTCTTGAGGAACTTGGCTTCCGGCGACGCAAGCCATACCGTGAATTGGCCCGCAAGCTCAGCTGCGATGCATCATCTTCGTCAGTGTTTTGGAAGAACATTTTTAAAATTTGGATATACTTACGCTCATCCTCCGAAACCACGCCGAGATGGGAGTTGAAGCCCGTCGAAATGACTCCAGGCTGAATCTGAACAACATGCCACTCGGGGTGCTCTTCCTGCAAATAATCGAACATCTTCGTAGTGGCAGCCTTAAGAGCAGAGTATACCCAAAGACCCGGCACAGGTTTGATGTGGGCTAGCCCTGAAGAGACGTTATAGACATGCGCGTCAGCTGCTAGCAAAGGTGCAAAAGACTGGATCGCGTTGAAAGGGGCGATGACGCCGAGCTCGAATCCGTGACGCAGCGCCGCTTCATCATATCCCTCTACAGATCCAACTTCGGGCATGACCCCCGCGCAGTTGATGAAGATGTTGATTTTAGCACCATTGGCCCTTTTCACCAAAGCTGTGGCTGCGGCGTCAACATCGGCACGTTTGCTCAAGTCGACGCTTTCGAACAACACCTGAATATCAGCATTCTTGGCCTTGCTCGTAATCTCGGTGGCCGTTTCTTTCAGCTTCTCGAGACGCCTGCCGAGGATGGCGATAGTTTTGGCACCGGCTTGTGCGAAAGCTACGGCGATAGCTTTTCCAATGCCTGTGCCTCCGCCTGTGACTACAACAAAGGTACCTGCAGCGCTGAGTTCAGGGCGAGCTGGGTCAATGGCCGCGTAGGGTTTATTGTGCCATGTCTTGGTGAAGGAGACGTAATCCGGCATTGTGATCTGAGTTTGTGTATAATAGGGGGATAGCCGAGTCTAGGTGTTATGACGCTGGGTTTTCTGCTTGATGAATATAGAAATAGGAGTGTTTCTTACTCGACAGCTCGAATGATTGAGGATATCTTATACCAGGCTTTTATTGCCAAGTTTCTAACTCCGAAGCACAGCTCGGAACGTATTCCAAGCCCCTTCTAGCGTATTTGAAATAGAATAGCCATAGAACAGAACATACTCAATCAGAGATTTCCAATCTTATCATCTTTCACATCCACCGTAGCATATCTGCGGAAGACTTAGCCGTATAGGCCACATCCAGATTATCACGTACATGTATACTCAAGTACTCTAACTAATATCGATTGTTACCATGTTTCACCATCACAGGACCACTTTTTAAGCATCTCAAGATTGGTGTGAGTCCACATAACTTTAAAGTTGGCTGATAAATTCGGGCGGATTTCGCTTTGTCAGCCAGCTTCCGCGGAAGCATCTTGGTCATAGTACTAACATCGATATTAGTCGCAGGGAATCAAACACCCGATTCAATGTTAATCTTGACTTATGAGTTCCATGGATGTCAAAACTGCAATGGAAATGGATCATCGCCCCAGAAAGGTCGTATTCTATCCAGCCTTTGAAGAACGCAATCATTGATCTTAGCGGTGAATAGGCCTGCGATTTATGCTACACTCGTAAACTCAAATGCAATGGACAGCAACCTCGCTGTTCTAACTGTATAGTTTATGCAAGAGAATGCACCCATACAGTCCAAAGCCGCAAGTCAAAACCCAAGACTCGGTGCAATGGTGGCAATAATACAACGAGGGCGGATGAGGTCCAGAACCTACGAGCGAGGGTACAGGAACTAGAAACTCAATTGGTGTGTCTCTTCCTCCTGTTAGACATTTGGACATTACTTACAACGTATGACCTAGACACAGAATCCTATTAAAGACAATAGTCATCAATCTGCGGGAAACCATAACAATGCAGGCAGCTCCATGATTCTCCCTCCCCTTCAACAAGCTTTGCCTATGATCGAAATGTTTCTCAACAAACTAAACTCGGTACTTCCATTATTTCACGCCGGTACCTTCTTGCGTCTAGTCGGCGAATGCTATTCCCGCACGCCTCGACAACGGGATCCAGTGGCGTGGGCTGCTATCAACGTTGTTTTGGCCTTAACTTGTCAGCAAATCTCGTCACCAGATGGTGATGGTGATATAGGAGCTCGGGCGGACCATACAACCGAGTATCTGAACAGAGCACAATCAGTCATTTCAGATGTAATGCTGGGCGAAACTCGACTCTTAAACATACAGACCCTGGTGGGCATGGTGATGGTCCTCCAGAGCGCCCACGATCCAACTCAGGCTCTGATCTTGATAGCAGCGACAATCCGCCTAGCACACAAAATGGGTCTCCAAAATCGGATCACATCAGCACATCTAGACCATGAAGAAAGGAGACAGCATACTCACGTCTTCTGGCTGGTGTATATTTTGGACAAGGATCTAAGTCTGCGGGCACAACAACCATCTATTCAGCTTGACGATGACATTGATCTAGACTTGCCACATTCCCTACCTGCGGATGATGAGAGTGATGGTGATGCTCCTGGAGTAATAGCTACCGCCGATGGAAATGCTAGAATGAACTACTTCCTAGCCCGTGTGCAGCTGGCTAACATTGAGGGTGGCGTATACGACTGCATCTTCTCAACGAGGGCAGCGAAACGCAGTCCAGAAGAGCGACTTGCTGCAGCCAATAGTGTACTCGAAGCCCTCGAGAAATGGCAAGCCGAGATACCATCTGAGTTTGGCGGTGCCGCCGTCATCACTTCGATAACAAACGACTCAACGAGTCTTGGCTTATTTTGTGTTCTGCATTCTATCAGCCTTCGCTGTATGACTCTTATTAATAGAGCTCATGCCTGGAACGATGAGTGGGTGAGGGGTGTGCACGACATCGTGAGAGGAGGTATGGGAAAACTGCAGCTTCCCATTGGATGGGCAACACTAGTACACCAAGCGCGAGACTTTATGATTTTGTTTGAGCGGGCGTGGTCAGCGGAGATCTGGTTTCGCTGGTAAGTGGACTCCCAACAATATTGAATGCCTTGCTGATGGTGGTTATCAGGATCGTCTCTTGTCCTTACGTATCGTCTATGATGGTCTTAGTAACCAACAATCTACGCAATCTCCTTCATCATCGGATACAACTAGATAGCCAACTTGTTGATAAGGCCTTGCAGTGGCTGAAAGCTGGTGCGGAGGAAACGCAAAGAGAAGATGTCCGCATACTTCGGGATATTTGTGTGGATATTGTTCAAAGGGTTGAGCGTAAGCGTGCTGCACCTATCTTGGGGGTCTGTCCCCGTATCCTTCTTTAGTATTGTGTATGAGTTAGTTAGATCACAGACTACTACTCTTTTGTAACGCAGATGGACTTGTCATAAATGCTTCCGTTCCCATTACCCTTCAGCCAATCTCAAGACCTATATATAGTAGAGTGAAGTGTGCACCATACAATCATATTGAGCACCAGTCTCGTGGTATTATCATATCCTCAGGCAGGTCCCACCCATCCACTTCGATGAAGCCAATCCTCAAAAGAACTCGCTTTCAAGCCCAGCACCTCGAAAGAATCGTCCTGATCCGCGCCCATAGCCCCATAACAAACTTTATCACCTGGCATCACAGCAGCCCATTCCATCATCTGCTTGGCATCCTCCTTGAATCCTGGCCCGACTAAGGGAACTGCCAACTCTGCGAATTCTTCAGCAGAAATTGGTTCGTGAATCGCGGGCTGACCTGTGACTCGCGTAAAGGCCTTGGCCATATCGTCGGCCGTGATTGGAGGACTCATCGCAAGATAGGTCTTTCCATGGGTCTTCTCAAGTCCCATATCGAATATTCCTTTATGAGAAATGAATTTATGAGTCGCCCGAGTGTATACAGGTAATGGTTGGAAATGACTTACTTGCAGCAAAAATGCCAACATCATGGGTTGGGTCGGTCCATTGCGCAGCCTGGTGACCTGGAATTGGAGTACAGAAGCGAACAACTCCATCTGCTGTTGAATCATTAAGTTAGCCCCTTTGTGTCATACAGTACATGTTAGGCAAGAGAAGGGCACACTTACCTCTCCGTTGACAATATCGAGGCCATTGCAGATTCGTGTAAAAGAACCCTACAAGAGAAGACTGCTGTCAATATATAATACTATGGAACAATACCGCTTACTATACCAAGAGACGAACCTGGAATAATAAAAGTAACTCTCTCGAGCTCTTCTCTCGCAATCTGCTCTATCGCATGCTTGTTGTTCATATGATGGATCTTTGGAAACTGCCCTCTTGTTGTCTTGACCATATCAGGCAAGCTACTAAAGACGAAGTGCTTGATGCCACATGCCTTAGCTGCTAGGATCATGTTGTGTCCCGCTTCAATCTCATGTTGCATCTCTTCTTCTCTCTCCAGGACTCTACCGGGGTAAGCTTCGGACGTGAGACCGAAGACGCCATAGGCGCCGGCAAAAGCATCTTGGAGAGAGCTCTTGTCATATACATGTCCGGCGACAAGGGCAAGACGGTTGTCAGTCGTCTGGTTATCAGCCAAAAAGCGCTTTGCTTTCTCCGAATTGGGATCTCGCGTCATTGCACGGACGAACCATGGATTCCCATCTGCTGTCTCCGAGGCCAACAGTGCGCGAACCACGCCCACGCCTTGATTGCCTGTGGCTCCAACAACCACTACGATGCGAAGTGGTTCTGGCATTTTGGTAGTCTGCTTTTAAGTAGCGTTCGATCTGTTTGGATAGATTATTACTGATATAAAAGAAACAATTAACAGCGGGGAGATTAAGAAGACTTATTGAAGCAGTAACTCACAAGCTGCTTTTATATACTGAGACGCAATTTCGCATTTTAAAGTCCACTCTAATTCACTTTGTGAGACTCTTTGCATTCATTTGATAGGTGGCGTCATGACGTGCCGGATCTTCATACATCAGCTTTGATCGGAGTAGTGCGTCTTGAAATTGGTAATCCATCAGTTCCGCGGAACTCAAAAACTACAAGAAGCAGTTACGTACCAAATTAAGACGTACCAAATTAAGACGTACGATTCTCTCAGGCCATTAATAATAGTTAAACTCACAGTAAAGATATATTATCAAGTGAATTACAAAGCGGCTGATGTAAAGAGCCTCCGCGGAAGCTTTGTCGATCCCTTATCAACAGTGCGCGGCTGCATCAAGTTCTTTATAAGTGCTAATCTGAGTATCTGCCTAATCAAGAAGAAATAACATTTATTTCCCTATTTCATTTGTCGTTTTACATCATATTCTCAAGATGAAGGTTGGCATTGTCAACGCAGGCAATATTGGGCGGAACCTGGCAACGTCCTGGATTCGACATGGCCACGACATCATGCTAAGCAAAGATACATCTCCAGAAAAGCTTCGTACACGCATCCAAGAACTCGGCTCGAGCAAAGGCCTAATTGAAACTGAATTTACAAAGTTCAAATACGGCTCACTCGTCGAAGCGGCCAACTTTGGCGATGTTGTAGTCTTTTCGGTATACTTCCCACGACTGGACCATGTCATCAAAGAGCTTCAGGGAGCCGGGGTTACGCTTTCGGGAAAGATTGTCATTGACACCATGAACCCTCTCAACGTGGATGAGAACTTCAATCATTACCACGATATCGAGTATATGCAAAGAACATCCACCGCGGAGGAGGTTCAGAAGGCATTCCCAGAGGCAATCGTTTTCAAAGCGTTCAATACTTTTGGGGCGACCCTTCTTGATGCCTCAAAATGGACATTGGGTCGTGTACCACCAGTTCTGTTCAATGGCGGCAATTCAGATTCTACAGATACAGCTCGTAAACTGATTGAAGATGCTGGATTCCGACCAAGGTTCGCAGGCCACAACCTAAAAGATGCAGGTTTGTTGGAACGATTAGGTATATTGTCGCACCGTCTGGCAGAGAATGAATTTGAAGGCGATGCAAACATTGCCTTTGACATTCTGCAGAGCAAAGCCTAAGCGCTTGATGACTTGAGAAGCTGTCTTGGTTTGAGCAGGTATGCACCTGTAATCATCTGTCTGAAGCTCTTGGCTGTGACAACAGAGACTGAGGAAGATAGAATAAAAATAAAACTATCAAACACTATAACTACAGGACATTGAATCTAAGTTACTCTTGTAAACGGAACACACAAACAGTCTTCTTTTCTAAGGTAGCGCAAAGGCAATCTGCATTTCTTGGATCCTCCTAGGGCTGTGAACTGGGGGTTCTGATCTGGTTAACAGCCCAACAGCGCTAGATGTGACAACAGCTCAAGACCTTGGGAGTAGTTAAAATTGCTATGAACTCGGAGGCATGAGGCGCTAGTGAATGGGAGGATAGCTACATATGATGTCGTCTATACCAATAGCTTCAGGTCTTGGGGGAGGTTAAAATTGCTGTGAAGCTGTGGAAAAAGTATTAGAGCTACCATCTCTATTAGTTGCCAAGGATTGAAGGTACATGTAATCACCCGCCAAAGAACCCGCGCCACAGCGGAATGGGCGCCAACTGAAACTGGGGATGACTCAGCCGCACCAGCCACGTTAAAGCTCCGCCAACAAAATGCCGTGTAATTGATCAATGACAACATCGTCTCTGTACTTGGCAGAGATCCAGCGATTCCACATCCAGTCAAACCCCGAACCAATGGCCATCTGCATTTTTGGATCCTCTTTGACTCTCTCGATACGCTCCGTGAACCCCGTGTTACTCCAAATTTACCCCTCATTACAAGTACACGTTGATTGGGGATCATATCACATCATATCGAATCCCCCATAAACTAGATGCACGATATAGGAGAGCATCCTCTTCTCACCATGCTATATCATTTCTCGAGCTTCAATACATGCAAATGCACAGCATCTCCACCGTCTCTGCTACCTTTTCACGGCATGTCCGCCATTCTGCTTGTCCCAATCCAGCAACAAGACACACGGCCTCTTCCCAGAGCATGCTTCGGTATCCGAATTGGCCTAGCCTCGAGCAGTCTCTTACACGCAGCTCCACGCCAGTTCATCTTAGCATTTGTGCCGCCAGGATTTTTTCTTGTTAGTGTTTTTTTCTCGTGCTGCCTCACTGCAGCAGGAATGGAGCCCAGATGCATCTTTACCGCCATTGGAATCCAAAAACAAAGCACGAGTCGCGTGACGAAGCTCCCGGATTGTTGTAGTTGGACCAACATTGGCTAAACCAGACCCTCATCTACTTGACGCTATACCGCCCTATGGAGTAGCACATGGCAAGATTTTCTGTTGGTTCCATTGTTTTGCTTGTGATGCTGATGTAATGAGGCAATCAGCACTGCCATTTGCCAGCCAACAAGCCGAGCTGACCATGAAAGGGGTCCGGCTTGCGTCACTGTGAAGTTGCTGTGCCTCCGAAACCTTGGCGACAGAAAAGTACGTATCGAATTTGATCGCATCGTAATGGATCGTAATTGATTTGATTCGACACACTGCCAGCTTATTATTAGAACTACTAGTAGCTGTTTTGCACCTCCAAACTATTTTTTTTCAATTTCTTTCTTCCCCCTAATAATACACTTTTAATATTACACTTCCATCCCCCTAGCATCCTTCCTTCCATTCCATTGTTTCGGACTGCTTACCATTATTATTCCTTTATTTATTCCATCCTTCCATTTTCGCCTTCCTCTGTTTCTTCTTCTTTTACGTCGTCATCAATCGCCGTCGCATTCGCCTCGCCTATCTATTCATCTATCTATCTTGTTTGGTACGATTATTAGGTCATCGCCACGCCATCTAAACGACGACACCTTCATCACCACAGCCGTCGCAATCGCCACCATGATTGGCGCCTCAGAGCCCTCCGCGACCTCGAGGCTGTCTGCCTATCTCTCCAGATTAAACCCTGTGCCAGCTTTCCCCGAATACACCGGACCATACAAGGTCGGCACCCTCGACGTCGAGATTCCAGTCGACGATCTGCCTTCTCCGTCTCCGCGACCCGACAATGCCAGCGACATCCCGACGGTGCTGTTTCGAGTCTTCTATCCTGCAGTCGCTGGATCCAACGAGAAGCTCATCAGCTGGCTACCCGCACCGCAAAGACACTATGTCTCTGCTTACACCAAGTTCATGGGTGTTGGACACACTCTAGCCGAGCTCCTCTCGTAAGTCATAATCATAATTCAGAATTTACCCAAACCTTAACTTGAGCTCTCCTGACGCCATTGTCCAATAGATTTCTGCCTCGACATCTTCACTACACCTCCATTCCCGCTCACAAAAACGCCACTTTGGAATCCGCCAGTACCGACGACAACCGATGGCCAACCATGATCTTCTCCCATGGCCTAGGAGGTAGCCGAAACTCGTATTCATACATTGCCGGATCGCTTGCTTCTCACGGAATCGTCGTCATCTGCCCCGAGCACCGAGATGGAAGCGCCGTTACCTCGTTTGTTCGTGTTCCTGGCCAGAACGGCCGCTTGGCCCGAAAGGTCGTCCCGTACAACCGAATATCCCATGAGGTCACACCCGAGGTGTACGAGGCGAGAGAAGCGCAGCTTAGGATTAGACTTTGGGAGATGGGCCTGGTTCACGAAGCGGTTCTCGCCATGGATGCCGGCCGAGAGTTTACCAACCTCAATCTCACCACCCCGAGTCTCAGCCAGTTCGTCGGCCGCCTAAATGTCAACGACCCCGGCAGCATCATCTTTGCGGGCCACAGCTTCGGCTCCACCACCATGTACCAGTTTCTCAAGAGCACTTACTACGCCGATGTTGCAGAGGTCGCAGCCATGGAGGCGCCGTTGTTCAGACCCGCCAAGGACAGCAGCATTCGGAAGCAGGTGACGGAGAAGAACGCCACTATGCTCCTGGATATGTGGTGTCTCCCTCTGCTGGCCCCCAACTCGACTCCTCTGTTCAACTTACCGCTTCCCGTATACGCCGATGTCCCCTCAGCACCGGGAGGAACTGCGCTACTGGCTGTTGAATCGGAAGCCTTTTTCAAGTGGCCTGAGCATCTTCATGTCACGGCACGGTTATTGTCTCCCGATCCTACGGCCAAGGTTGTCACCCCGGCCATCTATGAGCGGCCTAGTGGTAACAAGCTTCCGGAGCCCAATTTCTTTTACGTCGGAAGCTCAGCTCATCTGAGTCAGTCTGATTTTGGCATTCTATTCCCACTCTTGACGAGGAAGATCTTCAACGCCGTGGAGCCCGAGCGTGCACTTCGCCTGAACCTGCGTGCGCAACTGCAGTTTTTCCGAGCAAACAACATTCCTGTCGCGCGGACTTGGATTGGAGATCTCATCGACGGTTCCCACATGGACAAGCTGGACTTGGCAAAGAAGGACGGCTCTAGCTCTGATGTGGCTGTCGATGGGCTCAACGACGACAAGGCCATTTTCGATAGAAGCGGACACGATGTTATTGATCACTGGAACTGGATCGACACCATTGGCCTAGGTGAGCCAGATGAGCAAAAGAACGGCCAATCGACGACGGAGCAGATTGAGCAGAGCGAAGAGCAAATGAAGGGCGAGTTGGAGCCCAGCGAACAACCCGCTCAGCCAGCCGCTATGAAAGGCGTCACTCTGCCCCAGGGCCACGGCTGGCAGGAGATTTAATCTCATGGTTGCTCAACGCCACTTGCCGACATGATGATACCCGATACCATTGATGATACCCGATACCAAAGGCACATCTCGTGCGGTTTGGCCGCTTGAGGGCCAGTTTGTGAAGAAAGTGTACCAACACATGCAAATATTTTGGTTTGTATTTTTTTTTTCTTAGCTGTCTTTTTATCTTCCCCCTTTTTTTTCTCTTTTCGTCTTTTGCTCTTTTTCTCTTTGGCCCGATGTATCTTATAAGTGCGGCTGCTTGGAGTTTGGTAGACATGTCTCTTTTTCGAGCGCTGATTTACAACTGGATGGATAATGACCGAGCGAACCTTTGCGGGCAACAAATGCCCTGACATATACATAGACCGATACATAGATATAGCATATCTAAAGCATTTCATTTTCTTTCATTTCATTTCATTGCTACATTCTTGGATATCTCATGACCCTGATTCTTCCTACGATGCGAACTAAATGAGCTGATCTAAGTGACGCCGTTCCCAGTAATTCTCCATATAATTATCGTCTTTCATGTCGTCTTCTTGAAGAACTGGACCCCCCGCCTCCATATCTTCTTAAGGCGTCGGCTAAGCCCCTCTCACATTCTTCTGTTAGATCGTCTAACTGAATCTCATATTCGTTTGTTACAAAATCGGCCACACGCCCCATAAATTCTCCTCTTGGACGATTGGTTAACCGCCTCTCATATTCGTCTGTCCAAAAACCGGTCACCCGCTCCATAAATTGTCCCTCCGGAAGATTGTCCAATACGGTCTCATATACTCCCCTTAAAGGACTGGAATGCCGGCTCTTATATCCTCCTCCAGATTGTTCTTTTGGACGACTGGACTTGTCCCTTGCTCTTCTAGGTTGTTCTTTTGGAAGATTGTGCCTCGGCGTCTCCCTTGGAGGATCTTGCCGCTGCCTCTCATCTCCCTCGTAGTATCGTTCGTCTGGAAGATCCTGCCACTGCCTCTCATCTCCTCTTCTAGATTTCCCTCTTGAAGAAGTAGGAGGATATTGCGTCGGCTCTTCCCTTAATCCGTATTGTTCTCTTGGAGGACTGCGCCCCCGCCTTTCCCCTTCTCGTCCAGATCGTTGGCCTCGAAAATTGTCGGTCGGTGTCTTCTCCTCTCTCATCATCAAATCTTTCTCCTTACTTGACCTGTCCCCCGTTTTAAACCTATCCCTCCTCCTTAGCTCCTCCTCCCTCTCAAACCTAATGTCGGCACCCTGTCCCATGGCCCAGCGAATATCCTCAGCCCATTTTTTAAAATCCCTGTCTCTCCAACCCAGTATGTTCAGCAATCTCTCCGCCTCCCACGAGACATTAGACTGTCGCGCCTGCTTTGGGATGCCCACGTTTCGTAGACTCGCCAATCCGCACAGCACATTAATTTTTTCAGATCTTCGTTCCAGGGGTAGGATACACCATTCTTTCGCGTATTCGCGCAAGTTCCGCCGTATGACATCCCTTTGCTCCTCGTTGACATCTTTCCAGTCAGATGGACTGGCCCTCGAGTTCAAAAGCCAATCTATCAAGATCGACACGGAATCGGTAGGTTTGAAGCAAAAGAATCGGTGGGAATATCTTCCACGTTCCTCAGAAGTGTGATGTCCACATTTTTCAATGTAGGCACCAGGTTTAATGATGTCTGGGAAAAGACCTCTTCGTGCTTTATCTTTACAGAATTTGTAGTCGTGGGGATGTGTTTCGACCTTTTCGCACCAGCAGCCCCATCCGGAGATGTAATCGGCGCTTGGGCTGCGAGGGTAGAAGCAGAGGTAGTGGTGCCTTTTGAAGTGTTTCGGGAGGCGTTCGAATACGAGGATTTCTAAGCCGATTTTGAGGTCTTGGTAGAACGTGTCACTGGCGCTTGAGCTCGACATTGTGATGTTCTTGCGAGTGATAGACTTGGTTGGTTTATTTTAGTGTTTCGTGAATGATGGATTGGGTTGGTGGGTTTGAGGGCAAGTTTTATGGAGATCTAGGAAGATTTAAGTATTTCGAGGGGATGTTGATGTGTGCAGTGATGAGGCTGTTCAGGAGCTGTTCAAGGTATGTGGTGAGGCTATTCAAGGCGTGCGGTGAAACTGTTCAAGGTATGTGGTAGCAACTGTTCAAGGTATGTTGTGACACTGTTCATAGTGTCTCGTGATGATGAGCGTGGTGATGGAGCCGTCGAGTTATCAGAGATGATCCATACGCAGTGATTCAGTAAACGATATCAAGCATGACTGTCCTACGCAACTGACTTATATATTCGCAATGAACAACTTGAAACTGGGCCAAGAGATCATCTCTATAACATCGAAAGACAAAGAAAGGGCAACTTTACAGCAAGACTACCAATCACAGAATCGTCAAGTAAGGGGGGTATACATCATCAAAGGATAATAACGAGGCAACTTAACAGCAAGAATCACCAATCACCAATCATAAGATCAAGTAGGGGAGTACACAGAATCACAAGATGAAGAAGAGGCAACTCTACAGCAAGAACTACCAATCATAGGGTCAAGCGGGAGGATAGTCAGCGTTAAAGAACAAAGAAAAGGCAATTCTACAGCGAAACCCACTAATTATAGAACCTTCAACTGGGCGGATAGGCAGCATCGAAGGACAAAGAAAAGACAACTTCACCAATCATAGAATCGTCAAGTAGGAGGATATGCAGTTTGCGTTTCACATTCATTAACCAAATCCCGTCCTACGCCTAGTCTAAAGAACACACATGAATCAAAGTCCAAATAATTCCCCCAACTTGAAAAACAAACTCCGCAATATAAAATCCAGAAGATAAAAATCCTCCCCATATGCCCCCGACAATTATATATAGTCATGAAAGTTTTTCATCCCTCCCTGATAGGAGATGTACCCATGAGTAGAAAAAGAAAAGATATCCTTAAAAATAAAGCCTTCGTTTCCAAATTCATAGTCATGGCCGTGTTGTTCCTCCCAGAAGCATCTCCTTGCACACCTTTAATCGTTCTCGCGCTTCGACAAGCAGCTCCGTATCTGCCTCTTCGAGAATGTCCACCATTACATCCAGCAAATCAGGTAAGCCCTCGTGTAAAACGGCTGATGCCTGCTCATCCAGCTCCGGTAACGCAGCCACACTGGATACGTACTCGACCATCCGCGCATAGCTACTATGTCCCAGCTGCGATGTCGGCAACGGAAACCCCTTGCCCGGCGGCCGTCCTAAAGCCTGCACAAAGGCCCAGATGGCCAAAACGGCGTAGTACATGATCCACGGCCGGTGAGGATCTGGTTCGTTGCGGACAGAGTACTGGATGGCGGAGTGTTCAGGGGGGTGCGGGCTGTTTCTGCGGCGAGGGTGAGGATCGACGACAACACGGTAGAGAAGCTTGAAGGCGTGCAAGATGGCGTGGCGTGTTGATGCCTGTGTTGACCAGGCGCTCATGCGCTTGATGACGTTGGAGTAGTCCCTGGACGAGACCTTGCGGCCGAGAAGACGCTTCGCGCCGGCGTACACCTGGCAGTCGACAATGTCCGCGTGGAGGCTGATGTGTGCTAAATGATACAGCACCGAAGCACTATTGATGGGCCCGTTGGGAATGCCGCGATGACCAGGGGCGTCAGAGATGGAGTCGGACATGGCGATGTCGAAGCTGCCCTTCCAGTTGTCAAACGCGCGCAGCAGCATCTTGCGCCAATTTTCCTGTGTCTCCATGGATGGCGTGCGGATGTCGAGCCACTTGAGGTGCGTCTCGCGGTGGTTCAGGTGCCAGCCCACGCTAAGCAGGCCCGAGATGATAATCATGCGTCCAAAAGAGTGCGTCTTGACCTCCTTGCCATGCAACGCGCTCTTAAGCCCATCCAGGAACGACACCTGCTTGACGCCGTACATGCGAAAGTTTGCGTCCAGTTGCCGCACTACGTCGGGGCTGTTAGCCGCCCATAGATTGTCGTCGCAGGGGAGAGGTAGCCGGATCTCGTGAGGAGCCATGTCGGCGGCGTGGCCAAACATGGCGGCGTGGATGACGTCGAGCATAAAGGCCGCAAATACCACGCGGTGCATTGACTCCGTCTCAGCCCATCGAGTCCACCACGTCCGAGAATCCAAGGCCATGTTTGGCGTCTGGCGATCGGGTCCTAGCGAATCTGGTTCTGGAGGAGATTCACTGCCAGTTCTGCCAATCAGGGGGCTTCCACGTCTGAGAAGTGTTAGGAAAGCAGGGTGGTAGATGTGCGCCCTCTCGTGCAGTTTTCGAGAAGAGTACAGCTTCTCGTAGAATTCGAGAAGCAAAAGAGCCTGCAGTACCCAAAGGCTTGCTGGCGGTGCAGAGTCGTCCGAGGTTAGAATCTCCCATCTCACGCATGAAATAACGACGTCAGCGAATGCGCCGTACTCGGAGAGCTGCCCCGTCATGTCACGGCCGCGCAATGAGGCGGCACCGAGAGACAGCATGACGAGGAGGAGCAAGACGGGGCATCGGTTCGGAGAAAAGGTGTGTTGGTGGATAATGGGCAGCCGAGGCGAGACATTGTCCCAAAACTCCTTGAGACAGTCTCTCATCATGTCGAGGTTGAGCGCCGGCATATCGCCGCCGCTTTCAAGGACCAGATTGGGCATCAACGGCTCGTACCTGGGCTGCTTCTTGCGGAATGTCTGGAACCAGTGAAGCAGTTCCTGGCGCCTCGATTCGGTGATCCAATCGTCGGAAGATGACTCAGAAAGCCGCTGAGGCTGGTCCATGGGCGACAAGCTGGTGAGGGATTCGTAGTCGTAGTGGATATTATTGTTGAAGGTAGACTCCAGTCCGCCCTCGAGGAATGGCAGACTCGCCATACTAAAGTCGCTATAGGTAGTCTGAGGGTCAAAGAGCCATGCGGCAAAGTTGCCCTGCGTCAATGAGTCGTCGGTGGGATATCCAACCGCGCCGAAGCCCACCATGCCTGAAGGCTCCGGTAGAGCGGTTGGATCCGCCGCGTAGAAGCTTGGCCGGTGCCGCATCATGTTGCCCGAGCGGTCGTCGAGCGAAGGCGCCCAGGTCGCGGCTTGGTGGCTCGCCCTGGTCATGCTGTGGCTCAGCGGCGCCGGAGTGGGAGCCGTGTTGGACTCGGGCGTCAGCAGGATGGCGGCATCGTGAGGCCCAGACGGCTGTTGTCCGTAGGAAGACTGCGGCGGAATGGCGATGGTGTGGCGGTCGGGGGGCGACTTGACGGTCTCGCCCGTGTCGAAGCTGGGGATGCGATTCCTGGGCGTGTACGAGGCCGTGTGCCGCTTCTTATGGCGCGACAAGAGATCGAGGCGCACAAACTTTTGGTCGCAGTCGCCCACGTCGCATCGGTAGATTTCCTTGGGGTTGTCTGTGGTGGTCGCAAACAAACAATCAGCCATCGGCCATCATATCACAACAATCATTGATCCAATTCAACTTACGGTTCAGCTGATGGCGCTGCAGGTGCTCGGCTCGCGAATAAATCTTCTCGCAGCCAGCATGATCGCACACGAACCTCCGCGGCGCGCCTTTGCGACTCGCGCGCTTGTAGCCCGAACCCGTATTGGAACTGCTGCCGCTACCGTTGACGTTGATCGTGCCAGCGCTGGATCCCGAGCTGGTGCGAGTCGTCGTAAAGACATTCGCGGTCTGTGACGACTCCATCCAGGTCATATATTCATTGCTGGCCCCCGTCGATGAAGCCAGAGTGCATGGGGGGAAGGTTTGCGATATGTTCCAGTCTCGTGTCGCCGCCTCTTGTGCAGCGAACCCCAGCAATCCAATCCGCATCGGCACTCTCCAACCAGACACACGAGGATTTGCTCAGAAGGGGTCCTTTTCCGTTCCGCGGGGACCAAGACTGGGGAAATCCCACGTTCCAATGTCCAACGTTTCCGGGGTGACCCCCACCGAGGCGGATTGCTGTCGAACAATCTCCAACTTTTGCTGGAGTTTTCGCCGCCACTTATCAAGATAGCCACTTTCTGGGGGAACTCGACCCTCTGGACCCTTATCGGTCAGTGGGGGTCACCGCCTGGCTGAGCCTGTGCCTCTCAACGCCTATCTTTGCCTGAATCCCTCAAAAGGGAAAACGGCATTGGACATTTCCAAAGCTCTGCCAAATGCCTCTATTCGAGCTAGGCCATCTATGTTACGTAGTATTGGCCGACTATTGGGGACTAGTCGCTCTGTCAAACACGCCTTGGCGCCTATTATCACGAGTACTATCGATTCTCTATCATGATATTGGGTAGGCATTCGGAATATGCTTCAATAATACGGGTCGATCAACATTCTATAATAGCCCATACTCTATACTCCGCAGTCCATGTGCCACGAAACCGTCCATCCTTCTTTTGCCGCTTTTACCATCCAACTATTCTCATGATCATAAAAGCTATCATGGCTTCGCACCAGTAACCTTGAGGATGATCTAGGCTCTCGCCTAAGCTCTGAATACGGTGTCACCCCAGATAAGTATCGCTAGATACGACTACCACCTTGGTGTAATCTTCTCGAACCCATTTAACTCAAGAGCCAAACTCTCTTTGAAATCTATCCGAAGCGATTCGCCACCCCAAGAATATACACGTATGGTATCCTTTTTTGCCGTTGCCGCGACAGGCCCATTCATATCGGCCTTGTCCCTTGATCTTTCGTACCCTGTTGCCAATGAAAATTTTCTCGCATTTCCCAAAACTCATGATGCTGTAGCCTCGTTCTCCTCCTCTGCGCCTTCTCCATCCTCAAGCTTGACCGACTCAACGGCGCCGTTCAGTCCACTCTCCTGGTTCTTCTCCTCCAGCATGCCCGCAGAGGCCAAGAAGAATTGCGCCACCTCATTGTGCTCGTTCTGGTAGGCCAAGTCGAGGGGGACGTAGTTTCGCTCGTTGGCCACTGCCGGCAAAGCGCCCTGTGCCATGAGAAGCTTGACGACGTCCAGGTGGCCTCCGAGTGCTGCCCAATGCAGACCAGTGTTTCCGTGCTCATTGGCGTCATCCAGGAAAGCCTGCTTCTCTTCCTTGGGTCTCTCATCAAAGTACTGAATGAGTTTGCGAACAGTCTCTGAATGCCCCGTCAGTCCCTCTCTATCCATGGCATGTCCTCATATCTCTTCAAGGGCGCATTCATGGCAGACTCTAGCTAGAGCCCAATGAGGATTTGTTAAATTTCTTACCTAGATGGCCATTTCCTGCCGCCATGTGCAAAGCCGTTGACTTGCCCTCATCCTTGGCGGCCAACAGGATCTCAGCTGGTGACACCTTCTCGCGCTCTGACAGGGTTGTCAGGGTCTCAACGAGATCAGCATCTTCGCCCACTCTGGCAAAGTACACCACGTCATCGATTTCGTCTTCTGTGAGGTTTGGCGCCATGGTGATGAATGAGTTCTCACTCTTCTTGGTTGCAAAAATGCATGTATAAAATTTTAGATCAATTCTTGCATGTGGAGGGGACTGTGCGGGTATCGTGCCCCGCGATTTTTGCACTGTGCTTTGAGTCCCGGGTAGGTGGGCATTTTGACTAGCTATCTCGAACGAAACAAGCTTGTTCAGCGTCTAAAAATCTGGTTTCACAAAGAAATACATACAAGTGTAAGTCAGACCAGGCAATATGCTTTCGGAGATCATCAGCCTCAAAATCTTTCCACATAGGCTCAAAACTACAAATATTCTCCATGATGAGTGATGAGTGTTGGAGACAAAAGAGTTGGGTGGTAATATCCTTCTCTTTGTTGCTCTCATTCCCTCAGATGTCTTCACGCCCCCAAAAGCAATTGCCCAATCTTAGTATCAAGCCATTCCGTCAAATTGCCTGCTTCATCGAGCCATTGTATCTCAGCCTTGATACCCATCATCAACATAACTTGAAGCTCTCGTCCAAGTTCGACGGCTGTAGAATCATCTCCAGAGTCTACAAGCTTTTTTAAAATTCCAACGGCGACGTTTCGATCTCGTGTTGTAAGGGCTGAAATTGGTTCACGACATTCAGTAGACGAGATGGAGGTTTTGGAGCCCGTGCTTTCCCTGGATGATTGGCCCTCCAGTAGCTGTAAGCTGTCCGGAGATGGTATTCTCAGCATATCAAGACGGCTCTCGCGCTCTAGGAGATCTTGCGATTTGATTCCTAACCAGCGTATTGCCGGAGCCGTAAAACCTTCAGACACAATCTCCGATTTGAGGCGGTAGTGGCGAAGAATATTGAGCCCATCAGGGTCGTAATCAGCCAAGACAAAGATTGGTATATGTGGGCAGTTGAAGCGAATCAGTTGCACAAACGAACATGTAAGCATGTCTGGGTATCCCTTCGCCTTAACCCCCCTGACGTTAGCTGTTATGATGATAGAGTAAACCTAGGGGAGACATGCCGTTATGAGGAGCCCTGGGCCAACACATGACGTTTCCCAAAACAGGCAAGAGGTTAAGGAACGATATATTGCCTTGGTGAGGTCAGTAAGAGGAGAAGCCTGTTGCACACTTATGCAAAGTACAAACATCTTTCTCAATAATCAGTATCCATCGGATGGTTTCGCAGTTGATGGCTGCAATGGACCCGGCTGCCGGCAATGCAATTCCCTTGTCAGGACGTTAGAGTAAGAAAACGGCAATGAATAATTGTTGCGAGTGAATATACGAACTACCTCTCCAGTAGCGGGACCAATCACTGTGCTGTCTTGGAGGCGAATACTCAGAGGCCCCAAGAAAACACCTTTGGAAGATGCAACCTAGACCCATTAACTGAATTCTAGGATCAATAATTATTCAACGTACAATGTTCAAGTCGTCACGTCGAACGTTGAGTGCAGAGGCAAGGTTGTCCACCAACTCGTCTACGGTTCTTTGCCTCACGAAAAGCCCTTGATGTTGGTAGAAAATGTGACTGTATCAAAATATTTTGGTTACGATATTGGAAGGTCAAGTCACAATGTCTCCAATACTAACCGCTTGGTCAATACTGTTCCTGAGACGAGAGCATCATGGGCGAGCTGCAGGATGAGAAGTATCCGGGCTTGAAATCACATAAGATGAGAAGTAGATCGCAAAATCAACCCGCTTGGGCAATGATGCGTACCAAACTTTGTGGCTTCCACAGCAGTCCTTCCTGGGAAACGGACCGTTTGCGGGCTATTTCCTGATCCTGATCTGTTGGACACAAAGTCGATGCTGAGCTCCTGTCCTTGGGCCACGCAGTCCAGAATAGCCTCCAGGATGGATTCGATGCGGGAGACGACTGTTCCAGCGGATGTCGTCATGGTGACCGGCCGGATGATTATCTGCCGTGCTTCTCGGATTGTTCTGTGTCCCGTTGGTTGATCCATGATGGATTCTGGAGGCTATCACAAGCCAAATGGACGCAGTGTCGGGGTTTTGAGCAGTCCGTGGAGTGTTGAGCGATGGCGGTGGAATCCAACCCGAGCAAGTGTGTGAGGCCAAGTACGAATACGAAGACGGCTGCAAGGGGCATTATCTGTTGACGGGCAGTTTTCTGTTGACGCTGGAGGCAGTTTTTAGCGCTAGCGCCCTCTGAAAGGGGATGTCGCTGCCACTGCAGACACAGTAATAGCGCTAAAGCAATGCGATCCAATGCCCGAATCAGACAAATTGCAGATGCTAACATCCAATTGATCAGGCCTCTTAGGTAATTGGAGGCCAAGCTCAAGTTTGTTGGTTCCCTTCGCATGTGAAAGCTCAGGAGCGACTCTCCCCTCGCCATTATAAATCATTCAACTGGCCTCCGTTGCCAATCGGCCATTCACTATTCACTCCACGCAACTCTCCTGTCAAAATGGCTACTGCAACAGGTCGAGATGCTGGCGGCAGCGCCAAGTCTCGCAAGCGTGCCTCTGATGATTCCGACAACTTCCCCAAGCGCCCCAAGCTGGAGGCCAAGACAGACCTCACACGATGGAGAGTCAAGGACGACGACAGCCGCCATACGTGGCATTATCTAGCTGACGACAAGGCAGCGGCAGAATGGCCGCAGAGCTATGCCGAGAAGTGGTTTCTAAACTTGCCCACGGTATGCCTTGCCCCTCGATTGAAATCGAATTACTTGCAGAGCTGATACTGATACGGCGTTGCACTAGGGTCTACCTACGCTCCCAAAGGCCGAGACGCCGCTCGAAGCTGCTCAAAATGGCCTCACCTTCTTTGAAAAGCTTCAAATGCCCTCTGGCCACTGGGCCTGCGAGTATGGTGGTCCCATGTTCCTCCTCAGCGGTGTTGTCATCGCCTGGTATGTCACCAAGACACCAATTTCCGACGCCTACGCGACCGAGATCAAGAACTACCTCACCGCACGAGCGCATCCCGAAGACGGCGGCTGGGGTCTACACATCGAGGGTGAAAGCACAGTCTTTGGCACCGCCATGAACTATGTTGTCCTCCGGATTGTTGGCGTCGATCCCGAGGACCCTGTCATGATCAAGGCCAGGGGAACTCTGCACAAGCTAGGCGGCGCACTCAACGCCCCTCACTGGGGCAAGTTTTGGCTCGCAGTGCTGGGTGTGGTGGACTGGGATATCGTGAACCCTGTGCCCCCCGAGATCTGGCTGCTCCCTGATTGGGTCCCGATTGCTCCCTGGCGATGGTGGATCCATATCCGACAGGTGTTTTTGCCCATGGGATACTTGTATTCCAAGAGATGGAGCTGCGAAGAGACGGACATTACTCGGGCGTTGAAGCAAGAGTTGTTTGTACAGCCTCACGCCGAGATCATCTGGGCTAGTCACCGAAACGACATTTCTGCCATTGATAATTACCATCCCAAGTCATGGCTGCTCAACACGATCAACTGGGTCCTGGTGAATGTCTACAACCCCTACCTCCGCTTCAACTTTCTCAAAGAGAGGGGAGAGAAATGGGTTAGCGAGCTTGTCGACATGGAAGATGCAAACACTGAGTATTCGTGCTTGGCCCCGGTGAACGCGCCGATGAATACGCTCGTATGCTACATCCGTGACGGCCCTGACGCATACAGCACCAAGAGGCATATCGAGAGGCTGGAGGAGTACCTTTGGGTAAAAGACGAAGGACTGCTGTGCAATGGCACAAACGGCGTCCAGTGCTGGGACACCTCCTTTGCCATCCTGTCCGTGGTCGAGTCTGGGCTGCATACAGATGAACGGTGGAAGCCCATGCTGTTAAAGGGCCTCGAGTACCTGGACAGACACCAAATCAGGGAGAACTGCAAGGACCAAGAAAAGTGCTATCGACAGCCCCGAAAGGGTGCCTGGCCGTTTAGCAACAGAGACCAGGGCTATGGTGTGAGCGACTGTACTTCTGAGGCTCTCAAGGCCGTCATCTTGCTACAGAAAACGGAGGGATATCCGCAACTTGTAGACGACCAGCGAATCTTTGATTCCGTGGACACGCTGCTGCTGTACCAGAACGACAACGGTGCCGTCTCATCCTACGAGGCTAGAAGGGGTGATGAGTTGCTGGAGCTGCTGAACGCAGCCGAAGTGTTTGGCAGGATCATGATTGAATACGACTATCCCGAATGCACAACTGCTTGTGTCCAGGCCTTGTCTCTCTTCCACAAGCACTGGCCCGACTACCGAACCAAGGATGTCAAGCTGTTCATCAGGAGGGCCACCAATTGGATCAGGACCAACCAGAAGTACGATGGCAGTTGGTATGGAAGCTGGGGGATATGCTTTACTTATGCCTCTATGTTTGCCCTCCAGAGCATGAAGGCGGTTGGAGAGACGTACTCCAACAGCCAGATCTCCCGAGCAGGCTGCGATTTCCTCATTTCCAAACAGCGTGAAGATGGCGGCTGGTCTGAAAGTTACCGGGTGAGTGGCCACGTCATCTCGACGAACAACTCGTTTGTTTTTACCGTATCCTTGCTAACGCATATTCTTAATTCTTCAGGCGTGTGAAACCATGAAATATTCCGAACACGAGTCAGGATCCCTTGTGGTGCAGACAGCCTGGGCACTCATTGGGCTCCTGGTGGCAGAGTATCCGGACGTGGAGCCGATCAAGAAGGGTATCCGCTTGATTGCGAGCCGCCAACAGGAAAACGGCGAGTGGCTGCAGGAGGCCATTGAGGGCGTGTTTAACAAGTCTTGCATGATTTCGTATCCCAACTACAAGTTTACTTTTACCATCAAGGCGTTGGGGATGTTTGCAAAGAGATACCCTGATGAGAAGTTGTAAGCGGATGAACGGACGCATGCATGGAAATATGGATGTATGAGTTGATGATTACGATGCTCTTTGTCTTGAAGCTAGGGATTTATGGTACCTTACCTATCTATCAGAGTTTAATACCGTTAAAGTATACCTACCTTAGTACTTACCTAGGTAATACCTAATTGAAGCCATTTGCACTGCCTAAAGCGTCTTTTCTGTGCCTTTCTTTGAGTTTCTCCGGCTCTCTATCTGAAGGCTGCCATACGCTTTAGATACTAAGCTACCAGTGTTGCCTGTCTGCGGGACTCGTTCTATACAACTTTACAAAACTATGTACACACTGTTCATGTATATAATGTTGTTTCATTAATCTATCTATGGTAAATTTCAAGATAGATTAATGCGTTTATTCCTTCAAGAACAATTTGTACATATTCATGTTTCCTTGGCATCACCGATGCTTCTTTGTGTCTGATTCGCCCACCCCAGCAAACGCAGAAGTGGGGCGCCGAAGTGCATTGAAGCTTCCACGCCTCACCCCACTAGAGCTTTAAACTCCAACTGCAACTTTCCTCCCACCATACTTAAACTTGCTCTTCTGCCACTCACTACCTTTCACCTCACCCTTGGCCGCTTTTTATTTCCAAACCATTCTCTTACGACGGGATTGCATCAACAAGCAAAACAAACCCCCCAGCATCTTCAAGAACCAGAAATCCTCGCTTACTATTAAACCTACTGCGCCATAGTCGACCATGTCATACGTCACTATGGCCCAGCAGGGCCTCGCTGCCGTGGACGCAGCCAACTGGGAAGAGGCCCTCAACAAGCTCTCCTTTGCACTCAAGGAATCTCTCAGCCCAGTCTGGCTGATTGCTCGCTCAAAGGCCCTGGCCGGGCTCGGGCGACCCCAGGAAGCCCTCGACGATGCCGACCTCGCCTGGCACATGGCCATAGAGCGTAACAAGCGCGAGCTCATGGCGACCGCTCAGTACCGTCGCGGGGTGGCCTTTTTCCAGCTCAAGCAGTACGCCAACGCCGACTACTGCTTTATGCACTGCATGAGAATCATCAAGGGTGGTCCAGCGGTGCCTAAGGAGGACCCCGGCCTGGAGTTGGTGGATGAGAAGGGTTTCTGGACCGTGACGGCTGCCGAGGCACTCGCTGCTGCTCGCTACGATGATATTGGCAAGAAGGACAGCACGTTGCAGGGGGAAAATCCATTGGCTGCGGCGGCGGCAAACAGGCCGCACTTTAGGGAATGGCGGATGGCTAGCAATATGCGAATCCAGGCCCTGTCGGCCATGGAGAAGCTGCCGACGGATGACGACGCTAGGAAGCTGACGACAACCATGGTTCCCGAGAAAAAGGGCCTCGCCGACCACCAGTCTTCCAAGGTCGGTGTGGAGGCTGCCAAGGTGGAGGTTGCTAAAGCTCAGACTGCAAAGACGGCGGAGGTTAACAAGGCGGAGGTCAAAGCAGAAACGCCTGCGGTTCCCAAAGACACCCCGCTGCGGTTGCAGGATTTCCAAAGCAACACACAGATGTCGGTTTCGATTTTCTCAAAGGGTGTGAACAAGGAGAAGCTTCAAGTCCAGTTCCTCGAATCCTCGGTTCGTCTGGATCCTCTGGTCTATCCAAACGGTGACGAGAAGGAGTTTGAACTTGACCTGTGGGGAGAAATTATTCCTGCCAAGTCCCAGTATACCGTTACACCTAACAAGGTTGAGCTGAGCTTGGCCAAGAAAACACCTGGCAAATGGGCAACCCTCAAAGGTGATGGATCAGCCAAGCGAGCACCAGTCTCCAGTCCTCAGGTCGTGGAAACAACGTAAGTTTTTATGTGGCATCATCGTGTTGACCTTGGTATATCACTGGCTGACATGCTGTCACTGCTCTAGTTCCGAGAAAGCTCCAGTTGTAGTTCCCGCTGCGGCCCCAGCTGCGGCCCCAGCACCAGCTGCGACACCGGCGTATCCCACATCATCACGCAGTGGTCCTAAAAACTGGGATCAGTTTGGGGCTGACGAAAATTCAGATGACGAGAAGGATGTTAACCTCTTCTTCAAGAAACTGTACAAAGGCGCCACCCCTGAGCAGCAACGGGCCATGATGAAGAGCTTCACGGAGAGCAATGGAACTTCCCTGAGCACGAACTGGGACGATGTCAAGGGTAAGAAGGTCGAGACTGTGCCTCCCGAAGGAGTTGAGGCAAAGAAGTGGTAGTGATCGGTGCTACCAGATGAGAGGTGCTGAATGGATCGGACAAGCTCTGTTATTGGAGGCTTGCGACGAGATGTAGGAGCATTAGTTTTTCAATTGTCATGATGCACGGCGCACCAAACGGAGGGGAAAAGGGAATTTGCTTTTGGCTGTCTTTTTACGTTGCCACTTCTAGGTTGCTTATGAGAGATTATGTACACCTGAGGCTATAGTAGGTAGTCTCTATATACTCTTTCTACGTTTTACATCATGTTTATTTTTTTTGCCGTGTTTTTTATCTGGCATCTCATGTCATATACAACCATCATCGTCATCATAACAGTCAGTCCTCCAACGCCGGATCAATCTCCTTGATCCTCCTTACAACATCCTCATGCCACTTCGTCTCCCTCAACGCCTTCTGCGCCAGCGCCGGCGCCCACGGCCTCTCCCCACGATACTTTTCCGCCAATCCCTTGGGTATATGGGCTGCCCTCGACAGAAAATCCTCGGCGGCAATGTACGCTCCCCTGAGCCACCTCGCCCCTCCGCCAGCAGCGTCAAAGGCATTGCGGCCGTGCAGCACGCGCAGGTTGTCGAACAGCACACACTCCCCCGGCTCCATCTTTTGCTCGTGGATGGCGTCCCGGTCGTTGATCAGCGAGGCGAAGATGCTAGCGGGCTCGATCCAGCGGCGGATGTCCTTGACGGGGCTGAGGTAGCGGCCCTGGAAGGGGGGCGACCAGAAGACGTTTGTGAAGCCCGCGTCGTTGCCGTCGATGACGCGGCGCGAGGAGAAGTAGTGATAGCCGTTTTTGCCGTACTGGTAGGGGACGTGGTGTTCTGCCAGGGGGGCCATGCGGTGTCTCGTGAGGAACGGCCAGAGGAGGCGGCCGACGCGCTCGCCGTCGCTGAAGAGGGATTCGCCGCCTGCGCAGGAGTTGTCCATGCAGTGCAGGACTTGGATCATGGGCGGCGGGTCGAGATACAACAAATCCTGGTGCAGACCGAGAAAACCGCTCGTGTAAGCGACGTTTTCGGCGTTTGGTTTCGCGCGGACGTCGAATGTGCGGCCGTAGAATGTCTCGCGGATGTTTGCGATGCGGGTTGTGATTCGCACGATGGAGTCTTCGTCCCGGGGCACGTTCTTGAGGTACACCAGTCCGAAGCGACAAATGTCGATGATGACGTCCCAAAAGGCCTCGCTGTCGTCCTTCATGAACTCGGCGTAGTCGATGCGCCGGACTTGCTGGGCGATGGTCTCGCGGTCCCAATATACGACTCCCGTACGACGCAGGACAGATCGTTGACGAGGCAGTGTGACGTCTTCCATGCCTTTTCTCTTAAGCGACAAATCGACGGAATCCCACGGCAGAAGCATGACGTGAGGCTTGCTTTCATCTTCAACAAACCGCGGGATGTCGCGCAAAAAGGTGATTTCCAGCCCCTTTTTCGTAGGCTTGACATTCTGCAGGCCGATATCCACGGGGATCTCGACGGAGGAATACGTCTTCTGGCCGGATGAAGTGTCTCTGCACCGCGGACAAGCGCAACTATCCCTCAACGTCGCCGGCTTCAGCGCCCGTCTCCCATTCTCCGTCTCCGGATCCTCCACAAAGAGAAACCTGTCCGTCCAAGCAACCTTCGTGGGCCCCCTCTTGGCCGTCTCATCGAGGAAAGTGAAGCGCTTGGCTTCCCTCGGAATCTCCAGCTTAGGCCAGTACCGCGCCGCCGAAGTCTGCTGTGGCCCAGCTTCCTTGGCCAAGATCCTTCTCTGCTGCGGTCTGTATTCCGTCTCTGATTCTGGCTTCTGCTGCTTTTGTCTCCTTGAAGAGCCGTATGTCGCTGCTGTGTGAGCGGTGCGATAAGCCACGGCTTTAGTAGCTTGAGCCTTTGCCGATGCCGCGGCTCTGGCCCGAGAAGTGCGAGCCAGGGACAACATGGCTACAACAAACAAAACACTTTTCGATAACGAAGGAGGAATTAAGTCGCTTATGCCCTCTGAATGTGCCAACGTAATCACTGACTCGAGAATTCACTTGAAGTCGAAGCAATTGTGAAGTCGCATGGTCTGGCTGCGCTAATAAGAGCGGGCGAGTGGACCGAGGCACAATCCGCCTGACCGAGAAGAGCCAAGCTGTTGAACCAAGCTGTTGCTGAAAGAGCATGAGCTTTCGTGAGAAGCATAACAGAGAAATGAGATGGAATAATTATACAAATGTTATTCTATAATGATTGATGTTCTTTTTTTTTCTTTATTTTTCTCTGCGCTATTGATACTATTGACACTTGTTTCCACATATCTTGTCCGTTCATCAACATCTCGTCTTTATTATCCTCCTCGGCCCAAGGGAAGCCTTCTATCACTTGACAATCCGTGGCGTCTGAATCACATGCTTCAAAAGTACATTGGGTATAATATGTGTCAATTTTCGATATTCAGCTATTCAGAAATGCTACCAATCAATTTAGGTTTCTCTTGGACATTGCGCCAACTCTTTGTTTAAAAATGCACCTGTGACTTGATCCAGATTCGTTCCATCGTTTCTCGTATACATTACACATGTTGTCGCCGACGTGTATCCCATAGCATTTGCACATTCGATAAATTCCCCAAGTATCGCCGTAATGTTACACACAAAGACACTGCAAAGGAAAATGTAGAAATTGAAATAGACGTCAACAGTCCATTCATCGGTTTCGATTGCTCGACCATCTCTTTACCATGACCTCTCTGACCTTGTACAGCTTCATTGCCTCCGTGATGCCGTCCTTGAGCGCTTCTTCAAACTTGTGAGGAGGCGGCACATCCACGTAGATCAGCACCAAACTCTTGGTGACGTGGGACAGGACTCGTACAACGCTATGCAGCCATGACCACGGTTTCCGGGGGCCTTGTTTGCCCTCCTTTTTCCACCAAGCATCTGAGTACGAGGGGATCACAATCAGTCCAAACTCGGCATGGTCAAACACCGGTCCCCTGGCGTACAGCAGCCAGTCGACTCCGAATTTGATGCCTGCTCGAGGGACCCACCCCAGAGATCGGAAATGATGGTACACGGCATAATGGACGAGGAATCCGTCATCGGGCTCGAGGTCGGGCTCGTCTGGACCGTTTCGGGGAGGGAAATAAGAGTATTGCCGGAACAGATTAAAGAGGTCTTGACGCGACAGCACTCTGCCAGACGCAGGATCCGTGATTTCCAGAACCCCAAGGCCAAAAGAGAGGAAAAAGGCCTCCTCTGGCATCAGTTGGAGGTGCTCCTTGTTGATGATGGGATCTGACACGAGGACGCTTGCTGACGGCAGTTGGGACAGGGGTTGGCTCATCGACTTGTCATTGCCGTTGGCCTGGGATGGCTGGGAATACAACACGGGCGGGGAGCGGTTGGGGCTTGGGGGGTCGGAGGCTTTGTACGTTGCCGATTCCACCGTGGGAGAAAATCGCACGCTCTTTCTGCGTTGCAACGTCTTGTTTCCCGTGCCATCACTCGATGAGATTACAGATCGGTCGTCTCTAAACAGCTCTGGGGTCTCGGTGGCGATGGGAGTTCGGGGCTCCTCGGACTCATCAGTAGACGAACCGTGGTTGGAAGAAGACTGAGTCAATGATCCGTTTGCGTTATTGATGGGGGCCACATCAGCATCTGCCTTTACTTGCGTAAACTTGACAACGTCGGCCGCCGAGTTTGGCAGTGCCAGAATCTGCAGGGGACCGACAGGTGCAAGAAACGGCAAAGGCGCCAGAACGGGCTCCTGCCGTGATACGATGACTACCGCTGAGTTTGGGAGTGCGAGGAGCTCTAACGGGCCAACGGGTGCAAGGGGGAGCTTGGGAAAGTCTGAGACGACAGCCTCCAGGGCCTCCTGGGCTTCTTCAGCTTCTTGAGCCTCTTGGGCTTCTTGCGCCTCCTGTACCGCTTGTTTTGCCAGACGGCGAGCTTCAGCCAGCCGCTCCTCTTCAAGCTTCGTCTTCAATATGGCTTCTTGTTCAAGTCGCGCACGCTCCCACTTGGCTTGTGCTCGCTCATCTCGCCTCTGCTGCGTGAAAATCTCGCTGACGTGAACTTCCTGGAGTCCTCGCTGAACCTGCTCTCTCTTGAGCCAGTTCGGCTCACTTCGACTGAGGTTGCCCTTGCCATAGAAGCCTTGCTCCCACAAGGCCCTCATAGACTTTTCATCTTTGATGTGTACAGAGATTGTCGTCTCAGACCAGACGCCATGGTGGACAACGGCAGGCTCTACGGGCGGCGGCCGGAAAACCTGACCCAACCATGCGTAGGCGACATGGACCAGTGAGATAGGGTTGTTGGGGTAGAAGGCTGGGAGGGGAAAGGTTCGGATGGGTGCAGGCAGCGCGTATATCTGGTGGATGGATGGACCTCGCGGTTGCTGTTGTGCAGCTTGCGATTTGGCCTGGGCCTTGCCGTTGGCCTGGGCTTGGGGTTGGGCTTGGGGTGCAGGTGAAGCCTTGCCTATGGAAGGGGGCTCAGTATGAACTTGCATCTCAGCCATCTCGGACTGGGCTCATTTTGGCCTGGACCTGCAGGAGCTTTAGTCAGTTTTTGAAGCTCCAAAATATGTATAGCGAGACAAGGTGATGAGAGAGAAAGGATTTTCCCAAAACTGTATCAGATACCGTTGTAGTCTATAATCAAATGGCAATCACAGAGGTCTCCAAATGAATGGTCGCTCTTTGCACAAATGGTGATCATCATAACAGCAAGGGAGAGGGAAAACTCTGCTGTGTAACCCGTGGATGAAGACGACGAGCATCAGCTCTCCTTCGCCCGGGCAGAGCCAGAAGTAGCAACTTGAGCAAGAGTACGTTCAAGCTGAAGCAAAGCTCCCAAGTTGAAACAATTGGCGAAGCGCCTTGATGCGCATCAAGATAGAAAAAAGAAAAAGTATTTCGACTCACCTGTCTCAAGGCATGGCCCGGCAAATAACGACGCTTCTCTTGCTAAATGAGTCCAACAGGATCTCATCCACGGCCGTTCCAGAAAGGTAATGGAGACACTCTACCAGCCTGGGAACTGCGAAAAGAAAAGAGTGTCGAGACGCAAGAGGGAAGCTCTTTTTTGTTTGCTTTTTTTCCCTCTGCTTGTGGGTTTTTAAATCAAAGAGAGGGAAATTTTTCTGACTGCAGGGGATTTTCGGCGGTTGGTCGGAGAAAGTCGCAAAACTGGATCCGAAGCGGATGCCTGGGGCGCCAGGCGTCAAGAATGCGTGACCTGAGTGGCTGGATGCAGCGACGGGCGACCTTGCAGGCGGGCTACCGGCGGCCCAGGGCGGGTTTCCAGGGCACTCAGGCACCGCAAAAGCCCTGCAGGATGCCCTAAAGGTCGTGGCCCAATGTCATCAATCTTGATTCAAATGCCCACATGAGAGGTGTCATCCACATCAATGGGACCTGTCCTAACTTGTCCTAATAAACCTCCACTGAGTGGTTTTGATTTTGACCCGGTGCGCTCGTTGATTTCTATTTTAGGCCGGGCTCAGTTCCATCACATTGTTTAGAGCAGTTTCAAATGCTGCTGTGACGCCCCGGGCCTTCCGACAGGTGATGATGGATTGATGCAAATCAGCATCCAGAATCACACCACTTGCCGTGCCCCTTGAGTTGAAGGAACCTGGATGTACTGCACTCTGCATATACATACATGTGGCTGTGTGTGCATGTTGGAAGCAAGGTACAGTAACAAGAATGGACTGGATATGTACGAATACGCATGTGATTCTTGGTTCTCGCCAGCTTCAGCATCAAGTCTTCTCCTTTTGGAGCGTTTTTCCCCAACTCCCCGCTACCCCAAATCGTGGGTGTACGGACACAAAACGCCGTGACTGACCTCCATACTAAAAACACCAAAATCTGTCCGGCGTATTCTTTCACCCCCCTAAGCCACTTGGGCCGACGTTAGCGACCCGTCCAGGGCTTGTCCAAGCGTGTCAAGCTTACCCAACATCGCCAAGTCTGGGGACATCCATGGATCTTTTTTTCTGTCGTCGCCAACACGAACACACTTCCTCCATATTATACGCAGCTATCCCGCGCAGGCTTCTTCCTTGTCTGGACCTCACAGCGAGAGGCCTCTTTAATCTCAATCTGATTCTCAAGTCCCGGACGAGCCGTCCGTCGTGACTGTTGCTTGCTTGCTTGCTCTCCCCTCACCTACTTAATACTTTGCTGTCTACCCACCACCTGTCCTATATAATGTCCTGCCTCTCCCGCCGCTTTCGCAGGTGATTGTTCTACGCTCGAAGTGAAGGAGTAATGGTTATGCCTCGACCCTAGGCAGTGGAAATGACTAGCTTTGTTGAGGCTATAGCCACCATCTGCCTCGTCTGGGCCGTGGTTGTCGTCTTTGTCCAGATTGTCGGCATCACCTCCATGTAAGCCCTTCTCCCAGCCAGTCTTCAATCCCGACTTTCTTCTCGACAACACTTCGGGCTAATCACTTGTGTGTCTCTGCTCTGCTGCCAGATTCGTCAAATTCAACCAACGAAACCCCCCGCCGATATCCTCCACCCTCGAAGATGATGCCCCCAGCGTCACTATCATCCGGCCGGTCAAGGGCCTCGAGCCCTGTCTATACGAATGCATCGCCTCGACATTTCGCCAGGACTACCGCCGCCAAAAGGTTTCAGTCCGCCTGTGCATAGAAAGCACCGCCGACCCGGCCTATCCCGTCCTGCAGCAGCTGATCAAGGACTTTCCCGCCTACGATGCGCAGATCCTGGTCGAGGCCGAGGACCCGGTCCTGCACGGCGCAGAAGGTCGCGTCAACGTGTTGGGCCCGAATCCCAAGATACGAAATATTAGCAGGGCATACCGCGAGGCGCCGGGGGAGATTATTTGGATCATTGACTGCAATGTCTGGGTCGCGAGCGGCGTCTTGGGGCGGATGGTAGATACGTTGATGGGTTATGTTCCGGCCGATATGCCCGCGCGAAAGCCGTACAAATTCGTACACCAGCTGCCCCTTGTTGTCGATATCGTCGATTATCAAAAGGATGCTTCTGCCGAGAGTCAGGCGTTCCTTGGATCAGCTGCAGACACATCTAAGCACGGTAACGAGACTCTATGGAACCGGCTATGGAAGAACGGCGGCGGCCGTCTAGACGAAATGTTCATGGGCACCTCTCACGTCAAATTCTACGGCGCCATCAACGTCGTCGGAGTGGCCCCTTGCATCGTAGGCAAAAGCAACATGTTCCGCAAAGCTCACTTAGACCAAGTCACCGATCCCGCCCGGAATCCCATCCTACCAGCAAACGAAGGGCGTCCCCGCGGCGTCGACTACTTCTCCCACAACATCTGCGAGGACCATCTTATCGGGGACCTTCTCTGGCGCTCCAACATTCCCGGCTTCTTGAATCACGGCATCGCTTGGGGCGACTTGGTGCTGCAGCCAATGGCAGGCATGTCTGTGTCCGCCTACGCCGCCCGGAGAGTCCGTTGGCTGCGCGCCAGAAAATTCACCGTGTTGGCGGCTACTCTGGTAGAACCTGGTGTTGAATCATTTCTGTGCTGCGCGTATTTTGCTTTTGGCCTAACTACGTTGCCTTGGTTCCATGAGACCTTTGATATTCCGCAGACTTGGGCAGCCTTTGGATGGATTTGGCTCATGGCTATTCTGGCCTGGATGACAGTGGACTGGCACACGTTCAAACACCTCCACACAGGCTGCACCATCGAATCCGACCAAAACACGCCGAAATTCGCCTTCGGATCGGCCAGTCCCCTAGGTCTGCCAAAACGCCGATTCCTAGAATGGCTGCCAGCCTGGATCGGGAGAGAAGCGCTCGCCCTGCCCGTCTGGACTCGGGCCGTCCTGCTCGGCACAACAGTGAGCTGGCGCGGAAAAGTGTTCCAGGTCCGTCTGGATACGACTGTCGAAGAGCTTCCGAGTAGGACCCCGTCGAGATTGACCAGGACGCCGGAGCTGGAGAGAGCTAGACAAAGTAGTAGAGATAGGCTATACTGATGGCGAAAGACGGTTTGGTGTTATTTGTTTGGGATGGCATGAGATGGAATGGCATGAATGATTATCAATGATATTATTAGACGGGGATCGTAAGATTATTGATTGGGGGCGTTTAATGTAAGAAAAGAGCTGAATGCTTATTTTTGAGCTTTGTACGAAAAAAATCCGTATATGTGGTTCTAAGAAACGGTAATTTTGAAAATAGGAAGTGTATATGAAAGAAAAGAGAAGAGTACATGAAGAAACAAAAGAACCGTCAGTCGTGTCTCATAGCCCATCATAGCCAAATCCCTCAATCCAAAGAAATAACCCAACATCTACATAATATCCTTCTTTTATTTTTTTAATATTTTTTTTTTTTTAAACTTCTCAACTCTTTTCCACGCCTCCAAACATGCTCGCCGGCACCAATCTTGACCTCTTGGCAATAACTTCCGACAGCTGCATAATCGACAAAGAACTCATCAACTCCAACATCTGCACATGTCCCCCCAAATGCCCCGTGATCCAATTCCTCAGCTCCACCGCGACGAGCGAGTCCACGCCATACGTCGACACCGCGCGGTCCGGCTGGATCTCCGTCGTAGCAACCGCCAACAGGCGAGCGAGTTTCTGCTTCAAGCCCGTAAACACAGCTTCTATGGCTGCGTCGCCGCTGGACGAGCTTCGAAGCGCGGCCTGCACGTCAAAGGCGTCGTCATTGCCGCCTTTGGAGGCGCGAGGCGCCGTGCGGGACCAGATGTGTGAGAATCGAGCATCTGGACGCTGTGTGGCCGGGGAAGAAGGGTCAGGAGCGAATTGCCTCGCACCGCAAATGATTTGTCCTTTTGCGACGGGGTTTTGCATGGCGTAGTTGATCACTGCGAGTACTTCCTCAATCGTCTGTGGCCGGACGTCGGAAGAAGGCAGCATGTCTTCGTCACCACGTGCAGGGCCATCTTTATGCATTGTGCCAATGTCTATAGCTTTGACGGGGAAGCCCAGACGGGCTTGAGATTGAGCGAAGCTATCCCGGAACGCACCAATTGCATCCGTGACACTCTGTTCAGGGCCACCTACAACAGAGGAAGTGCGATTCAGCAGAATATAGAAGTCGAGGTTTGGACCAAAGGCTTCTTGAAGGCTGATGATGCCTTTAGCGGTGGGTTCAACAGTAGTGGACCACTGTGAGTATGTCACGGCTTTGATATCCGTATCCTAGTAATCAAATTGTCAGCTGATGCGCTCTAGGGAGCAAACACGGATATGAAAAGGAGCTCTTACAAATATTTCGGAATCCCCAAGAATGATTCCTCTGATGGGCGCGCCCGCGCTTGCGTCTCTAAGTTGATCCGCAAGGGGGTGAGTGGAAGTATTGCCGGGGATGAAGGCAACTTCTGTCCCGAGTCTCTTCACCTCATCACATACTGCCTCAATACCAGATCCTTGACACGCAATGAGTCGATGAGCTCCCAGTTTTGCCAAGTATTTGGCAATTGCTGTGTCCAAGTTCCCAACACTGCCAACAACAAGGTAAGAGCTGTTATTGCGCAGAGCCGCAGGCTTGGGCTTTGGTGGTTGAATCTTGAACCAGGTTAGTGACGAGACTATACAAAGAAACGATGTAAGCAAACACAACTTACCTTCAAAGGCAGACTGGAGTCCAGCTGGAACACCGTCTTGCCTATGTGACCACCCGCCTGCATAACTCGAAGCTGTTCTGCAACGTTGGAAGCATTGTACGTAGCGATTGGACCGAGTAACGGCAGGGTTCCCTTCTGGAGCATACTGAAGCAAGTTTCCAGCACCTCCTTGAACGCAAGCGGCCTTTCTCGAGCGAGGAATCCCATGTTAACGACAGAAAGAGAGGCATTTCTCTGGAGATGTTTCATATCAACCCGTCCACCATTTGCCACATCCCTTTCGCACAGCTGAATGATTCGGCCAAAGGGAGCTATGGCACTGCAACTTTCTGAAAATGCGTCTCCAGAAAGAGAACCGACAACAACGTCGACGCCTCGGCCATTAGTCAACTCAAGAAGACGATGACCGAGGTCCAGATCTCGGCTGGATAATATACGCTCAGCTGGAATGCCAAACGTCTTGCTGATGAACTCTGCTCTTTCCGAGCTTCCAGCAGTGATATATATCTCTTCAACACCAAAAGCTCTTGCAAGCGCAATTGCGGCCTGGCCGACCGCCCCAGCTCCAGAGTGAACCAAGATACTCTCACCTCGTTGGATCCTGCCAATGTCTCGGAGAGCATAAAGGGCAGTCGAGTAAGCCAATGGAACGGCAGCAGCAATTTCACTGCTGACATCTTCGGGAACCTTGACTGTGTGACGGACATCTACATTGCTGACAGTAGCAAGCCCATCAGGGGCAAAGAAGCTGACGCGATCTCCAACAGAAAAGCTTGACTGGGAAGCATCTCCAAATTCGATAATCGTGCCACTTCCCTCAAGGAGGAGAGCAGAATTGCCTTCAAGTTGGCCAGTAGTGGTCAGCATGTCCTTAAAGTTGAGTGCAAAAGTCTCCACGCGAACTTTGACTTGTGTTGGCTTAGGAGGTAGAGAATGGGCTTGATCATCCGCCCAGTATAAGGAATCGAATACTCCAACAGAGTTGATCCGGAGACTCAAAGGTCGTCCAACATCAGTGTAAACCTCATCGCGTGGATGATGCTTTGATGTAGCATCTTGAACCTGGAGGTTGACCTCCTTGTTCTTCAGCAGACGTGGTATCACAATATTTCCGTTGGACAGAGCAAGCTCCCATTCTGACGCCGAGTAGGGAGAAGCACTTGGACCGAGGTACTTTTCGTATACCTGCAAAATCCCAGAAGCCTCCGCCGACTCTGCGTCAATATCTAGAGTGAAAAGGCTGAGTTCAGGCCGTGATGCACGCAGGCTGCGCGCCAGACCTGTGATGAGCGCACCAGAAGTTTCTGAGCCAACCAGAGAAGCTCCCTTGGTTACCCATAGCACGGCTTTGGCATCAATCAAGAGGTTTCTTGTGTTTTCCCAATCCTTCTCAGATACTCCCACTAAGAAATCTTCGGCAACATCTGGAAGAAAGATGTAAGTTCCAGGAGCGGCTGTCGCTTCAGCAAGCGGAACGATAGACACAACAGTTCCCGGATATCGCGCTACCAGTCCGCTGCGTAGCTCACCCGCCAAGGCATCACTCTGCTGTCCTGTAAGGATGGAGATATTTCCAACGCCCGCCTTCACTCCGGTATTGGCAGCGTGCGAGATAAGTAGACTTGCTTCATGCTCTTCATCTGATTCAAAATCCCTCATTTCGACTAAAACGCCAGAAAAGCCGCTCTTTACGAGCACCTTGTCCCATTCTGGTGTTGATAGAAGAGGAGAGCTTATACGCCCTTCCTCTACACCTACCCACCAGTTTGGAAGACTCCCACCGAGCAGACCCCATCTCAGAGATGGCGCTGTGAGCTCTATAAAGGCAATTTGACCATCAGGTTTGAGAAGGCTGTTCAAGTTGTTAAGCGTATGCTCAATGCTACGTGTCATATGTAAAGCATTTGATGTGACAATGATATCGAAAGAATTGAGCTCAAACCCCTGTTGCGCTGGGGACTGTTCAATATCAAGGCACTTGAATTCCATCACATCTTCAAACACCTTCATCGTCTCTTGAGCTTTGGAAGTATGAATATCGGAAACATCTGTGAAAACGTATGTGCCTCGGGTAGTAGCATAGTCACGCTTTTCCCCGTAGAGGGTTTCAAGAAGTGCAGAAGTCAAGACGCCATCTCCCCCACCGACTTCTAGAATACGCAGATTCGGCACCTTGTATTGAAGCAACTTGAGATATTCGGCGAGCTGTATGTGGCATCTATTGAAGCAATCGTCTTCCGAGTAAAGGCGACGCAATAGCTCCGTATCTGAGAAGACAGACATTGTGTCTTGGCTCCCTCGCAGAATGTCAGCTAAATGGGGTCCAAGTTGGTTCAACACTTGGCCTGCCGCACTCAGCGCTTGGTCATTGGAATTGGTCAACGGAGCGATTGAAATATCTTGCTCTTGCATCCAGCCGTAGAAACGTCGCAAATGATGAGTAATTGATGGCTTATCCTCGTTTGAAATTTGAGCAAGAGTATCTCGGATGATGCCAAGAGAAACTGGATCACAAGTTCTCCGCAGGTGCTGATTTCTATAAACCAAATCTCTTTGGCAATACTTGGCCACAGCTTCTCTTGGAGAGGAAAACGGATCCATGAGCCATTCGACCTTATGACACAGGGGGTCATCGTCCTGGCTGGTAGCTTGCTGATAGCTACCCAGAGACGAGAATTTGATCCCTCCAACACGAAGTATGACACGGTCTGCACTGTCAAACTCAGTAACGAATATGTCGGAAGAGTGCTGCCTCAATCCATAGGGGTTCGTCCTAGCCGTAATGGAAACTTTTCGTCCAGGTACGAGATCCACGTCTGTAGAGATGCAAAGCTCATCAATAGCAGCGACGACCTGAGGACCGTCCAAGCTATTCGCGAAATTCACGCCGGGGAGACATGCCAAGAAGCAGCCTTCAAGTGTCGTGGGATGTATGTGATGCGGCTCTTGGTGGGCCGAGGGCATTGTGGCTTTCACATCCGGAATAGTCAGCTCACAGTTAGACTCCCAAGCACGGGCTGAGATGTAATCAAGGTTTGCAAAGCACCCAGAGTAGTCGTTTCCTGAAGAACTAAGAAGCTTGTAAAGCTGCTTTGACTCTAGTTGTGTCCACTCATCAGAGCCATCACCCACCCGAGATGAGACGACTGTAGAAGATGAGCCGGTTCTTAGTCTTCCCATATTCTCTGATAGAGTAATCAATCCTCGACAGTGCTCCGTAGATTCATTGTTCTGGGAGACACTGTAGATTCGAAATTCTTGCCACTTCAAGCTCGAATCACGAGATGTCACCGAATAAGGACGCAGAAGGGTAAAGACTTCGGCTCCAAATGCATCATCCTGTATAAGAAGAGGTCTATCGATGACGACTTGCTTAAACTCTATTACTCTGTTCTTCCATGGGCGTTGCAAAGTATTGGCCTGGCGCTTCAAGGCCTCCACAATCATGGTCAGGAAACCAGCTGCGGAGAACACAATCTGACCATCAATGCGATGGCCTTTGATCCATGGCATTTCAGAAAGCCTGATAAACATTCTCCAAGACGGCTCAGCGCTGATACTATCGGCTGCAGCAGATCCCAGAAGATCATGGCGGGGGAACTTTCGCGTACGGTACGCCTGACTTCTTCGGGATTCGTTCCAGTGCGCCTTGCTATGATTCCAGCTATATGACGGCAAGTTGGTCAGAACCTTTGTGTGGACACCCAAGGGGTTGTTGACGCCTGTGAGTGCAATGGGAAGGCCGTGAGTGAACAAGCCACTAGCAAGCGACAGTGCGCTCTGAACTGCGTCCTGATTCCTCTTCAAACAGGAGAAATAGTTTACTGAAGGTAATCCCGTAATGGTTTTTGCTATTTGAGTAGCAGGCCCCTGAAGAGCTGAGTGAGGGCCGAGCTCAACCATAACAGTGGGTGGCAGCGCAGACGAGGAACTACCCTTCACAGGGAGACTGAGAACCTTGGACAAAGCTGGCGAGAAGCGAACGGGGCGAAGCAGGTTAGAAACCCAGTATGCACCGTCCATCTCACTGCCGTCAACCTCATCACAAGTGACTGAAGACACCATTCGCACACTCGGTTTGAACTGGCGAGGTTGAAGCTTCTCCAGCGCTGCAAGGTAGAATTCTCCAATAGCAGCCATGTGAGAAGAATGGTAGGCTACTGGGACAGCCAATCTTCGGTTGAAGACACCATCTTCTTCCAATTTGGAGGCGATCTCATCAATGGCTGCAGCATCACCAGACAGTGTCACACTGGTAGGACTGTTGATGCATGCCACATTGACCGTCTGCTCACTGTACTTTGATAGATACTTTTGCGCATCAGTCTCTGATAGGCCTGCAGCAAGCATCCCACCTTGCCTCATGCCCTTCTTTAGCTTGAGATAGTATACGGATTTGCCCCTGTGATAGGCCACCTTGAGAGCGTCCGATGCGGTTAAGCTTCCAGCAGCATATGCTGCTGCAATTTCTCCACTCGAATGACCGCAAACCAGATCGGGATGCACGCCCCATGAGGCAAGAAGATCCACCAATGCGACCTGGATAGCTGTACAGCATGGCTGCGCTAACTCTGCGTCATTGATACGGGAATTCTCCTTGGTTTTCCTCAATTCATCAACTAAGCGCCAAGTTGCACCCATGCGGATGAGCTCTCTTTCGGCTTTCCGCATGGACTCAGCAAAGACTGGGTAGGAGAGAAGCTCCAAGCCCATTCGCGCCCACTGCGCTCCCTGGCCTATATAGGAAGGAAGAAAATTGTCAGCAGGGGTTGATCGATGCCACTTATGGTTGGATTCAGCACAGTTTCAGCGACTTACCGGTGAAGATGAAACACGTTCGCGCATCCGTCAATGCTTTGACAGGGCGGATTGATCCCAGCTCAATCTCTCTGAGCCCTTCTAGGAGTTGGTCAATGTTGGATGCAACAAAGGCAGCTCTCTGAGAGAATCGGGATCTCCGAGATGACAGCGTAAAAGCCAAATCATCCAGAGACAACTGTTGACGGTTTGCCTTGCTCGTCAAAATGAATCTCTTCCACATACTGGCCAGCTTGGCGAAGCCATCTTCCCGCTGGTGGCTCCATACAAAGACTTTGGAGCCTTTGTTTGGAGATTCGGTAGTAATTGCGCCACGCGTTACCCTTGTCTCAACTATTGGTGTTGGTTCTGCTGTCTTGGCGGGTTCTGTCCAAGCTTCCAGAATGACATGGGTATTCGTACCCCCATAACCAGACCCATTTATGGATGCGCGGCGGAGCTGCCCTTCTGGCCACTCTTGGAACTTGGATGCAACCTAAAGAGAAGAGAGACTATCGGTCAGTCGATGTTGTCTTTTTTCTTTCATTTGCACAGAGAAGTTTTTCTGAATGTCTTGCGCTCACCTCTAGCCCTCGTGAATCCAATTCCAACCTAGGATTTGCATGCTCAAAGGTAGGAGTCGGAACAATCCCTCCCTTCTCAAGCATCAGAAGTACTTTGACTAAACCCGCCAATCCTGACACACATTCGGTGTGGCCCAAGTTGGACTTGACGCTACCGATAATAAGCTTGTCAGACCTGTCCGAGCAAAATGCCTTATTAAAAGCAGTTGCCTCGCAATTGTCTCCGGCATTGGTACCAGTTCCTAGAAGTTTCCTGTTAGTGAAGCTAGACAAAAAGGCTTTCATCAGGAGGTATTACCGTGAGCTTCCACGTAAACCGTCTCCCTGGGATCAAGTCCAGCTGTCTTGTAAGCGCGTTGAATAGTTGCATATTGACTGACTGGCGATGGCATTGTGATGCCCGGGGTTTTGCCATCGGACACAACTGCACTACCACGGATGACGGATCGAATTGTATCGCCATCCCGAAGAGCTGCGCTAAGGGGTTTGAGGAGAATGGCAACTACACCTTCACCTCGGGCATACCCGCTCGCGCGAGAGTCGAAGGAATAACATCGGCCGTCAGGGGAGAGGAACCTTGAAATTGTTTAGCAACGGTAGTCGACAAGGGGGACACCTAAATCTTACTGCATGGACGAAATGATGGACATCTTGTCAGGGTCCAGAATTAGATTAGAGCCCCCCACCAGAACTTGGTCAGCATCGCCAGCTCGAAGAGCTTGGATGGCATCGTGTACGGCCACCAGGGCGCTAGAGCAGGCCGTGTCGACGGATTTACTAGGTCCGTGCAAGTCAAAGGCATAGGACACACGGGCGGATGTGAGAGACGGGCCGGTCCCTGTGAAGCGGTACCTGCAACACGGCGGTGAGCATTCGTAGAGATCGAATCACCAAGTTTCGCCTCCTCCTCGTCGTCTTCATTTTGTGGTAGAGTTGAGCGAGACTTACATTGGTGACGTCTCCGGATCGCGACCAAGGATTTGATCGTAATCTGTGTATGACACGGCACAGAAAACGCCTGTATTTGATCCTTCGAGTCGATCCAGGGGAATGCCGGCATTCTCAAAAGTCTCGTAGGCCACCTCGAGCATGAGTCTCTGCTGAGGGTCTATGGCTTTGGCTTCAACTCCACTGATGCCAAAGAAGTCATTGTCAAAGACAGCTGGATCCTGGTGAAGCAGATGAACGCCCCGAGCGTTTGTCTATGAAAAGAGCGAGTTAGCCTTTAACGCCATGGTAACAAGAAAAGCAACGCTGTAGAGAGGAGAAAGGAGAGGAGACAGGGGAGGAGGAGAAGAGGAAGGAAGAGGATTTCTTCTTTATCTCCTTTATTCTCTTCATATCTCTGACTCTGTAATCCGTGACGTACCGAGCCGGGGAGATGAGCCTGGGGGTGCCAGAACGACTCAATCTTGAATCGGTTTCTGGCATTGCTAGCCCAGCTAGTCCTCCCGCTTGACAACATCTGCCAGAGACCATCCTCATTGGAAGCAGTGCCTGAAAACCGGCAGGCAGATCCAATGATGGCAATGGGCTCATCCCCGTTGGCATCTAGCCAACGAGAGTCAATGCCGTCAGTCGAAGCCATGATGTGTAGGGGGTTCGACTAAAGAGCAAAAGACTCCTACTATGGAGAGAGCGAGAAAGAGGGTTAACAACCCAGGTTCGAGGCTAGGGATATATGCGATTGCCGAAGCGTAGTGTCAAACGAGCGGGAATAAATAAGCTGACTTCATATGGAATAATCTCCTTGGCCGCCCCAGTTTTGATTGCATGGCAGGGAAGAGGAGACGGGGCGGAGAGGGTAGAAAAAGGGAAAGAAAAGACGGATGGCATTAAATACCAGGCCTAGCTTAATCAATCTCGCCGCCATGTGACAGCATGCAGGTTGAGAGGAAAAGGGATCGGCCTGGTCAGAGTGGCCGTAAAAGTGGCCGGCTCTAGAAATCTGGAGACGCGCTTGACACGATCCGCCGATGCGTAGCCCATGAGCGCCGCGGATAATATAAGATTACCCCCGACCCGGCGATTCAGATGGCATCTCGGGCACAGCAAATCAGACTCTATTCGCACGACAATCTCTCGCCCATATTTTGCAACAATGGGTTCAATTGCCTTTTCAGAAACGACGTTGGTTCGACCAAGCAAGGCGCCCGTGCCAGGCCGGATTTCAGTCACACCGCTTGATCAATACATGGTCAGGGTCATTCTCCCGATGATGGTCATTTTTAAGATTGATGAGCCTTCGCTTCGGCCCATAATTTTACAGAATCTGAAAAGGGCCCTCTCGCTGGCCATTGACGAACTGACCATTCTTGCTGCGGACATAATTCCGTTAGATCCAGCCAACGACACAATTCAACTCGAATACGGCGAGGATGCAGGAGTCTGGTTCCACGTCAAGGAGTTGCCAGATGTCGACTATGAGGACTTGGCCCAACGCAATTTTCCATTCTCCGCCCTACCGGCGTCTCAGTTCGCCCCGAAGCCTCTGGGCCACTCTGCAAGAAGTCCCGTCATGACGCTGCAGGCGACGTTGATCAAGGGCGGCCTGGTCCTTACCTTTGGCGGCCATCATGTGGTCATGGATGCCCAGGGCATGGGTACCTTTGTGGCTGTTTGGGCCAAGCATGTGGCCGCGGTATCTGAAGGCCTGGTTGTCACCGAAAAGCAGCAGCTGCATCACGATTCGTTGGATGCATCTCAGCTCTTCGGCCCAAGGATGGAACGCCCGCTGTCCGAGTTCCCCACATACCAAACTGGCCCGGATCGATCATACGAGCATATGCAGGCCAAGATCCTGCAGAAGGCCGTTGCGGGTGACCACGACGGAATCGCCAAACTCATCCGCGTGTCGCATTGGGCCATGAGCCAGGAGAAGCTAGAGGCCCTTCGAGATGCAACCGTGCCACGGACCAAGGAAGAATCGTCCGTCACTGCCAATGCCACACTATCCGCGCTTATCTGGAAACAAGTCACTAGGGCTCGGCGGCTCACGGAGAAGCAGGTCGCCTCGAGCTCGCTTCTAACTTCGGTCAATGTGAGGAGGCGCGTGGATCCGCCACTGGCCCCCGAGTACCCTGGTAACGCCATTGCTTTGGCCAAGGCTAATGCAACGGCTGAAGAGCTAGAAGCGCCCGGGGTGGAATCCCTCTATGCAATTGCAAAGAAGGTTGCCGCTTCCATCGAATGGTGGACTCCAGACGAACTTTGGTCTTTGACCGGCGCGCTGCAAACCTGTGGCAACGTTGCCAATAAGCTGCTGCCACCACTCAACTACGACGTGCTAGTCACGGCACCGGCTCGGCTGGGAGACATGCTCAAGGAGGCCCGCTGGGGTCCGGAGCTTGGAGACATCAAGGCCTTGAGGTGGGCATTCCCGGCTTTCATGGACGGTTTTGTCATTATTCTGCCCTCCATTCACGGAGGAATCGAGATTATGCTGTGGACCGCGCCGGAGACGGCCATGCGGTTGAAGGAGGACGCGGATTGGACGAAATGGGTAACTCAGCTGGAATAGTGGCTGGCTCCGGCTCAATAGCTGCTTCTTGACCCAACCACAGGTTGATGGATGGAGGCGATTTGGAACTTTGTACGGGCATGACTAGCCCGACCCCCCTCTACCGCAGAAGCAGACCGCGATATGACTAGTCGAACCAACCTAACACTGCTTTGACAATTGGCCCATTGGTCTCGCTCTCTGGTCGTGCCTCATTAATGCCAGCAGCTGTACAGTAATGCGGCACAAGTTTTGCCCGTAGACACAAAATGTGCTACTTGGCACGCCGGTCATTAAATAATCCAAATAGCTCTCTACACTGTATAAGGCGGCGGGCCGAGCCATGATTAGGGGCGGGACGGCTTGAGAATGAGAATTTTAAATCCCTTGTCAACGGAATGAAACTCTACCTAGAGTTCCCGGCCAAGCAGTTAGTACGAGCCGTAGTACCATAGCATGGATAGCACACAGCAGGAGAGACTTGGATGAGGCCGCTGAGACGCCGCAGGTGTCTTTACCCAGTTTCCCGGGCTAGCAATATCAAGGTGCAGATTAAAAGCCGGGTTGGCAATGACGTGTGCAACTCTGGAGGGGGAGTGGAGGGGCCAGCTCATTGAACCCGACAATGTGGTTGAGACATTGACGGCTGATTGGACGGCAAAGATGGAAGAAGCAATTAATAACGGGGGAAACGGGCGGGGTTCCATAGCACCGGTATCCGCGGGAGACCCAACAGCAGACGGCCGAAGGATCCAAGAATCGCCCACGACCAGGGTGGCGGGATGAGTGCGTTGAGGGTCCAGGGGAGGGATCCAATCGAGAAGCGGTGAGAAATTAGCTGCGCCATCCCAAGCAGCATCTCCAAATCCATGGGCGCCACGCGACAGATTTGCGGGAAGCGAAATCTGATAATTCCAGGCCTGGGTGATGGATGATCTAAAACGAGAGACTTGGCCTCGCACGAAACAAGCAGGCATTGTCAAATCCGACGCACCAAGGTATAACAAAAGCAGACCAAAGCAAGGCAGAGCAAAAGCAGAAGTGCTTTGACGATCCAAGCTCTCTGGACGGAGTGGCCCCCCTATGCACCCCATTCTGGCACTTGGACTCGTATGTACCACTCCGCATGCACATTACAGTAGCACGTCAATAGCTAACCGGTTTGACGGGTTGCATTGACAGAGCCGCCTCAGACAAGAAAAAAACAAACCCTGGACCAACAACACAGAGGCCGCAGAAAAGGCCCTCGAAGCCGGCTAGCGGTCGCAGAAGCCGATGAGGAGCGCGCAAACATCCCTAGCGGCACAGAATGTTAGCGACCAACAGCACTTGGCCGGCAATAGAAGCCGATTTGTTTGTCCTCGTTCCTGCTCACCGATTGGACAGATAGGCGACGCTGTTGAAAGTGTCCTTTTTGGCGCAGTGAGGCAATTACTGTACTGTATGCTGGATGAATGGTGATGTGCATGAGGGACAATAGAAGGAAGGAAGCCGGGACAAAAAGAACAGAGGAAAAGTCTCCGCTAGAGCCTGGTCCGTACTGCAGCAGGAGGCCTGAGGATGCCCATGGCTGCCCGGTACATTTACCTGCAACGCGCTGCACGGGTCACCGCACCTGCATGTACCTGCTACTGCTACAGGTACTAATGCAAATGCAAATGCAGGCAGCCCGTCTCTGCGAACGCGGCAACTGAAACAAACACCTTCAACTGTCATCATCGAACCTCCGCTGCCTTGCCTTGCTCGTGTCCAACAGCATCAGCATCATCCACCTGTCAATGCAACGATCCGGATTGCTCCGCGCTAGTCATTTGTTTGCTCACCGAAGCTAAAGGAGACTGGCCCAGACAGCCGGTATTCAGGGCACGGGGAACTTGGCATCCTGGCCTGGATAGAGAATGCGGGATGCTACGTGGATCGTCAGCTGCGGAACACCTGAATATCGGCAATAAGGCGAGGCTGGACAGCTCGGCCGAGATCACCCTGTACTCGTATCTCTTGTGCACGGGATTCTCACATGGTGGCCGTCTGAAACATGGTACCATTCCTCTCGCAATGGGGGGAGGCGTGATGCTTGCTTGAAGCCCGGCCAAGCCAATGCAAAACGCAAAAACTTCCCAGCATTACTCGGTTCGCCCAACCCTCGATTAATAACGCGAGTCAGAGCAATTTAGGATCTACGGAAGCTTGTCCGCGGTTTCTCGCCAGGGTGCGGCATGTGTTGCGGCACCTCCTGGTCCTACTCCATCCAATCTTTGGCCAGTCGCATCACCACTTGCCCTCAGGGCTCCCATACTGTCTGTACTGTACGAGCACGTACAACCGCTGCTCCACAGTATCTCACGTCAGTATACAATTAGAGAGGCGCCACGGAACATTCTCGATACACGCGGTGCCCACTGCAGACATGCTTGTTCAGTATTACGAAGCATCCATGCCGAGTTGTGATGGCATCACAAGCCTATATCCGTACAGCACTCGGCTATACGCTTTTATATCCCGCTTCTGCTTCTATCAATGCTAGTGGTGCATGGAATAGCGCATCCCAGGCAGCTGGATCCCAAGACCCAGACAACCGGGGGCACATTATGTAAAGCGAGGTCCGGAGTGGTGCTGGCCTCGGCCGCAACCACTGGACCACATCAGATGCAACTAGGAATAGATGCAGCCAAACAGAGGCCAATCGATCCGTTTTGAATCGGCTGCAGCAGAAGCTTGCTCTAGCGCTGCCAGCGGACAAACTCGACAACTGACAAGTTATCCAAAACAAGACAGGGGTGCCAAGTGTGGGCAGCCAGTGCTGAACACCAAAAGACCTCAAGGTCGACGAATGTGGCAAGCGGCTACGACGTTCTGTTCGTTTCGAGCAGCTGGACGACTTGAAGAGTAGCAGCAGCAATATCATCATCAGCAGCGGCAGCAACGGTAGCGGCAGCATCAGCAGCATCGTCCCGAGACTATGGGCGCTTACTACGGGTCCGACGGCATGCGCCATCTCTTCAACTGCAGCTTACATGTAGTTTACTACAGATGCGTACATGCCTTACAATTTATGACAAGGTACACAAAGTTAGCACGTGTGTTTGATTGGCATCCATTGGCCCCTGGTCATCGATCCTTTGGTCCAAAACGCCATTTGAATTCATGCACTCTCGTATGGCGTTGGAAACGAGGATAACCTACATCTCTCTCCCGCGGGGTCACCGATCAACGTTTACCATTCCAGACCAGCACCCTGGGCTGCATAATATGTGTGTTATAGCCTGTCTAGCGGCGTTTGGGTGACGGGCGCGCAGGTGCAGTAGACTGCGATGCACACACACCCAGACACACACACGGAAAAGCGAGGTTCGATTGCTAGCGAGGATTGCAGTGCCTACTCCATTCATTTTTGCTAGGCGAAGTGCCCCTAGAGAGCACAGCTGAGCTGGCCGATTTGTCGTATCTAAACGAGGAGTCATGAGACATGACTCCATCGTCACAAACTCCATGGAATCGGCCAGCCCAATTAGCGGTAGAGCTGGTCCCAATCCCCCAGCTGCGAAACCCCAGTACCAAGCACCTGTTCTGTTACAGGTAGTGAGTGCCGGTATTGCTGCTCCTGCTCCCTGCTCTATATTGGTCGTATCAGTGGTTGGATAAAAGCATGGATGGATACGAGCAACAACTTAGCAATATCGATGCGTGTTATTACGGCGACTGCCTCAGAGACAACTGGAGCCCGCCATTTCTGAATTACAAAATCAAGCCTTCCCGTTGAGTTACAGGGTACCTTGTTTAGATGGCTGGTTACATCTACCAGTATTCCATGCTTGCTATTTACTGCCTAGGATAAGCACAGTTATTATGCCTATTTCGACGAGAGCAACAGCAACCACTACGGATTTTTCCGCAAGGATAGAGGTCATTTTCATTCCTTTCGAGGTTCAAACTACAGCCTCGCTTAGACATTGCCACCCTGGAGTGTGATTCAAACCAAAGGCCGTGACAAGGAAAAGAATCGTCTCGCCCAGAGAGTATCCCTGAGGGATACATGTGCATATGCAGTGGCAGTTTGTTATGCGCGTCGTCCGTCATGAACAGGGGATGAGAGGTCCGAGCTGTCGTCAACCCGCATTATCAAATTTCGCCCAGTCTAATAATACATGCAGCACGGTCCTCCTGTCGTTCTGTCTATCCTGCTAGTAATAGCGGTCCGCCTCCGCGACCCTCGGAGTGGTGCCCCGGGCTTTTCTTACCGTCGTACATACCACTTGCACGGGGGTTACACGGACGCCACACTGGCTCTATTTGGCAACTCTTCTGCAGGCTATTTATCTCATCGGCGAAGCGGAAGGATTAATCGTGGCTGGCTGTGTCATCTCTGGTTGAGAGATGGCACACACATCAGTCAGCGATAGAACAAGTCCAGCTGGCAAGACCCCGATGGGCAATTTCTATGAGTAATGCATTTATATGCTTTATCATGGGAGAGCAGGGGACGATGCTCCGTGGAGACTCATGAGGTCAGTCTAGTTTATGTGGGCTAGCCAGGTGTGATGTGGATGTACTCGTAGGTGTTGGTTGGATAGGATATCATGTGTTTTGCATCACCACCGGCTGACCAGGGTGCAGAAAAACTCATTGCGGTGAAGCTATGGATATATGAGTACGCATTCATGCCAATCCACCGACCCAGCTTTCACACGTACCTCTAGGGACTTGATTGGAGCAGCAGTGTCCAAGACGGCGGCGTGTCTTTGGTCAAGTGACCTCTCGCTATCATGTTCCGTCCTTGGCCTTCATAGCAGCAGTTCCTTTTCATGACCCTCCTCGGCTGGCCCCGGAAAAAGGACCGACCCAGCTCGTGGTATGTGACTAGTTCAGAAAACACGTAGCCAGCATCTCAACTGCTCCTCGCTGGCAAGGATCGACGTAACGTGGTGAACTTAATGCAAGGCAATTCATATCTATCCTTTGGCCCCCGAAAAAAGCAAGGAAAAATAGATTAAGATGGGGAGCCGATTTGTAATGCCTCAGACACCAATTGCACAGCATCTTGGCAAGGCCGTGAGCCGAGTCTGACCGCCAAACTCGACTCTCTTTCTCTGCAAATAGTACTTCCATCCCGTCGTATTTTCCTCTCCCTCGAGAAGAAAGAAAGAAACATGCAGCTCTCACCGGACGCATGTGTGAGACCCCTTTTCAGGCGGTGATGGAGCAAATGGTCCTACTAGCTTTTCATATGAAGAATGGCAATCTCGATGATGTACGAGTAGTGTAAGATGATTTATACTAATACTCGTACTAGTTTGATGCTCTCGTACGGAAACAGCTCTCCTTTGCCTTTAGATGCTCATTTGTGCGTCGTATTTGGGTTCGCTGACCCAAGTGTGTGAACACGTTACAAGACTATCCCATGAAGCAGCCACATAATCAATACTTCATGGAGGCTCTGCTTGTCTTTATCCATCTATTGTACTCCGTAATAGCAATGACAAGCATTATGAACGGCAATCGGGGGTACTGCTGACTGCTGACGCTGCCTGCCGTCTGCTCCCTGCTGCCTGACACACACACTCCCTTGTGCATAATAATGGGAGAGCATGTATAACTCAAAGGTATGCGGGATCCAAAGTTACGGGCTGAATCCAAGACAAAGAGTCTCATATTTCGTCAGGATACTCAAGATCGACAATGGGTGAGGATCTAATAGCACCAGGTTCGTCGCCATTCCTCTACTTTGCGCTTCGCCATCATAGATTTTGCGCTTACCGCCGTCTCTGTCTAGACTTTGCAACGTAAGAGATATGTGTGTTCATTCCTTTCGTATTTATCGATTCGGAGCAATTCATTCGAGAGAAATCAACAAAAACACTTGCAGCTTTCAACGTGTGTGTCCTCCTTTTTTCGGACGATTCAGTCCTGCCGAATATGAACTGACACCGCCATCCGACAGCAGGTCTGTCTTCCGGCCGTCTTCCCTTTAACTTTCTCGTCAAGATATCGTTGTTATAATATTGTGTGTGGCTTTAAAACACATTGGGCACCCTCCAAGAGGGCGTATATCTCATCTCAAAATGCAAGGGGCGTCACAATGTCTTACAGTTCCTCCGCATGCGCTTGCAACAGTCCCTCCGCTGGGCAACGGAAGGTGGCGCCCATGTCTCAGATTTCGAGAGCAAGATTGGGCATCACGAACATTTTCAGGTCTTGGTGTTATGTCTTTCAGCTATCGGACTCAAGGAAAAGAGGCCGGGCCGCTCCGAGGTGCGATTTGCGCAACGCTCTGCCATAGGCTAGATTCCCTCCCGGTTGTCGTGGAATGACTGGTCGGGGACTGGCTGGGCGACGCAAGGGAGTCTCACAATAATATCCAAAGAGATGCAAACAGCCCGAAATGAACGACAATGAGTGTCTATCAATGACACGGCGAGTGGCTTGTGGGAAGAATCCAGAGGAGAACTGAGCCGACCGTCCGAAGCATAAATAGAGGCTGTTCGTCCTTCGTTGGATACAATCTGTTCCCCTCATCCCCATCAGCTCTTCTACGACTCAAACAAACAACCAATCGCAATAAACATTGTTCAAGATGAAGTTCTCTGCCATCGCTCTCTTCGCCTCGCTGGCCATTGCCGCGCCCGCCACGGAGGCCACTCAGGAGCACCAGTTCGATATCTACGATGGTCCTTGCTCGGCCGGCGTCACCAACAACATCCCCAAGTGCTGTGGCGCTGGTATCCTTGATCTCCTCTACCTGAACTGCGAGACTCGTGAGTCATCAAATGCGTCATCTCATGTAAAGAGCATGTGCTAATAATGCCTTTAGCCAAGGAAGTCACTTCTCCCCTCAACCCCCTGGACGATGTCTGTGCTCGCGTTGGTCTCTCGGCCAAGTGCTGCACCCTCGGCATCGTAAGTGCTCTCATACTTTACGTATCTTCGATAAGAAGTTACTAACTAGTCTTCAGGCCGACCTCGGTGTTTTGTGCCAGGATGCCCTCCCCCAGTAAATTCTCGATTAGCTGGTTTGAGATGTCAATGTTCTGTTAATGACAACTTTGGGGTCGTTTTCGGAGCTTTGCAGCGTTATACGGAGTGGAGATGGTATACTTGATGGAAGGATTTTCCTCGATGGAGTTGGATTGTCTGGGGTTCCGCAGGTTACTAAATAATAGGTTGGTAGGGCATGTTTAGTTAATATATGAACATCCAACCGATATATGCATTCCCTCGACATTGTGTCCAAACGGCTTTGAACGCTTCACAGAATTCTTAAATTCGCTAGATGAGCATTTCAGAAGTGCACTTGGCGAGTAGTATTTGTTGGATTCAAGTATTTGTATGTGACAGTGCCCATTGTCAATTCACTAATTCAAATCCTCCACGACAATTAGCAGCTTATAGGCGAGTTCTCATATTAAAATGTGGACGTACATACTGTGATTTGCCTATCGAGCGATGGAATTGAACTCCAGGTATAACCGATGTACCAACAACTCACGTCTCTAAGAATATCCCACCAGAATTGGAGATTGCTAATTTACGATTCTCTTTACAACCAGCTCACTTACCCTCCAAATAACTATAGCTTGGCAAATCTATGTACTCAATACAGGAATGAATTGCAACCCGCTTGTATGAGAAATCGTTGAATCTCCTCGTGTTGCGCTACCAACCGGCAGATCTCTCTAATGCCTACCCTAAACACAAACTCATTGTTCAGTAGCAGAAATAGTTACAGCTACTCAAAAATGGTAGCGACATGTACTTATTAGAAGAGAAACGAAAATATTCACTTAACATTTTTAGAATAATATCTCTATTTTGGGTGTGACACATATGCAGGTCTCGATCGAGGTAGAATTATTCGTTCGGATCGAGTGGCTGCAATTGCCACCATTCATCCCAGGTGTTTACCGCAAGCAGGTGTGATGAATACGCTACCTAATTAGAACAACATAATGTGAATCGTAAGTCTGTCTAATCTAGAAGAAATGTCTCCTCTGTGTGCCAATCGTTGAGCCTCATTCGCGGAGTGATGCTTTTAAATTGCCCACCAGATAAAGCAGGTGTTGAAGCATATGGGCTTATCCAAATGAATAAAAGGGTTGCTTCAGTGACGCCAACGGGGCGTGGTTTTACCCTTGGCCATAAACAAAAGTGAGAAGATTCTGACCCGCAACCTGAAATATAGTTCACAACCCACCGCAAGCCACTTTTCTCATTTGACTTTGACCAAACCCTTAACTTTTAGATCATTCACACACCACTCTCAAAGTTTGGACATCTCTAGGTTTTTATCTTCTTCTTACGCCTATAAAGCCCGTGTCTTTTCTCTGTGAGTCTACGCACTTCCCAGTCTTTTTCGACCTTTATCATATTGACTAGAATCTCGAGTCTAGAGAATCATGGATCCTCCCCCGAGCGAGAATACGATGCGTGAAATGTTGTCGAGTCTCGACAACACCCAGCTGGAGAAGCTGTGGAAGTTGAATACGTTGATGAGACTTGAAGATGACCAGTTGCAAGAGCTACGGAGACTGCACGCCGCAAAGCAACTACAGGGCATCATCAAGATAGCCAAGGAAGTGCCTCATAATATCGCGGACCTCATTGCCGATAACCTTGATGATGAGCCCGTTGAAGATTATGTAGATGCTCTCGAGACTCGACGTCAAATGTTTAACCGAATTAATAACGTTGCGGTCACATCCGCCAGCAAGATCAGTGCAGCACTATTTGCGGTTATTATGGTGGCTCCAGTGAGTGTTTTGGAGTCGAGACTCGCTCAACTGGAGGAATCCAGTGAACTCAAAAATCAAGCTGAAGTTGATCGTATGCTTGCTCAATGGCAAAGTATAAGTTTAGACGGCATTCGAGCATGTATGTCTCCTCGAGATCTTCACTAGTATCTTGGTCGAGAATTGTTCACTAACCTTATGCTCTCCAGTTGCTAATAAAGGAGGCCCTCAAAAAGGAGACTCATCAGCGTCGACGTCGGTGGCATCATCAGTCGCAAATAGTGACATTAAATCTCCTCCAGGGTCGACCAAAGCAAGCCCACAGAAGCGTCAACGCAAGACGTCGGAGGCCAATAGTAGCGATAATTCGCCCTCGCCGTCAATGCAGCCAAGCCCGTTGAAACGAAGCCGAGGCCACGGCAGATCCAACTCAGAATCTTCCTCAATGTCTCAAGTAGCCCATGCTCTTCGACCAATCATGGCTAGTCAGCAATTCTCAATTGGGCAGCCATCACCATCGACACATGCGCCAGCGAATGTAGATCTAAGTGTGGCCACCTCGACAAGTTATACGCGAAGCTCCGAGGCAGTGAAACTTGTAAGCATCTAGACCGCTTACTATTATTCGTATTTAATCTCTCTAATAATTTTTAGTGCAAGAGTCGAGACGATAACACATGCTGTTTCACTGGTATGCCCGACCCACATGCTGCTTATATTTTCCCATTCGGCGTCTCGAAAAATGCAGCTATCTCGCGTATAACGAATATGCTCGAGATGTTTTGGGGCGAGGAAACAAAGAATAAACTTTCCAAGTTAATTAGGGATCGCAAAATTACAGAGTCTCCCAAAAATCTGATCTGTATAAATCGACAACTTCATACCTGGCTTGATGACTGCAAAGCGGCACTTAAACCACTAGAAAAGCTGGAAGAAGGCGTTCGCGTTCAATTTCACTGGCTTAATGAAAGCAAGTATAAGCCGAACTCTATCGTAACGAATTTTGCCACTTTTAAGAAGCAAACTGGCATTAATGACGGTAAATCTTGGGGATATAAGATTGCTCATCGAAAAAGCGGTTTAATGCTTAATACAGGCCAAACTTTTGTACTGAAGTCAGAAAACGCAGATCATATGCCTTCTTTTGAGCTTCTCGAGTTATCGTGGAATCTTCTTCGTATAGCCGCGATGTGTGGCGCTTCTGGAGAGCTGGACGAGTTATCTGATGATGACGATGACGAAGAAGTCTATAGCGACGTTGAGGTTTATTCGGCTATTGCAGACGAGAACAATTATCCTGATGTGCGCCAGTGGATAGAAGCGGTTGAGGGTGGGATTGAGATGGAGACTGGCAAAGACGAACAGCCTGGTGATGATTTTGAGGGCCCTTTTTAGAAACAGGGGACTATTCTAGATCAGCAGGTCATTTAGTCTTCTTGATCAATAATGCGCCTTGACTCTGTCTTGTGCCTATTTCCAAGGCAAGACTATTCTATCTAAAGAGGTAAAAAATACATCTATGAAACAGGATCTACAGGTGTTGCTATAAGGGGTTGTACCCTTGCTCAGTTAGTAAGACGACTTGGCATCTTCTACTCCATCTTAGCCAAGCCTTTACGTGCGGAGAGACAATTCTAACCTCTTCCAACCTCAATAAGTCATGTGAAATGAAGGAGAATAGACGGACAAACAGCACAATACCAATTCACTTCGTACTAGCTAACACAAACCCGTTGGTGGCAATGGGCAAAAAAAAAAAAAGGGACAAAAAGATGGAGCGGCCACGCCACAAACTTTTAAGCTTGTAATCAAGGTTGTAAGTGGCGGGAGCCGGAGAGCCCGTTTCTGACTGCTGTTTGGGCGGCTCTCGCAAGCAAATGGAGCTGGGCTCCGCTCTTCGAAAAAAAAAAAGAAAAAGGGAAAAAAAGAGTCACGAGGGGAAGAAGCCGTCTGATTGGAGGAGATTTGGCAAGATGGCCGAGAAACAAGGCAAAAGCAGGGATTGCCGACACCCTTGCATGGGACTGGAGGAGAGACAAAAACTGGCCTTTTTTTCCAGCACACGGGAGGGAGGGATTCTACGCGGTGTTTTTTTTATCTGTGGTGAGAGCGGGCGGAAGGAAGAGAGATTGAAGAAGATTAGAGGCATTGTGAGGAGCCTATGATGAGCTGTGGAAGCCATCTCGATCGTCGTCTTGCGTCTATGCTAGTTTGGACGGGTCGTAGCACGGGCACCGGCAAGCAGAGATGGTGTGTGAGGCGTGGAGAAGCGGCCAAGGCTAGGAGTGATGCAACGCCGGATTTTCTCCTGTAAGGAGTTTTGGCCGAGAGACGGAGAAGAAGAACCGGTTGGAGAGTACTCCGTAAACTATGTGCTTATAGAGTAAGGGCAAGACTTGGCCTTGGAGAAGTCAGACTACATAGACAGCAGAGGAGATAGATGGAGCGATAGAATCTGACTCAACCTCTTAATTCATTGACTCATTGCCCCATCCACTCGCTTCTCGTCCGTCCCTGGCTCTGGGCGCTTACTCAAACCCGTTTGCAAGAGCCGGGCCAAGACTCTTGGTACGCACTGGCACTCTCTTAGACCGCAAAAGGTCCCCATTCAAATATTCAAATCTTCCACACCATCTTGCTCTAGACTCAAAACCCCACAGTCAACGCCAGCGCTAGCAGGGATATGTCTTGGGGTTGGCCTGGGGTTGCTGGCTGATGTCGTTGGCTGCTTGGTGTAGGAGCGAAGCCGGCGGGCAAAATCAGTCTGGGGTTGCATTCTTCTCCAGCATATAGCCTTTCACCATGGGAGCGCTTAAGCTTAATACTAAGGTAAACCTCAATCTTAATATCGACACGCTCGGTGAGTGGCCAGAAGGGTTACAAGCGGGGATCGAGGGCTGGAGCCCTGCGGACTGTGATTGGATCAGGACATCCTGGTTTCTATCCATATCTCCTCGTGATGGTAGTTGTAGTTGTTATGGAATCAAGCCTGGAGTTCGGTCATCCTATCAGCATCGCCTAATCCTGCGTGTCCAACACCGTTACATGTACATGGCATGTGTCTTGCTGCTCAGACTTTCGTACTCGTGGCATCAGCCAAGCGAACCGTCTCGCGTATCCGCGACATTTCTTTCAGGCGTTTGCAGATCGCTCAGCCCGCTGTGCTCCCCCAGACTAAGCTATTTATCGCATCGTATTGTTGCTTCTGCTTCACGACAAGTCGCCACATCCTGGCACTCCTCCTATCGCCATTCACATTACACGAAGCCATGTACTTTCTCTCTCCACTCCCCCAAGTTCCCCATCGCATGATGACAACTTTTCCCCCGAGTCCAGTCCGTGCCAGGACCGGGCTTTGAAGCCGGGCTTTGAGGCCACGACTATCCCCAAGTTTCTCTCTCTATTGCTCTCCTCTGTCTACCCATGTAACCCCCAATATTCTCTCCATGGGGTCATCCCCGCATCTCCTCATCCCGATCCCTTCCAGCTGATGTATCTGGCCCATCTTTCCCCAGGTCTGTCTTTGCGGAAGATGACCGTGACACCGCTAGGACATGTCTAGGCGCAGCTTGTGCTTATTCCTTACTCCGTGATTCGGGACGCCCGCCTAGCAACAAAAAAAATGGGACTCTCTCTCTCTCTCCTGGGTCTTTGAAGAGAATAAGGCGGAAGCGTGGAGACAGCTAGCACATGGCGTAGCGTAGTATTGTCATGGCGTTGTATTCTGCTTTGTACCTATAGAACCGATATCCAGAACAGCAACTCGAAAAACCGAGTGTGAAGCCCCAAAAGCTTTATTCGTCCAAGAGTCAACCTTAGCCTCAAGCCTCGTGGGCTGTTAGTCCCATCCACAGGATTCGGAGCAAGAAAGAAAACGAGGCGTACGAGTTAATACAGCCGGGATCCAGATCTAGGAGGGGACGATCTTTTCAGCGTCGTGCGTCTGCAGTATTGTTCGTGCCCCCATGTCGGCGTCGGAAAATGTCGTAAGACATGCATGACCCTTTCGTGTTTTCCCCAGCTGGGCCATTGCGTTCATCTGGTATATAATTAAGGTTGTCGCACTGATCACATTCTCGCCCATGGCCAAAGCCTTCTGTTGGTTCTCGTGCCACGTACAAGTATAAGAGCCTGTACGACGCCAACAAGGCCCAGCGCCTCTCATCTTATACTTTCCCCTATCCCCTCTCTTGACATACTACATACAAGTCACCTCATACAGTGTAGTATCCCCGGGAACCATGGCAGATAACAGCACTACAAGGCAGAATGAGCCCGCCGACGACTTGGCCAAGGGCGTCTTCGCCACGGCCAAGCAGTCGTGGAAGGATCTCTTCGTCTGGAAGCAGCGCGTCGTCGTCACCAACGGCTACGGCGAGACGCGTTGCGAGTGGCAAGAGCCCGACCGCTTCAAGAACCCCATCAGCCTGTTCGCCCAGCTGTCGCTCAAGGACTGGATCTTCTTCATCGTCGGATGGCTCGCCTGGACGGCCGACGCCTTCGACTTCCACGCGCTCTCGATTCAGACGGTGAAGCTGTCCAAGTACTACAACACCTCCAAGACGAACATCACGACGGCCATCACGCTCACGCTGCTGCTCCGCTCCGTCGGCGCCGCCATCTTCGGTTTGGCGGGTGACAAATGGGGCCGCAAGTGGCCTATGGTCTTCAACATGCTGGTGTTGGGAGCGCTTCAGATTGCCACCATCTACAGCAAGACGTTTCAGGAATTTCTGGCGGTGCGAAGCTTGTTCGGCCTGTTTATGGGCGGTGTTTACGGCAATGCCATTGCCATGGCTCTGGAGCAGTGTCCGTAAGTGTTACAGTTTCTCCTCGCTCGTTGTTCTCTCTACTCTCTCCCCTTTCTCTGCTTTGGTATCTTCTTATTACTTTCTTTCAAAATCGAAGCCACCATCTTTGCTTCTAGCTTCACGACACTAACATCTCTTGGCTCTCCAGATCCAACGCGCGTGGCTTGATGTCAGGCATCTTGCAGCAAGGCTACTCCATGGGCTATGTCTTGGCTGCGTGCGCCAACCTTGGCGTTGGGGGCGCCACCGATTCGTGGAAGACCGTCTTTTGGATTGGAGGTACGTGACCTGAAAACATGATTTCGAGTTGCTCTCAGCGCAAAGTGTATCATGAATCCTGTCTAACTCTTACCCCAGCTGGATTGTCCATTGGCGTTGGCCTGCTCCGCATTCCCTTCCCCGAGTCCCAGCAGTTTCTCGATGCCAAAAAGGCCGGCAAGAAGGCTTCTTCGCCCGGAGCCTTTTGGCGCGAGACTCGCACGATGCTGGCCAAGGAGTGGAAGATGTGCGTCTACTGCATCATCCTCATGACGTGGTTCAACTACTATTCGCACACGTCGCAGGACTCGTACACCACCTTCATGCTCGAGCAGAAAATGCTGGACAATGCCGGCGCTTCTCGTGCCTCGATCTTGATGAAGGCCGGCGCCGTCGTCGGAGGCACCATCATCGGATACGTCAGCCAGTTCGTGGGCCGTCGTCGTACCATGATGTTCGCCGCTCTCATGTCCGCCATCCTGATCCCCGCCTGGATTCTCCCCGAAGGCGAGCGAGCTCTCAGTGCCACCGGCTTCTTCATGCAGTTCTTCGTCCAGGGTGCATGGGGCGTGATTCCCATCCATCTCAACGAACTGTCGCCCCCTGCTTTCCGTTCGTCCTTCCCTGGTGTCACCTATCAGCTCGGTAACATGATTTCCTCGCCCTCGGCCCAGATCGTCAACGCCATCTCAGAGAAGACCTTTGTCACTGTCGCCGGCGGTACAAAGGCCGAGGCCTACGGTCCTACCATGGGCATTGCCACGGCCATCATCGCTACAGGTATCTTTGTGACTGTCATGGTTGGACCTGAGCGACGCGGCCGCAACTTTGACGGTGTTGTTGCTGGTGTCGAGCAGAGCGACTCGGAGGGCAAGGCCATCGACGAGCCAATGGACGAGGAGAAGGGCGAAAGCCGAGTATCACAATCGGAGAAGATTTAAACTTCTATTTCTCTTTTTTCAAGTTGTGATGTGTCGAAATCTTCTAGCCATATGGTTCAAGGACGTGGGAGGATATTAGTCGAACCCTTTTAGCTGATGAGTTGAGCGAGCGATGTGCATATTGCGCTGCGAAGTTGACTCAATGGATAATCCAAATACAATATGAACAAAATATATGAACAATCAGTTTGGTAATTATCAATGACTGCAGCTTTCCCGTTACTTCGATTGTTGTGATGCTGTGGGAGTGTGCATGCACTTTGAAGCTTTAGACTAGTACCTGGTACTGACCTCATCATGTGTCGTGTAAAAGCAGGAGAGAAAGCTAATTTCTGGGGTAACCTAGTTTTTCTCTGTCCCAAGCCCTGAGTCATCCCAATTCTACAGTAGGATATAACTGGTTCCTGCGTATGTGCGCAAGTGCGATAAGTTTCTGTCTCCGTTCGTTGGCCCCTGTCATGGTGACGTCGTTTATGAGCAAAGCGCCGTCACCTTTTTCTCAAGCCAACCAAGAACAACGAGCATGTACCGAATCAAGCGAATCTACAATCACTTGATTATCCTCCACAACTGTAATAACGCGGCAGATCAAATCATATTTCTCCAAATGATCGACATGCGGCGTACCACCCGTGACAGGTCGCCTGGCGTTCTCGTCCGCCCCCAGGCAAGCCAGGCTCCATCATAACCGGTTAGCAGCGTCATGATCATCATGGTTCGCCACAACGGTTCAACGGCCGGTTCCAGAACGGCGCCATGGGTTCGATATGGCAAATACGGGTTCTGAATTAGGTACTCATTATCCAAGTTGTTTGCAAGTTTCGTGCATCATGACGACATCATGGATGTGTGTCATGGGCTTGCCACGGGATGCTGCAAAATGGATATAAATATGCCCATCGCAAAGGATCAACCCTGTGATACTGCTTACTCTCAAAAATCATAACAAATTCAAAAATTACCATCTTATTATCAATCTTAACACAACACCACAACAATGCCTCTCTCCAACAAAAAGCACAACGCCGCCGTGGCAGCAGAGCAGCAAAACCTCGCTGCCTCCGGCGCCGTAGGTGGAGCGCCCGGAGCCGCCGCAAACGCTAACCTCCCCGGCCCGGCCCCATTCACTGCCGGCCCTCACCGGCACGACATTATGAACAAGCTCGATCCCACCGTCGACAGCGGCACCGGCGGCATGCAAGTCCTCACAGGAGGCTCCCACAACAACACCGCTGCCGCTGGCTTCCCAGGCCAGCAGCCTGTCGGACAGATGCCCGCCGGCGGCGGCGTCATGGGCAGCAACAACCCGTACGGCGCCCAGCACAACTCCCGCATGGCGAACGCGCTGGACCCTCGCGTCGACTTCGCCCAGGGCCAGGCCGGAGGCGCAAACTACTACACAAAGGGCACAAACGTCGTCCCCGGATCGGCCGCCCAGCCTCGAAATGTCCCCGAGGGCACTTATGGCCCTCACAGCTCGCGCATGGCCAATGCTGCGGATCCACGAATCGACTCTGACGCAGACCGCCATCGAGCCAGAGGAGTCGGCGGTGGAGTTGGTGCTGGCGGAGTTGGAGCCGGAGCACAGTCAAATGCCAGACCTATCTTCCCAGCTGGCGTGGCTGGACCGGCTCCCACGACGGCAGGGCCTCATCGACATGACATTCTGAACAAGCTAGATCCAGCCGTGGACAGTCGAAATGCCACCAATGTTGATGCCACAGGCCGCAGACTTGTCTAATCTTGAGCCAATGATTACGATAGTCTAGCCTTTGATGTTTGAAAGGTTTCTTCCAGAATGTACACGGTAATGATTTGGGTTGGCTGGTTGCAAGAGATACCACAGGAATGAATGATTCAACGACCAGTTCGTTTGGCAGGAAGGGGGTCTTTTTTCTTATTATCTAGTATGATATCCGACTGTACCATTACTTTAGTCATGAATGATGATCAATTCGACGATATTCAAATACGAGCACAAAAACAAGTATTATATGGTGATACACCTACATCAAGGAGGCTTAACAAAACTGCTATCTGGGCGTGAATAAATTCGGTATTAATGTAAAGAGTATCTGGCACTAATGCCTGCCAAATCTCGTATCAACCTTGCTTCACAAAATAATACATCCCAAACCTTGCTTGCAGCGCCGCTAACGTACATCTAGAGTTCTCTCTTTCTCGTACAAACTTATTCCCGGTTCTATCCAAGAAACCGCGGCATGCAAAAGTAGCAGCCGAGTCGACCCCCTTATTATACAGGCGCTATTTTGCTGTAGCAGCTTGACCACCTCTATACCGACATGAAAGTATTGCGTGGTTCGCCAAGAGGATATGTGACGTCCCTTCCCGTTCAACGGCTAGATCTTTGTTCAATCAAGTCGATTCCTTCGCTCTATCGAGGTATCAAAAGTGGCAAGGGCTATGAGCCGACATAATCCTCCATGTTTGTATCCCAGAGGAAGCCAGCCCTCGCCCTTTGTCATGCACCTGCCATGTACCGTTTCGACATGAGTCCTTTTATACCGTGTTGTACCATCTCGCTGGCTCTGCTCATTGCGCCTTGCCTCGGCTGTTGAAGATGGTGATGATGCCAAACCCTACGTAGAACAGGGCTACTGGATACGCCACAAGCCCGCGCATATCTCTCATTTTGCCGACAGCTATATAGGTAGTTGTAAGTTAGCATATCTGAGCCTTCACAGGATTTAAATTAACTTGTCTTAGCTTTGAATCATACCACAAAAGATGGCGCTTGATCTTGATGTTGACCAGCAAATGGCCAAAGTCGTAATGATGTATCCAGCTGTAGAGTCCAGTGGCATGGTCACACCAATCAGTGACGTAAGGACAAGTGGCAAGAAGCAGTATCCCAATACACTGGCGTTTTGGGTGAATGTGAGCGTGCTAGGCGAAACATCGGCGCCGGGGTATCCTGGAGGTGTATCCGGCGTCATCAAGCTGAGAATCATGTACAGAGCCGTCGATCCCATGAGGGCAAGACCATAGACGTATCCAAAGTGGACCTGGCCACTGAACAGGAGAAAAGCGCCAAAGAGAACAACGAACAACAGGGGTCCGGCCAGGTCAGAGTCGTTCATGACATGCTCCAGCCGCTCGATAGGAGAGAATGGGTTCAGCACAGCAAGCGTCTTGGCCTGCATGTGTCCAAAGTCGACGCCCAACTCCTCTCGTAATGAAGGCTCATTGTCGTATCCCTCTGCAGAAAAGGCAGCCAGCCAGCCTGTCCTCAGGCCGCTCTGTTCGCGAAAGCCAGCGCCAGGTGGTACGCCATAGCTGGTCGGGGGAGCTTGTGAGGGCGTGGCCTGGTACGAGCCGTGGTAGAACTGGAGGTTCTCGGTCGCCGAGGGAGAAGCAGAAGCGCCGTACTGGTTGTAGTATTGCGACATTCTCGGAATTGGCGCTCGGGGGATTGCGTGGGTTGGAGGTGATGGGAGTGACGCGATGATCTGAATTGGAGTTGACATGTGGTTTCAAAGTGCTGGCCATTGCCTCAGGTGGCGGATTACATAAGGCGCAGATAAGAGCTGATAATGCTGCCGTTTAGCTTCTGGATCTGCCTAAAGGATTTAGAGGTGGCACTTGTTTGCTACCGCCGAGGTACTTGCGGGCGGCCATGGTATTGCTGCATGCATCACGGGCCTCATGTAGAGCTGCACATGTATCCTAACAGGGATGATTATAAGGGAGATTGATGGCAGCAAACAAAGACCCAGCCAGTATCTTGATAGCTTCATTAAAAAGGACCCAGCCAGAATAAATGCCCAATCTTACAGACGTTACACCAGCAATTGCACGTGCCCACTTCCAGGTACACACAGGTACACCCAGCAACAAGCGCCTCCCCGCTGTGCTATCGGCCGGTTCAGGGTACCTTGCATGTACCGCCGCCTTTAATTCGAAGCTCTCCCACTTCAACTTCTCTCACTTTCACCATCTCCGAGCTCAACTTATTCCTTTCCTATTCTCCAACACAACAGTAACATTCCACAATCACATTCGCCCTCCACCATGGCTTCCTTTGGCGAACCCCCTCCGGATGCCGGCTCCGACCTCCGCAACGAAGTCAAGAAACCCAAGAAGAAGAAGGTCCTCCTCATGGGCAAGTCCGGCTCCGGAAAGTCGAGCATGCGCAGCATCATCTTCAGCAACTACATAGCACGCGACACCCGAAGACTGTGAGTCCGTTCCCTACTGAGATATCTAAGAATCCCGGTACCTTTTCTTTACTCACACGCAAAATACAGAGGCGCCACCATCGACATCGACCTCTCCCACGTCAAGTTCCTGGGCAACCTCACCCTCAACCTGTGGGACTGCGGCGGCCAGGAAGCTTTTATGGAGAACTACCTCTCCCAGCAGCGCGTCCACGTCTTCTCCAACGTCGGCGTCCTCATCTACGTCTTCGACATTGAGTCGCGCGACGTCGACCGCGACCTCGCAACCTACGTCTCCATCCTCTCCGCACTGCTGCAGTACTCGCCCGCCGCAAAGATATACATCCTCGTCCACAAGATGGACCTCGTCGTGCCCAATGCTCGTGAGACCGTCTACGACGACCGCGTCAGGCTCGTCCGCCAAAAGACGGTCGAATATGTCAACTCCGTCGGCGTCGACATCAGCACCGTCGACCTGACGCCCTTTGCCACGTCCATCTGGGATCAAAGCTTGTACAAAGCCTGGGCGTCCATTATCCACGACCTGGTCCCCAACCTCGCCGTCATCGAGCGCAACCTCGCTAACCTCGGCGTTGCCATCGAGGCCGAGGAGCTTCTCCTCTTCGAGCGCACGTCCTTCCTCGCCGTCTCGTCATGGACCTCGCCCGAGGGCCTCCGCAACCCCACCGAGGACCGCCTCGAGCGCATGTCCAACATCATGAAGCACTTCAAGCAGAGCATCTCCCGCTTCACTGGCACGCCTCGCAACGCCGAGCAGTTCATCCGCATGGAGCACAAGGCCGGCATGCGCTTCAGTCTCTTCATCCTCAAGTTCACCACCAACACCTACCTGATGGTGGTCCTGCCGCCGGGCGAGGCGCGCTTCAATGCTGCCATGCTTAACTGCCAGATTGCCATTGAGCATTTCAAATTCTTGGATACGCCTGCACCTGCGCCGGCGGCAGCCATACAAGCAGCGGCAGCGTAGAGCGAGGCGACTTTGGGAGCTTTAAGGGATTGTTCAAGAACAGGGAATCATAATGAATTTACGAAGCTGGTTACTGGAGGGCGTTTCGGGATAAGAATAAGAATACCTTGGCTATCTTCTGAGTCGTAGCAACAGTGTTTTTATGTTTACTTTTTTTTTTTCTGTATATACTTAGAACAGTCCATAGTGCAAGATTGCGCAGAAAACCAAACGATAGTTTTTTAATGACTGCTAAGAAGATTGGACAAAATGTCACCGCCTTGGATGAACACGACTACAGTAAAACGTGAGAGACATTAGACTGCACTGTGATTCCATGCCTTATTTGGAATTGACCGATTTAACAGTCTCTACTCATCTATGAGTTTTTACTAAACTTGTTTAAGAGCCCGAAAAAAAAAAAAAGAAACCCATCCCTCCATCATTGCCCGAATCATCAAACCTACACCCACTTGACCACAGCAGTTCCGCCCTTTTTGAACTCAGGCATCTCTCCTAGAACCAGAGCATGATCAGTGTGCTCCTTGTTGGGGAACGTCGTCGACAGCACCCAAGGCCGACTACGAGTCTCCACAGAAGCGCCCTGAACGAAGCCGTAGACGTCTCCAACAGTGTGCGTGGTGTTAAAACGCGCAGGAAGTCTTGATCCATCGGGCATCTGGATTCTGATCATGAGTGTAGGTTGTGAGTTGTCGACGCTCGGTGCAGGAGCAGAAGAGGATGAAGAAGCTGCGGCGGAAGAAGCGGGCGCAGAGGTCGTGGATGTAGCACCGGGGACTGGGCTGCCAAGGCGATTGCCAGTGCCGGCAAACGGCTTGTATTTCTTTGGGGGCTGCTTATACGGGGTATCGTGCTGGTGAAGCTTGACGTCTACCGACTGGTCATGCTGCACATTCATAAGATGCAGGGGAGCCCGGCCTGATCGGATAAGTGCGAGGTCCGCCTCGTTTGAAGGATCGTCGAAGCGACGGAGTTCGCCATCATCGATGCTGAATCCGTCCTGCCAGATGTGAAGCACTCGCTCGACTGGGGGCTCAGAAGGCCGCTCATGGCCCTGGGGATTTGGGATGCTTCGGCTCTCGACGCCATCTCCACCAAGTGTCACGCCGGTACCCCGGAAATGAGATGGGCGAGAAGGACCGGCCTCCGGGTTGGCATCGGACTGTCTTGAGTTCCTGTACAGTTATCAGCGGCCTGTTATTAAAACAACATCCTACGCAAACTCATCACTCACGCTTTCGCCTTGGCAAGTATGTCATTGATAATCTTCCTCGAACCACCCTCCTGTCTCGGATCCTGGACAGCAAGCCCAGATTTCTCACCACCAGCGAACAGGTTGCCTCGTCCATCGTCTTCCTCTTCGTCGTCCTCTTCATCATCGTCGTCGTCGTCATGGTGGGCAGCAGAGCTGCTACCTATGGAGCCTAGCGTCGCAATGCCCTTCTTCTTCTGCTGGTTCGTTTTTCGGGATGCCAAGCTAGAAAAGTCCTCTTGGGGCGCAGGGCGGCCATCCAAGGTTCTCGGTCCGCTGTACTGCTCTAGCGTTCCGTCTGCAGCCTGTTGCCGGCGTCGTTCGTCGTTTCTCTCATCTTCGTCGTGGAAGAAGGAGTTGCAGGCAGATAGCATGTCCCAGTCGTTTGATTCGAGATACTGAGTGGCCTAGACAAGTCAACCAACGTTTGTCAGCATGTGTACTGCATAATCTGTTGGATAATATGTAATGTATCGACGAACCACTTCTACCGAGGCGCCGCTCATGGCAACAAAGTCCCGTACCATCTCATCGTGATCCTTGACTTCGTCGTCCCGCACCATGATGGCTGCTTGTGAGGGGTCGTGAACAACAAGGTAGATAGTTCGTTGACAAAGTGGGAGACGGAAGCTGTGCTAGATGATTGTGAAAAGAATGAAATGTTTGAAATCTATAGCTGTCCTTTTCTTATTCAAGGCGTATGTCTGGCTTAGTGAAGACGCGTTGGTTGAGTAAAGTGCAGTGCTTTGCTGTTCTTACGATTACCAAAGCAAGGCAGCGGCTCTCTTTCGTCATGCAAGCTTGAGAGCTTCAATGCAGTAAATCGGCACTTGGCCCCACCGGAATAGCGATCCACCGACCCCGATGTCAGATTACGTAATATCCAGCCTGTGCCGAGCGACCATCGGCATTAACTTGGTACTTCAAGTGTGTGCATCATAGGACCAACTTGCGCGCTCTTCCTTGTCCAGCGTCGAGGCGTCAACTCCACGGCTTCACGAGGTTCCTGGACAAGCCGTCACCATGTCTACCGACGATCTGAGCACCCACCTGGCCGACTCCGGCATCACCATGCGGTCCGACAGCGAGCAGTACTCTCCAGGCGATGAGGTCTCATCACCTTCGTCATCGAACTCGCCGGTTATTCTCTACAAGCCCCCAACAGCATGGAATCTGATACGGAGCGCCGCCATCAATCTAGTTCTGCCATTCATCAACGGAATGATGCTGGGTTTTGGAGAGCTGTTTGCTCATGAGGCAGCATTCCGGTTAGGATGGGGCGGTACAAAGGTCAGTTCTATGTTAACTGGACTTTCCTTGCTATCCAACGTGGTTTCAAGACAACACAAGCCTCGTCCCTTTATTTGCCAAATAAAATGGCCAGCATTGAAAGTGCAAGCTGCAGTTGAGTGGCTAACGTGGTTGCATACAGGTTTTCCCTCTTTCTCGAAGACGAGCCCACCCCATTGGCCCAGGCATCGAAGTCCGTGAACGACCAGAGCGACCCGGGCCTTCGCTAAATGATTACGCAAGCTTAGAGTAGAAGGGGAAAATGGAATGAGGATGATAGGGGCATTGTATATGAATCAATCATGTCTAAATAAACAGATGCAGGCGCTTTTCCAGAAGATTGTGGCCCATCTGCTGCAAGTTCGGAGCTCCCCAACCATATTGGCAGCTAGTAGCGGCGGATAAGTGGCCGCGAATTGTACCACCAGCAGATTGCACGAAGCTGTAGCCATTGCATTAAAATAAACCAATTCAACTTTCCTCGTGGCATAGACAGCTGCGTCTTCTTCTAATTAGCTCTTACTGCATATCCATCGCCCTGAGATCTCCGCCTTTATGCAGAGTACATCCATCTAGCATCAGACACCCGCGCAGTTGAAGTAGCGCCGCTTAATCTGCAGATCACAAAGTGGCGTGGGGTAGGTCCGAGGTTCATCCGCCACATCGAAAAATTCCCCAGACGGGCGCAACAATTTGATATCCGAATTGCATTCATCCATATATAACCTCGACAAATCGTCGCAATGCTTCCAAGCAGAGGGATTGCGCGCTCCCTCCCCTCACCGGGAGCCTGGACGCAGACGCAGAGCCGATTGGTGGTGAGCAGGATATTCCATCTGTTTATCCGTGTACATGTAGTTTTGCAAACGTGAGACTTTTTGCAGAACTGACCATCCCACTTCTAGAGCCTCTCGAGTCGAAAGTTGGGCCATGGACGGCAATTCGGCACCTCGTTGCGAAAGGTCAATGGTGGACTGACGACGGCATCGTCACCATTCCGAACTCGATATGCAGCTGCCGCTCCAATTGTCCTGGGAGGCGTCTCATCGTCAAGATCGCTCTCTCTGTGGGGTTGGGGTGGAAGCGGCAACAAGGACGCCTCTGCTGCCGAAGCCGCTGCCGCAACACCAGAGACAGCAAGCGTTGCTGCTCCCGCACCGGCGGAACAAGCCTCTACGGTAGTCTCTGCTGCTCCGACCGACGCCGCGGCTGCTGCATCTGCGACTGAGCCCGCCGCCGTCGCCGCCTCCGATGTCGACCTCTCCTCGATTTCGGCGCTTATCAACGGCCAGGACATTCTCAACATGCGCGAAGAGATTGGCTACTTGCACGCCATTGGCCTCGACTACGGCTGGGGATTCACTTCCATCATGCAATGGACGCTCGAGCACGTTCACGTCTGGTCAGGGCTGGGCTGGGGCGCCTCCATCATGGCCACGGCTGTCTTGCTGAGGGCCGTCATGTTCTACCCCCAGATCCAGAGTCTCAAGTTCAACGCCGTCATGCAGAGGATGAGAAAAGACCCGCGGTCCAACGAGGCCATGAAGCTGGTCCAGCAAGGTTTCCAGGAGAGCGATATGGAGATGCGTCAGCGTGGTCAGGTCCTGAACAAACTGCTACGGACCGAGTACGGCGTCAGCAACTGGGGCATCTTGTGGTCTCTTGCGCAGATCCCCTTTACGTTTGGTCTCTTCCGTATCGTGAGCGGCATGACGCACATTCCCGTGCCTTCACTTGAAAATGCCGGCTTCCTCTGGTTTGCCGACCTTGCCGCCACAGACCCCTACTTTATCCTCCCCGCCACCGGTACCGCTCTGATGATGGGTGCCCTTCTGGTAAGTTTGTTGGCTTTCCTCTCGCATCCTAATAGTCATGACTAACATACATACTCCCCCAGATCAACGCAAAGCACACGCCCAAGCAGCAGAGAAAGATGCTCAAGCCCATGATGTACATCTTCGGCACCGTTGGCTTCATCGGCACCACATTCCTCTCCGCCGCCGTCAACCTCATGACCGTCGCCCTCGGCGGCTCCACCCTCCTCACAGCCCTCATCCTCAACATCCCCTCCATCCGCCGCTCCCTCGGCCTCCCCAACGGCCCCGTCGACGAAGCCGTCGCCCCTCAAAAGACCATACAGTACGAGGCTCCCCGCACCGAGACCCCCGGCATGGCCGGACTTAGGGAACGCCTCACCAGCAGCCTCGACGACATGAAGAAGGGCGTCTCCGAGTCCGTGTCCAACTACACCGGCACGTACTCGGGCACAGAGCAGGAGAAGGCAGAGAGGAAGCGCCGAGAATTGATCCGCCAGCTAGAAACCACGCGGAAACAGCAAGAGCGCGAGCAATTTGAGTTGAAATACAAGGGCAAGAAATAAAAAAATTCAAGGGAACACAAAATCCGGAACACATAGAGGATATATCACAGAGGGGAGAACGGCAGCAGTAGAGATGCTACCTATCAAAGGGGGGAAAGCCAAAGCAGAACGGAGCGTTTTAGGGAGCGTTTTCTTGTATAACACACCCCTTTCTTCTCTTTTCTTATCCATGTACTACCTAAAGCCTACCGCTAGTGTAAAGTAAATACCGTACGTAGATGTATACAACGAGAACAAAAAAAAAAGCGAGAGAGAAAGAAAAGGGATGGATGGGTGGAAACTCTGTACGACTGCAAGCAAAGTTGAGACATTGTACAATAAACAAAGGGGGCGAAATTTCTGTTCAAAGCAAATAGACAAGCATTCAAAGGAAAAAAAGAAACACTCCTGACAATACGATCGATTCTCAAAAGCAAAAAGCCTTGCTTGAGAGTATATATAGAAAAAAGAAATCTCTCGAGCTCAAGCCCTATATGGTAGTTTCTAACTACCTATTTCTTTCTTTCTTTCTGTCTGTCTTCCCGTTTTTTGTTCTTTTGCCTCCAAAGTTCCCTACGTACACACACACAACAATAACATTCCATACCAAGCTTTTTCTTTTTTTTCTCCTCTCTTTCTCTCTCAAACAAACCCAAATTCCACCTTTTTCCTCTTTCCCTCCCAGTTGACATTTTTGTACGATTCATTAGTATCGTATTAATTATGAGTGAAAAAGAAGCACACCGAAAAAAGACAAAGGGAAACAAACAAAAACCGAAAAAGTGCTCATCATTCGCGTCCCAAAAACAGGCCCAGACAAATCAATACGTACCATCCCAAACATTTGAAAGAGAAAAAAAAGGAGGGTGCAAGTTGGTATAAGTAGTTAAACAGTAATTTTGAAGCAAAGGGGAGTGAGTGTGAAGAAGGAAAAGAGAATCATCCGTCACTTGGATTAAACCACGGTTCCGTCACTGTCGATCAGGATCGGCGCCTCTTTGGTGTTTGGCCTGTTGATCTCAGCAATCTCACGACCTCCCTAATAGGTATGTTAGTCCAGTTCCTAATGTATAATCTGCATTGTGTCAGAGCAAGTGATTCTTACCTTCCAGCTGCCAGCTTCCAACAGCTGTGCCAGGGTCATCTCATGGCCATCCAGCTCCGCCTCCAGTGCCACATTGACATCTTCCAAGAGCTTGTCGAGCAGAGCGACTGTCAGCCCTCGCCATTCGACAATGACATCGTCCGAGGCCTCAAACATGGGCGCGACTTCAATGGCCTTGATTCCAGACTGTTTGCAATACGCGCCGTAATTAGCCAGCCCGCGAGCCATGTCTTCCTCCCTGAGAGTCAGGACACCCAAGTCGACAAAGAGGCCACCGTTGCGGTACTCTGGCAAGCCCGTCAGCAGCTCTGTGCCGGCAAAGTGCATATTTAGCAGGGATTGCATAGGCTGCATGAGCGAATACGCAAGCCACTGTGTCAGGTTGTGGAACGGCAGGATAGATTCCCACGAGTTTGATCCCGCGGGCAGGGCTTCACAGGACCAGGCATCACCAAGCGGGACGCCGTTGATTGCTGTTCGAGTAGGCCAGATGGAGGAGAGACCATCCATCAGGAGATTCCACAGAATTGGCAGGGGGACAATGAGAACTGATGATGCTTGGGTTGCAGGGTGTGAGAGCAAGTAGTCTGCAAAACAGTTAGAAAGCACGCAACCCTTCATGCCAAGGCAAATTTTCACTCACCAATCATGTTACCAGGACGGCCATCAGCCCCAAAGAACTCGGAATGCTCGTCGAGAGCCTCTGACAGCTTGACTAGGACCTCTGTTCGACCTTCCAAGCCAATGAGCTCGTTGTCGGCGTCGGCCTGCATACCCGAGGCAAGTTTGGCTGTGTTAAGAGCCCCCAATGCTCGCTTGTCAACCTGATGCTTGTTGGTTGGGCTTGCTGAGAAAATTCCCTAGACATTCCAAGTCAGATGCCAAAACTTCCAATGACAATGCTGAGATAAGCTTACTGATTTGAACATCTCCAAGGAAGCGACTGCGATACCCTCAGAGCGCCTGTAGGTTTTGCCATTTTCAACGCTCTTGTAGGTCCAGGTGGTTCCAGCGCCCGCATCCAGCAGTACGCTGATGGTGAAGAGGTCGATGAGTCGGCGGCATCGCTCTGCGTTGTCGACGCTCTCGGGCCAGCTATTCAAGAGCTCGACTACCCGATCTCGACCTCCTACACAGAAATGCTGATACCGACCATGGCTGGGAATGTCCTGGAAAGGAGCTTCGTGGTCACGCTGTACAAGCACATTGGTGTTAGTCTAGGCTTGAAACGCGGAAGTTGGGAGGCATTGGGTATAGAAAACGGGAGAAAAGGCGTTTACACAAGCATGTAGCGAACAGTAAACCGCATCTGACATCCCAAAACTTTTTGGGTTGAATAAGGTAGACAGTTCAAAGCCCAAGCCATTCCAGCAAGTCTTTTGAACTCGATACCACCATGCAGCAATTTCATTATTGCGCCCATATCTATCCCAAAACTTGCACTCCCTCCACCCAAGAACTTCTGCAAACATACCTTGATTAGTCCAGAGACAAACGTCACAACATCTGGAAATTTGTTCATATCAACGTCGAAGTGGACCAGCTCGTTATCCTGTGCCTTCTCCATGAGGGCCTTGGCTCTCTCTCGCACAGCCGTCAAGCTTCGCAGGTAGCCGGCGGGATCCAGCTGAGGGTCCGGCGGCCGAGGCAGATCAATCTTTGGTATTTTGATTGAAGGCATCGGTGATAGAGGCGTGTTGGGAGTGAGCATGCTGCCGGCAGAGACCCGGTTGTTGGCCAGGCCGCGGAATGTGGAGGAGCCGAAGCTGGTGGTGGACTGAGACTCGAGGATGCCCGACTCCCGAGGAGACTTTTGTTTGCGGGAGAAGATACCCATGGCTGCTGATTTCTTTGGTTCGAGAACTGGATTTCCCGGCGGATGCTTTTTTTTTTTTTTCTTTTCGCTCGCAGCGAAATGTGGCAATATGGAGCTTGGAGTAGAGCTCTTTCGCCTTCTCCCTCTCTTTTTGATATAGAAGAATCGATCAGGAACGGGAAGGAGGGGTTTGGACTCGACGTATTCGGAATTGTTTTCGAAGGCTAGCACGAAAGCCCGAGACGACGTCGAGGAGAGCAAAAGGAAGAAGAGGGATGGAGGTTGGAAGAGCAAGACGAGGATGCTAAAAAAGGGTATCTCGTGCCGGGTACTTGGTACCTGGCTAGCTGCTGATGAAGCTACAGCACGAGCATGTACAAGAATCAAGTAAGCCGGAGCAGCTCGTCAACCGATGATGGCGAGAATAAGGAGAGAAGAGAAGGTCAAGGGGCAAGAAAACGGGAAAAAGCAAAAAGCAACAAAAGAAGCTCAAGGTTCAAGAAAAAGGCGAGGACGAAAGAGAAATATCCAGACGCTCAACGGTTTAAGGCAAAAGACAAGGCACAGGCTGGCTCACACAAGCACAGGCGATCAGGATTAGGCACAAGCCCACACAAGCACAAGCACAAGGAAGCACAAGCACAACCTAGCACAAGAACAAGATAGAACAAGAACAAGCTCCCCGGCCGTGGCCAATTTTAGGGAAGAGTCGCCGCCAGACCCCCGACATCGACTGGAGCTGCCAGAGACCCGGAACTCACACGCAACGAACCCGCCATCGGCTACAAATTGCAAGGAGACGGGCGGGGGTACGAACAGTGGCAGCGCCTGCGAGCATCCCAGACAGGCCCCGACAGGCCCCCAATAGCGGTTACCAGCTGCCAGGTACGACGAGTCGGCGTCGTGCTATCCGACCAGGGGGTCCCTCCAGGCCCTGCAGCAGGCCCGTAGCAGCAACCAGGGCCTGTACTCGTAGCGTTAGTAGCGCTGGTGCGATTTGATGCTCTCAAGTGCTGTGCTGTACCAGGTGGCACGGCGTACCTAGTGCCTGTATTATTGGGCGCTAGCCACCGAGGTGGGCAAGGCACCAGCACGCTACTGGGCCTTAGCACCTCGCGGCTAAGAACCCGATTGCGATATCCGCAGCAACATTTTTGATGAACCGGGTGCGTGTGCACTGCACTGCACTCCATCCCATCCAGCAGTTGTACGAGTACTCCATCATACTTTGATGAGGGCGGCTACTGGTGACACCTCTGTCTGGCCTCTGCACGACAGCGGCCGAGGTTTGTGTTTGTGCTCCGATGCACAGTTGAGCACATGTCCGTACGAGTACGTGCTCATCTTGTCCTCGAATCAGGGAGGCTTACGGCACACCCACCAACTCACACAACGGCGAGCGATATACCTACATACCTAGTAGTAGCATACAGGTGGGCAGCCACCGTGTGCGAGTTAGTTGGCAGAACTAGAGACAAGAGACATTGAACCTTGAACCTTCTTGTGCTCCCTTGGGCGCGGGACTCCGCAAACCCTTCCCTTCAGGTTAATGTTATGTTCTCAAGCTGCTTTAGCTACAGTAGTGCCCTCTCGGCGTGGAGAGCCAGCGCGGACCCTGAGTGGCTCCCAAAGACCCCAAAGACACACCGGTCAGGGGCATCCCGGACGCCACCTGGGCAAGAGACTTGTCGTGTCTCTGTGATTGTGCTTGTGCTCGCGCTTCCGTGCTGGCGGACTCGGTCCGCGCGTGCAATCTAACATGGACCAGCGGGGGTTTTTTCCTTCTTGCTCGTTCTTCCTGTTTCCCACTCGGTGCTGAGCCCGACCAGGGGTAGGGGGGAGGAAGGGAGGAGGGGGAGGAGGAGCGAGCAGCACAGGCTCCCACCGGCGTGAGAGCTTGGACGGTGGCGAGATGGTCTCTAGACGGTCCCAGCGCTTGGGGGAGAAAGTCTGGGAAACGTCCAAGCGCCTCGAGACCAAGCGCCAGACCGGACGGACACTTGCTAGCAGACGCGGTCCTGTTTTAGCCCTCGGCGGGCGAATCGCGGTCGTCGAGCCGATTGGCGACGGGCTGGCGATCAGTTGCGATTAAGTCGGTGATGCAGACGCGCGACATGACTTGTGCTTCTGTCTGAGCTGAGCTGAGTACATAGAGCTGACCCCGAGCTGAACCTGAACTGAGTCGAGGCGAGGTCCTACTACTGTATTATCGGCTGCTGCTTTGCAACAGAAACCTCCGGGCATTCGTAAGCTGGATGCCGTTTTGAGAGACGTGCAGGGAGGAACGCAGGTTGGGCGAAAGGCAGCCCAGAGGAAACAAATTCAATGGAGGTGTTTTTGTGCACGTCGTTTTGGTCGGGGACCAGTTTTCAGAGCCGTGCTGGCCACTGAGAGCGCATCCAGAGACCGTGGCGAGTGCGAAAAGAGGAATTGAGAAAAAAAAAAAAAAAGAACCTTGAACCTGAAGGGAAAAAAAGCTCATGACCAGAACCATGCCCATGCCCCGAGTAATTCGCATCCCTGCCACCTGTGCTGCAGGTACGGATGTACATTCCGGATGTGAGATGTTACCACGAGGCCGGGCTAGAGCATCCCCCGGTCCCCTGTCCAGAGTGGCGCCAAAGTATCCGCCGTGGGCAGCACAGGTACAGCGCAGGTATCCTCAGTCTAGAGCCGGTGCCCCGAACCAAACATCTCGCCCAGCACCCTTACCAGTGGAGGGTACTGGGTACTGCGGCCGTCGTGGGCTGTACCAGTGGGGGACGAGGCGGATGTCCGTAGTGCTCCCTGTGGTGACCTCGGGCGCTGTCCCGTCGCAATCATCATTTTATTTTCCTCGGCCTAGCTGCCTTTGGCTGCTGCCTGTCTGGTCTACGATCCTCACGGTGCCTTGCCTTGCCTTGTTCCATGTACTGTAATGTACGAGCCCAGTGTGTTTGTGCTCCTCCTTCACCGTATCCAGAAGCTACCGGGAATTGGCTGGTTTTGGCACCTCCCTTGGAGCAGCTCATCCATGCATTGGCAGACCGAGACGTTACGGTAAGGTCCAGTGTATGTCAAATACCATCGGCAGTCAAGTAGTATTGCTTCAGGTTGCAGTAGCATCAGGGATTACAACTAGGTACCTACATATGTACTACTCTACCAGGTAAGTGTGCTGTATTTAGTCCTGTAGTCCAAGTCCCATCAAGACGGAACCAAAAGTCTGATGAGCTCTTCTGGTCAGGCAATCAACATCATACCACCCTAATCTATTCTAACCCCCCCGGCACGCCCAAGATTGCCCAGTAGAGGCAGGCCTGGCCCGCGTGGTTGCTTCTCGTTTTTGACATGCCCGGGGACAAGGGCGTCTTAATCTAGACGACTGGTTTTAGGCGATAAAAGACTTTATCCGATCAAACGTTTATATTGCACGCAGAGACCTGTCACAATGGGCGCTCGTTTCAAGATGATTCCAGGGCATCACGGACCGGAATTCCATACAGTCCAGTTCTCCGTTCCGAGACGAATAGCTACCTAGCTAATGGGTGGTGAAATATTGATGTGCAATGTGGCAGTATGGCTGTGCGCGGCCTCCTTGCTTGGGTTGACCATCCTGCCGGGCATCTCTCGGTGGAAACAGACGATGAAGCAAGCAAGGTCCTTTGCCCAGCCAGCGAGTGCCGTCTTGTCTTGGCCTGTTCACGTCGTTTCATGCCACTTCACCTGGGGGATTGTCGATGAATGGAACCTGATGCATATCCACAGCGTCAAATATGGGGCCCTTATACCAATACGCGGTACTACTACTCGTAATTCAGGAACAGCATCCCGGCAGATGATTGCAAGCCAGCTACTGCACCTCCCAAGACAAGTAAAAAGAGGCGTAGGGCACAAGTGCATGTAACCGTTATCGCCACTCGACTCAACTTGACTTGGCCGATCAATCTCGTCTCGTCTCGTCGTCATGAACAAGCCAAGCTGCAGCTCCCCTCTCACATGTCACACACAGCTAAACCTAACGGCTAGCCTGAGTCGAGAAATTTCCAAGCGGAGCCATCTCGCATGCTTACTAGGACCAAGCAGTCTCAATTAGCAATAGGACCGCGGATATTAATTAATTGCAAAGGCCAAGCCTAACCCGAAACGACGAAACGGCCAGAGAGAACATGCGAAGCGACAGTTTTTTTTTTTTTTTTTTTTATCCCAGTTTTCTTTAATTGTCTGGCAGTCTTTGTCATTCAGGTACGCTCCCGTATTACTGTATAACACCAGACTGCTAATGTCCAGTACCTTATTCTTCCGTCTCGGCGTCTTTATACCCTCAACCCTACTAACCCGGCCGGTGATTTCCCCCCCCCTCCCCAGCAGCTCGGAGACGTCTCCGTTGATGGCAAATCTCTCTCTCTCTCCCACTCCTTCTCTCTCTCTTCTCCCTCTTTTCCCGCCCATGGATCGATTTTAATCAGCCTGCGACCAGAAAAGGCCCACAGTAACCCAATTCGCCGAGGGCACCAGAATAGGCGACCCAAAAGGTCATCACAAGTTCTCTTGCTAGCTTCGAATTCCGCGTATCACGGATAGACAGGCTATCATGGACTCGTTCCGCTTACTCTGCCCTTTTCTATGGGGGTCCCGTTCATAGTAGGTGCTTGTAGTCATACAAAGTCGCACTGCGACGATTCATGTCCACCACTTTGCAGAAACTACCTAACGCAGCAGCTCACGGCCGAGGCTTGTGACAGGACAGGCCGTTGCAGGTAATTCCTGCGCGCCATCCATCACACGCTGATCCTCTCCCCCAGGGGCATGTCCCTGTATATGCCTGTTCTTTTTTTCCCTTCTCTCGTCTCTTATGGAAACCTTTCACATGATTTATCGTGGCCCCGGGATCCCGTGAGGGTCCAGCCGCCCTGGTAAAAAAGCAAATCTCGGTATCCGTAAAATGTGTCGTGTGTCTTGTTACGCAGCTCCACAAGGTAATATAGTAGCAAGTTTCTTTTTTTTTTTTTTTTCTGTCATAATATACAGAATGATGTTGCTTTTCGGGAGAGAGTCCCGCGCTACGGGTTCGGCGTACTTGAGAATACCTACTAGAACGAATTGATGCCACTCCCAGAATGAAACACTCTCTTAGATGCGGAGATCAAACTCAATCCCGCAACTATTTCCGCAAGGCTTGGTGTCGTTCCAGAACATGGAGCCGACGGAACCAAGAAGATGCGTCTATCGAAAGGGCTGACTTGGAATTGGCGCCGCCTCCAGACCCGGAAATACGGCCACGGGTAGCGAACAGCCTCGGGTCCAGGGCTGTTTGATACCACCGTTGCTCTCTGCTCCCTTGCCAGAACTCATGTTAGACCAAGGTAGCATTTTCTGGGACCATCCTTTGCTCGAGTAGGCATCTCGTCTCTCGAGAAAACACCTCATTTGGGAAGAGGTGAGAGCGTCTAAGGTGTTGGTGCGTGCTGCTCACTTCCCGGACAGGTAGGAGGCTGGCCTATTTGGATGTTCAAGTCACATTGCTATTCTAGTAAGCGCCTCGTTTACCTGCCTAGCCACATGGCACAAAGTCCATACAACATCAGTGTAATATCGCGGCAAGATAAGTAAGATTGCCATCAACAAAAAGAGCTGTTGGTTCCAGGTGTGCTACAAAGTTCGAGTGCAGTACGTACCTCCGTCTGACGTCGCAGCTTACCCTGAAGCTGAGACGGGATTTAGGAGATACCGTCTGTCACGTTGCATACAAGGATTCTTTTTCTCGGTGACTTTTTTTTTTTCCTTTTTTTCCTTTTTGGGGGGGTTTTTTTTTTTTTATTCCTTCCAGCTCTTATTTGTGTACGAGTAATACGAGCTATGTGATTACTCCCGACCTTTGATGTTCGAAATCGGACATCTTAGCTGACGAGAAAGTGCTGAAAGTCGAATCGCCGCCGAAAAGGAGGTGAATTAACAATTTCGACTGCTTGCACACCTGGATACCTTGAGGACTTTTCTCGCTGCTGTCTCGGACTCTATGTACAGCTCTTATTTGCGCAGAAAATGACAATTTCGAGAGTGAATGACAGTGAATTGCGTCACAGCTGCCAACACGAGGTGGTATTGAACTGAGACAGTCTCTCGGCACCACAGCCAAGACACTGATCTACATCAATCCGGTGACTCGCAAACGAAGCGACTATAATACCGCTATAAAGTGTCACGCGACACTCTGAATCACGGATTTCCGCTCAACAATGGATGTACTCGTAGGACATCTGAACCATCTGCCAGGCACAGGAGAGCCGTTGTCTGTGTCGATATCTAGATCCCCATACCCTTCCTTCTGCTACAATCACTTCCGATACTACATGTACCTCGGCTCGCCCAGATGGGTAGTATGTTTCATAAATCTAGTGCGTCATAATGAGTGATGAAATGTCTGGCAGCTAATTAAATGGATTACCCGCGGAAGCTTGAAATAGAAAGCCCGAAGGAAGCTGCCCGTGTTGCCAAGGCTGCCCCCTTTCAACATCTTACACGTAGAATGAGAAATGAAATCCTATTTCTAGACCCAAGTTCACCTACCCTGGTGCTATTTCATATTCTTTGACCACCTTGCCTAGCTATCGTGTCCGATGTGATAGCGACATGTCACTGATAGAAGATGCTCATTTTACTAAAGCTGCTACGTATACACGATACCCTGGAGTAAATCATATCTTTCGGCAAAGGGGTCATTATATCATTGTGCTATATGGAGCATCTGGACTACTGAGTAAAGCATAGCGGATGAGATATTGGTGATTGCTCCTCCTACCATCCTTTGCTAAGTAATCAAAGCATTCAAACTATGGCTAGAGCCTTTCACTCGAACATCTAATATCACACAATCGTTTTAAGCTGCTGTCAATCGACACTTCTGTTACTTGACTGCATTTGTAGGTCATGCTCCCTCCGAAATCAATAACCCTATTGTCCAAACAAGGCGCTGCCGATAAGAAATAGTCAATCTAGTTACTCAAAGTTAGCGAGATCAACACAACCAAACCGAATAGAAAAAGAGGCTCACCTGATCAAACTTGGTACCCCTTTCCTCCACAATTAAAGAGCCGGGCATGCCCTTGGTCCTCGGCTCTGTACCTTGCCCCAGCTATGCTGCGTCCTTCGGTATGCTACTTATCCGCCGTACGCTCTTGTGCGCGAGGAGAGCGGTTTATTATGAGATGAGATCGGCGACATTCATCGGCATCTCATCGATTTGAGTTGAGTAATACACTGTGATGAGCAAGTCAGTATGTGTCACGGGGTAGAAACGAGGTTAAACAACGTACACTCAATGTCTCGGAGGATGCGCACATCTTCCGTGGTCACAAAGTTGATGGCCACGCCCTTGCGGCCGAATCGTCCACTACGACCAATTCGGTGAATGTAGTTTTCTCGGTTGCTTGGCAAGTCGTAGTTGATAACTAGACTGACCTGCTGCACATCGATACCACGTGCCCACACATCTGTCGAGATGAGAACTCGGCTGTTTCCCTGTCGAAAGTCTTGCATAATGCTGTCACGCTCCTTCTGAGGCATATCACCATGCATGGAGCTGACGGTAAAGTTGGCCTCGCGCATCTTGTCCGTAAGCCAGTCAACTTTGCGGCGTGTGTTGCAGAAGATGACGGCTTGGGTAATGGTGAGAGTGTCGTAAAGGTCGCACAGAGTGTCGAATTTCCAGTCCTCCTTCTCCACGGCGATAAAGTATTGCTTCAGTCCTTCCAACGTGAGTTCGTCTCGCTTGACCAAGATTCGGACAGGGTCGGTCATGAACTTGGTAGTCATGTCAAGAACATCGTAGGGAAGGGTGGCACTGACGACCACGACCTGCGTCGCCGGTGGCAAGTAGCGGTAGACGTCGTAGATTTGCTCTCGGAACCCCTTGTTAAGGAGCTCATCTGCTTCGTCCAAGATGAGCATCTTGATGTGCCTCGTCCTAAGATGGCGTCGTCGAATCATATCAGCTACCCGTCCTGGTGTGCCCGAAACAATGTGCTGGCCGTAGTCGAGCTTGCGAATATCCTCCCCAACGTTGGTGCCACCGATGCAGGCGTGGCACTGCACGTTCATATAGTCGCCCAATGCCATGACAACCGATTGGATCTGAGTAGCCAGTTCTCGTGTGGGGGACAGGACAAGAGCTTGGGTCTCGCGCACGGCCGTGTCAATAACTTGCAGCATGCTGATCGAGAAGGTGGCTGTCTTTCCCGTGCCGGACTGGGCTTGCGCGATGGTGTCGCGTCCCTTGCAGATCTGGACAATGGCTCGCGACTGGACGGCGGAGGGGGATTCATAGCCGTAAGCGTAGATGCCGCGGAGGAGGTTCTCTAGAACGTCACAGTTAGACAAATCGACACGATTGATAGAGGCGGTAGACAATAGACTAGGTGGCTTTACCTTTCAGCGACATGGCCTCGAAAGTCGGGTGCACCGTCACCTCTTTGGAGGTGGAAAACTCCATCCTCTCATCCGCCTTGCGGTCAATGCCTCCAGCGCCCTCAGCCATGATGTAGCAAGATGGATTGGTGTTGTAAGAGATAAAGTGATTTGCTGAACTGCTGGCAGCTCCGGGATGATGTTAGGTCGGTAGTTGGGGATCTTGGCTCCAAAACTTTTGGATCGACCGATAACGTTTCTGGCGTCGGAAATATCTCGGCAAAACCGATAAGGCACTTTTGCCCCCCAGGTCCTTCTAAAAACGCGACCTGCTTGGTGTTTTTTTTATGGAGTCACTGAACGCTACCTCATGCATTGGCTGAAGCAGCGATTTCCTCTTGGTGTCGCGCCGACCTTCTTTTCTCTTCTGTCAATTATTCCTTTCAGCTCTCAACAAAACAGCCTCGCACAATGTTAGTCCTAGAAGAGCAGCGGTACATCCACGAGGACCTAGAGCGCCTTGAACAGGGCATTGCGGACCGCATCCGCGAAGACCCCAAGCATGTGAGCCCCCCAGACTGTGTTTCTGTTCTCTATTCTAGACGATGCCTAACTGATGCCGTTAATTTAGATTCGCGATCGCCTCAACCGCGACCACGAAGTTGCACAGCTCTTAGACCAGATCCAGGCGCAATCCCAGAACCTACTCAACATCTACGGTGACGAGTCTGGAAGCAGGGCTCAAGAGATCCAACAGATCGGCACTGGAGATCCGTTCGAAGAGTTTTATCGTCAGTGGAAGGACGTTCGAGATCACCACGCAAGATACCCCAATGAGCAGGCGGAGAACTCAGAGCAACGATACAAGGTGTCGAGACATGGCGATCCATCAGAACCTATGCCCTCCATTGTCGACTCTCTATTCTCAGGAGAGGAGGCCTACGGAAGGTTTTTTGATCTAAATACTTGTCACGAATCTTTTCTCAACCTGCCAAACGTAAAGCGCTTGACTTATCTGCAGTATCTCGAGTTGTTTGACAACTTTGCGCCCGGCTTTGCAGGCGTCAAGCGGAATGAGAAGCTGACTGATCAATATTTCAAATACGTCGGAGATTTAAGCGATTATCTCGAGTCGTTCATGCGACGGACACGACCTTTGGAGAATGTGGATAAGATTGTGCAGTCCTTTGACCAGGAGTTTGATGAGGCTTGGACCAAGGACGAAGTTGAGGGGTGGACTCTTGAGCAGGCGACATCAACCAAGCAGCGCACAGGAGACGCTATATGGTGTGATGACTGCGAGAAAGAGTTCGCCAACGATAATGTCTACAAGAACCACCTCAAGGGACGAAAGCATATCAAAGCTGCAGAGCAACGAAGCCAGCGACAAGAAGGGTCGAAGCCGGCTGCAAATGGTTCTGGAAAGGGAGTTGTCTCACCAACCAGATTAAAAGAGCGAGCCGTAGCAGAGCGCGAGCACAGAGTCAAGCGATTGGCCAGTGCCATGAGCACTGAGCGGGGCGATACCCGTGTCAACGTCGAACGTAAACAAGGAATGACAGAACGAGAGCGTCAACAAGAATTGGATAACCTCCTCAATGTGTCTGATACCCGTTACGAACCGATGGATCAAGACGATGGTGAAGGCGAGGATGGCGAAGAAAAGATTTACAACCCCCTCAAGCTCCCTCTGGCCTGGGACGGAAAGCCCATTCCCTTTTGGTTGTACCGATTACACGGACTCGGTGTGGAATTCCCATGCGAAATCTGTGGAAACTTTGTCTACATGGGCCGACGTGCGTTTGATAAGCACTTTAATGAGGCACGCCACGTGTATGGCCTCAAGTGCTTGGGCATTGCCAACACCAGTCTCTTCCGAGACATTACGGGGATTGACGAGGCCATGAGGCTCTGGGAAAAGATTCAGAAAGAGAAGAAGAGGGGGAAGATTGACGACGGAAGCGTCATTCAGATGGAGGACGGCGAAGGAAACGTTATGCCGGAGAAGGTATACTACGATTTACAGAAGCAGGGCTTGCTTTGAACGGTTCATGCATCATAGGCTGGGAGTTTGTGGATATGGCGATTTGGACGGTCAGGGAACATACTTGCTTGATATTGTAGTAATTAGAATGAATTGAGGGAATTGGATGTTAAATTCGCAAAGAAATTGTGTTGTTTGCTGTTGTTTGCTAATGTCCGCTGCTGTCTTTCGTCAACATAGTTGCTTAGTCATGTTTGAATTAGGCATCACCACCAAATACCAAGGCGCGTTACCCGGGAGATTTTTTACCTCTTCATGCTCGTCCCCTTTGTAACAGCATGCCCAATATCGGCATTGATATTGATGACGCATCCTAAAATTCCAAGCGGTGAGCAAGCATAGGCATGTCAGGCCTTGTCAAACCTCTGCCGGCTTTATATGTTGTTTATGTCTTGCGCTCAACAGTGAGGCCCGGCTCGATATACATTGGATCCACGCCAAATCCGCCTAGGCGGTTAAAGCAGCACAATGGCGAGGCCAAAGGCGGCGCAGTGCGCACATCGCGCGATACTCTTCGGCCCTGGGAGATGATTGTGTTGGTTTCTGGATTCCCGAGCTCGACAGCAGCTCTCAAGTTTGAGTAGGTTTCAGCCCCCTCTTCGAATAATCCGTTGGTATCGTATGCTGACGTGAAAATGGCAAGATGGGCTCTAAATAACCCACACCTTACTCTACACATACCGAAAGAAGAGCGTATCACAGTAGCGACGCAGAGAAAAAGGAATGGGATGCCGAGACGAAAGCCGCACAGCCTCAAGTCTGTCATTCCCAACGTTCACCTGCTCACGAGCGTGTCAAGCTTTTCAAGGTGGCCATTGAATGTGCATTTCTTTAGTCAAGATGCCCACAAAGTCTGGAAAGACTGGAGCGAAACAAGAGAGACTGCCGTCGCCACGAGTCCCACGATATTGACAGACTTTGGCCCCTCTGCAGGGGATGCGTCGACGACACCGTGGGGGATTCACGCTCTGGCGTTGGATTACTCTCCGATGAAGGAATACATTGAAAAAGCCCATAACGTGACATCGTTTGAGAGGCAAGGGCAATGCATTCACTGCAGTAAAGAGATGCAGCCTGAGCAAGGCTTATACGCAATGTGCCCCAACGACGGCTGCGAGGCAATGGGACACATTGACTGCTGGAGCAAGCATGCACTGGCGGGTGATGAACCCGGTGCCATTATTCCTACTAGCTGCAAGTGCCCAGCATGCAGCGGCGAAATACGATGGGGAGACATGATGAAGGAGCTGAGCCTGCGAACGCGTGGAACAAAAGAGGTGGAGAAGCTGCTGAGGAAGAAGAAGCGGGCAAAGAAGGACTCGTGATGGGGAGAGCCAATTGGAGGGATTTTTCGGGGCTTCTAGGGATTTGGCGCTTATAGAAGAAAGTATAAGTGCTCTTTGTCTGAATTTTTGATTTTGTTTATTGTTGGTGGTTAAGATTTACTAGATTGGTCGGATGAAGCCCGTTGTTCAGATAGAGTTGTGACTTATGCGTGATGCATCGGCTACAGCCGGCTAGAATCCATGGATCTATCCATATGGTTTGGCTAAAACTATCACATAACGTGGGTATAATAGTCATGACATTGGAATTTCTATCAACTGAGAAAAGTCGTGTGCCTGACATGGCAAAGAGCAACCATCGTTCAATCCAGCTCTTGCGGCATTGGCTCGGCATCTGCATGCACACACTCTCTCACTCTACCTAGACCAAGACTGATCTGGTGATGGTGGGGTGATGACGGCACCGGCTCAGTGGGGGCTGCGCACCAAAGACTCGGTAATCTGGGCTTTCGGAGCTTTCAAAGGCCAAAAGGCGTGCAAAAGGACTGGCCACTGGTAGGGCACACAAGCGCCCAGAATCTGGGGTTCCAGTGCGCGGTAGAACGGCATGCCACTATATTCTCAGGTAAGATGTAAGAAGCGTGATACAGGGCAATCCATCCGCTGATTACGAGCTGCACATCATCCAAATCCTTCTGGCTCTCCCGCAACGAGGCTGCCTCAGCCAGCTGCTAATTGTGGACACGTCCGTTCAACCTCACCGACGCGTGATTGGCTCGGCACTGGCCACCATGGGCCTGACCCTTGTCGGTGCAACCACTCATATCAGATTTGCCTTCTTGGCTGGAGGGAAATAAGAGAGAAAAAAAAAAAAATTATGGGCATTGTCAGCAAACTATTCGGCTATTTCTGCGCTACAAGCTGGGCCTTGACTTGTACAAGCACGGCGCGACAATGATTTTCCGAGTGGACGGTTGCTGGGGGTTTCGGTTGCGTTTGGACGGATCAATGCGAAAATACGCGCAGCATATGGCTTTGCATGGGGATTGCGATGGGAGCTGACTCGGCGCGCTTTTATCTCTTTTTGATGCGTACACGCATGGACGTATCGCGTTTGCTTGTTGGCCAATGTCGCGGCTGCTGTGGTTTGCTGCCGTCAAGCTTCTCTTGGATTCTCTTGAGGGAGTTGAGCTCCATTGTTCTGATTCATAAGAGAAATTGGCGGAGCACATGGCAGCAAATGGTGTAATGCGAGTCGAGCCCACAGTCAGCAAGGCCAATCAATGTACAACAAAGGATTGTACTCTACCGTACTCCTCTACTGTACAGCTTGCATTGCATCCATCCATTTCCCCCTTCCAAACTCGGGCATAAGGCGGGAGCAAACGAAAACTGACCCGACCCTTTGTATGTACCTTTTGCAGGCTGGTAGTGCGACAGGAGCCGGATGTCGTCTGCGGTGGGGCTGTCAGTTTTGCTCGTGCCAAATACATGTATCCATGGCGCCGGCCGCTATTGGAAACGCCGCAGAAAAATTAACAAGAGAGGCAAAAAAAAGTCAAAAACGCCGGCCTTGGATGACGCTCACTGCCGTAGTAGAGCTTCCGGGCGCCTTAGCAGTACGAATACTCATATGCATCACATCACATGTATACGTGCAGCAATCAACGCATGGCACAGGTTACCTGTATAGGACATGTGCTGTGCTGTAGTGCATGCAAGTAGAAGTACCTGCGACCCCTGTGCGATCCGGCTGATGCCTCTTGATCGGTGGCCCCGGTGGGAGCACTGCAGCGGATCCGAGAGAAAGAGAGGACCGGATCGTCCGCACAGGGAAAAAAAGTCCTGCAAGTACAGGTACCGCGCCAGAAGAGCCTCTCATAGCGACTTGCATCATGGAAGACTCCATAAACAACGGGACAGCCAAGGGAGGTACCGAGTACATGAGCGCAACAGGATGCTTCTGGGTACCAAGGTAAAAGTGCCTGCGGCTGCGGGCTGAAGCACCTCGAAGCTCTTGCTCCAAACCCAACCACTTCAGCGCGTTGAAATGTCCCCCAAAGTACCCCGTACCACGCGCATAAGTCCAACTGCAGAGCGATAGGCTGCATACGGCGTAGCGGCGGTACTTGCCCAGTAAAAAACGCCCGGGGTCCATCGAACTAGTAGCTGCTTATTGGCTGCCGCGGCCGTGGGTCCACCCACACGGACCACCTGGCTGGCTGCAGCGCACAGCTCCTGGCAGGGCAAGTGCAGCCCAGCTGCGAGCACAAGTCCCTGGTACCTCGCGCGCCCGCTGTACGCTGGTGGTAGAGTCTCCCTCCCCTCCGTACCCAGGTACAAGTACCGGCCCGCAGGCATCCTCCCAGCAGCACCGCGCCTGTACTCTGTAGAGAACGCTCAAAGCCCTGTACCAGTACTTCGGAGGGCCGCACTGAAGCAGGTACCTGTCGGTCGCTCTGACCCCGTCCCTCTGCTGCTCTGCCAGGAACGTCCTGCGCACCTTCACGCCGGAAGCCTCGACCCATTCCACTCGTGCGCTTCCGCCCACTCTCTAAATCCAATCTCGCTCCGGCATCTGCACCACCCAAAGGGCCAACGAGACTCGCAGAAACTCGCTGGCTTTTGATTCTGCGGCTCCCTTGGCCCTCTGCCCGTCGTTGCACTCTTGACAATCAAACAAGGCCCCAGCCCTGTATCTGTATGTATGTCTATGGTCTATGGTCCATGTCTCTGACTCTCCCATCCGCTGCACTGCCCTTCGTGTTAGTTGCGCCATGTTCCATGTTCCAGCTGCCCGTCCTTGACCACATACTTTGTTTTACATCCCGTTTCTTCTGCAGCACCGAATGCTCATGCTCATGCTCATGCTTATACTCCGCTAGTCAAGCCGCCATCTTTCTTTTTACCTTTTTTGCTGTGCCGGCCCAGATAAGAAACGCCACGGCCACTTTTCCATCACGTCTCGACTTGCCCCGGCCCGAGACGCACATGGTCCCTCGCATACATGATGCCATGCGGATTGAGCCTCCACGATAGGTATCTCGTCATATGAGCCTGTTTGGCCGCCTCCTCCCTGTCCATATCGAACGACAACGACGCCTGCGCCTGCTCTCAACCACGCCCCCGTGACCCTCCGAAATCCTGGGGCCGGAATTCGTTTGCGCCATGGCACCGATGGCCTCGCTCAGCGCAGCCGCTGCTGCCTCTGGCAGTGCCAATGCCAGTTCGCGCAGCTCGCCTGCGATTGGGGCGTCTGCGGCCTCCTCGTCCTCGAAGCCCAAGCACAAGGTCAACTCCAACGGCTATCATCCTACAAATCCACCCGTGCCGCTCAGCTCCATGGTCAGCGCGCCATTGGATCTCACCTCGGTCGAGAGACGCGGCCAGCCCACGGCGGTGCGGGAGCCGCTCAAGAAGAAAACACGACCGCACGGCATATCAGAAGCCCCGACCTACTGTCCGACTGAACACGAATGGCGTGACCCCTTGCAGTATATTCAAAAAATCGCCCCCGAAGCATCTCAGTTCGGCATCTGCAAAATTATTCCACCCGATTCATGGAACCCCGAATTTGCAATTGACACTGAAGTATGTGATTTTGCGCCAACAGGGCGCTTGGCGATCTGGGGACGTGCCCAACGGTACAATTCGCTGACCAAATCGATAGAAATTTCACTTTCGCACTCGAAAACAAGAATTGAACTCCGTCGAAGGCAGTAAGTCTTTTATGTTGCGGAAGCAGAAAGCTTCCCTCCTGTTCCCACAAGGAGAGAGAGGCAAATAGAAAAACAAGGGAATTTGCTTATTAATTTTTTTTTTCGTCTTTTAGGTACGAGGGCCAATCTTACCTATTTAGATGGCCTTGCCAAGTTTCACAAGCAGCAGGGGAACAACCTACATCGTCTGCCGTATGTCGACAAAAAGCCCCTTGACCTTTATCGCCTGAAGAAAGCAGTCGAATCCAGAGGCGGATTCGACAAGGTCTGTAAGTTGAAGAAATGGGCTGAGATTGGAAGAGATCTCGGCTACAGTGGCAAGATTATGTCGTCATTGTCCACGTCGCTCAAGAACTCGTTCCAGCGATGGCTTTGCCCGTACGAGGATTATCTGCGGCTCGCAAAGCCTGGAGTTCACCAGCAGCTTGAACAAGAGTATGGCGGCCCTTTGACCCCGAGCCCCGCACCAACGCCCGTGAAGCGATCTACAGTCAACACTCCGAGCAGCGCCCGAGGGGCTTCGCCTGCCCGACAGGCATCAGATGCCCTCCAGAACAGCGTCGCCGGTAAAAGAGAGATGGATCGAGACACGCCCATGGCCGATGCACCGCCTGCTCCCACCTCAGCAGGACCCACTTCCGGATTTACAGCCATCAACACCAACGGCGGCTTCACTGCAGTCAATTCGGGCTTCACCAGCGTCAACCGTTCCACCAATGGCGAGAGCAAGAGTTACACCCCAGATTCTAAGCGATACGACAGCCCCGCTACATCTACGAGAAATACCCCCGAAGCTCGGCCATCGGGTCTCGGCTCCGCTGTTGCACTGAAGCGGCAATTGAGCGTCGGCAGCCCAGCAGACTCAATCAAGAAGGAAGGGGATACCGACAAGGACGACGCCGATATGGCCAGCCGGCGAAGCAAGCGCCTCAAGAAGGATAATGTGCCTACAGTGGCTGGTTCGCATATGACCGTATTTCGCCCCTCTGTTCCCAGAATTCCTAGGGAAGAAGGTGCTGCTGCAGGGAACAAGTGCGAAAATTGCGGACGCGGTGATGACAGCGGGCCTCTGCTCGTTTGCGAATCCTGTGATCATGCGTACCACGGCCCTTGTCTTGATCCCCCGCTGAAGCGAAAGCCTGAGGCCGAGTGGAATTGCCCGCGGTGCTTAGTGGGAGACGGTCAGTTTGGGTTCGAAGAGGGCGGCCTGTATTCGCTGAAGCAGTTCCAACAAAAAGCAAATGATTTCAAGCAGGGCTATTTTGAGCAAAAGATGCCCTTTGACGAGACTCTTCATTGCCATAGGCCGGTCACTGAAGAAGATGTCGAAAGCGAATTCTGGCGCCTGGTGGCAGATTTGGAAGAGACTGTCGAAGTTGAATACGGTGCCGACATCCACTGCACTACGCACGGCTCGGGCTTCCCTACCGTCGAAAAACACCCAAGTAACCCATACGCCACCGATCCTTGGAACCTCAATGTTCTCCCTTTCCACCAAGACAGTCTCTTTAGGCATATCAAATCCGACATTTCAGGTATGACGGTGCCTTGGGTCTATGTTGGCATGATCTTTTCAACATTTTGTTGGCATAACGAGGACCACTATGCCTACTCGGCCAATTACCAACACCTGGGTGCGACCAAGACATGGTATGGCATACCTGGAGAAGACGCCGAGAAGTTTGAAAACGCAATGAAGGAGGCTGTGCCAGAGTTGTTCGAGACCCAGCCGGATTTGCTCTTTCAATTGGTCACACTTCTCACGCCAGAACAGCTGAAGAAGGCCGGTGTGCGTGTCTACGCCTTGGACCAGAGGGCTGGCCAGTTTGTCATCACGTTCCCTCAAGCCTACCATGCCGGCTTTAACCATGGCTTCAACTTCAATGAAGCTGTCAATTTTGCCCCCTGTGATTGGGAGAAGTTTGGACAGGCTGGAGTTGAGAGACTGCAGCTATTCCGCCGGCAGCCGTGTTTTTCTCACGACGAGCTCTTATGGACGGCTGCTGAAGGAAGCGTGTCTTCGGGCCTTACCATTCAAACGGCAAAATGGCTGGCACCGGCTCTTGATCGCATAAGCCACCGTGAACGAGTACAGAGGGAGGAGTTTCTTACGAGGCACAACGAGGTATCTCCTCATAGATGCCAAGTCATGGGGGGAAGCGAGGACTCCTGCCCCCTTACCTTTAAGATCGACGATGCCGATGTTCATGATGAGGATGAGCAGTGCTGCAGCTATTGCAAAGCCTTTGCGTACCTATCCCGCTTCAAGTGTCATCGTTCTGGGAAGATCCTGTGCATTTTTCATGCTGGAACCCACGCCTGTTGCGACGTGCCGGAAGAGAAGCGGCTTAGGGGCGAGGAGCATACGCTCATCTATCGGAAAACTGACGACGACATGATCTCGATATACCAAAAAGTCTCCGAAAAAGCACGCACACCCGAAGCTTGGGAAGAAAAGTACGAAAAGCTTCTCGAAGAGGAAGCTACACCTTCGCTAAAGACCCTCCGGGCGCTTTTGCACGAGGGCGAGAAGATCCCCTATGAGCTTACTTCTCTTCCGATTCTGAAAGAATTCGTGGACAAATGCAACGACTGGGTTGAAGAAGCCACCAACTACATTGTCCGAAAGCAGCAGAATCGCCGCAAGAATGAGAAAGTCTGGCAAAGTAACGGGCGTCGTGGAAGTGCCAATAATGATCAGAAAGACAAAGACAAAGACAAAGAGTCGCGCCACGTAAGCAATATTCATCGCCTGCTTACAGAAGCAGAGCATATTGGGTTTGATTGCCCTGAAATAGCACAGCTTCAAGAGCGGGCGGCCGCCGTGAAGCAGTTTCAGGATAATGCCACCACCATTCTCAAACAAAATATCGCCCACCCCATCGAGGCTATAGAGGAGTTGATCGAAGAGGGACGTGGCTTTAACATAGACACCCCAGAGCTGGAGGCCTTATGCCGGAGACTCGAAGAATTGCGCTGGAACGAGAAGGCTAGGACCAGCCGCGGCAAGTTTTTGCTGTTGACAGAAGTGCAAGAAATCATTGAAGAAGGGAAGCGGCTAGAGATTCCCAGCTACAATGACCACCTGAAGTACTACTGCGACAAATTGGCGGCTGGCCAAGCCTGGGAGGCAAAGGCCAGAGAACTTACCCATGCCGAGTTTGTCCACTACCCTCAGTTGGAGGCACTCACGGCTCAGGTACAAGCCAATGCTCTCCCCGTCTCTCGCGAGACGCTGGCTGCCGTCGACCAGATACTCCACAAGCAGCGCGAGGCACATCGCCAAATCATTGACATTACCGATCGGTGCCGCGACCCTGATTATACAAAGCGGCCCAAATACTCTGAAGTTCTCGAGATCACAAGGAAGCTGGATGACCTCAACTCGAAGCCCACCGGCACTGTCGACCTAGAGAATGAGCGAAAGCGTCACGAGGATTGGATGCGAAGAGGCAAGAAGCTCTTTGGGAAGTCCAATGCACCACTGCATATTCTTAAAAGCCATCTAGAGCATGTCCTTGAGCGGAACACAGACTGCTTCGATACGGACCACGACACTCCACGCCTTCCAGGAGAGCCCGTTTCAAGAGAAGCTAGTCCGGAGGCTGGAGGGAATCGGTGGGAAGACCCACGATCGAGGCAAGTGTTTTGTATCTGCAGAAAAATCGAAGCTGGCATGATGATTGAGTGCGAGCTGTGTCATGAATGGTGAGTTTGGAGTACACGCAATTGAGGAGAAGGAGCACGCGCTGATATAAGCCAGGTACCACTACAAATGCTTAAAGATTGCCCGTGGCAAAGTAAAGGAGGACGACAAATACACTTGCCCGATATGTGACTGGAGGATGAAGATTCCTCGCGACGCATCTCGACCCAAACTGGAGGATCTTACTTCTCTTGCCGATGAGATTCCAAGCTTGCCCTTCCAACCGGAAGAGGAGGAAGTTCTTCGGCAGATTATAGACAATGCGCAAAACTTCAGAGACAAGATTGCCCAGTACTGTAACCCCCTTCTTTCAACAGAAGCTGAGGCCGAAACCCAGCGATTTTTCCTCCGAAAACTTGAGGGCGCAGAGATTCTGCTATCATACGAGACCAACTTCTTCCGTCAGGAGCTTCACAAGTGGTGCCCGGTTGCGCCGGAGCCACCGCCAATTCTGCAGGTCTCTCTGAGCACGCGCAAGCCTCGCCCTACGAAGCTCCAGAAGATGCTGGTAGAATATGGAGTTGACAATCCAGACGACCTGCCGGAGCACGCGAAAGGTAAGGCCAATAGCCTTCGACGGAAAGCGGCGAATGCAGAGGCGGCAGCAGCAGCAGCTCAAGCGACAACGGCTATGCCCAGCGTACCTAACCCACACAATGCAGCGTACGGGCCGCAGGCTTACTTCTCTCGCGGATCTCATTCAACTACTCCAAGCATCTCTGCCAACTCACATGGACATGGGGATGAGAAGTCTGAATCGGCCTCGGAAAACGACGGGCTCAAGCTGGGGTCCGCTGAAGCAGAGAGTAACTTGCATCCTAGTTTCTTGCGCGCAGGCAGCTCTCATTTGGCGGCTGATGACTCGAGCATGTCACTTGAGGAGCGGTTTATGCGTGGCCAAGATGATGCGGATAAAAACAAGGACCTCGGAATGTTTACTCGCTCTGAGCTGGGGAGAGATCAAGCTGAAGGGGTATGGGGGTCGGATGTCTGGAGCAGTAGACAAAGATCCATGAGTGAACATGGGCGGTCCATGACTCCGGCTGACTTGGACGAAAACATGAAACACGACGATGGCAAGGTTGACCAAATGTTTAAAGAAATGACGAATCAAGACGAAGACGAAGATCAAAAGAAGAAGGATACCACGATGACGAACGGAAACGTCACAGCAGACTTATTAGAAAGCGAGAGGAACGGGTTGGATGCGATGTTGGACGGGGAGTAGTTTGGTTGATTCTTGGGAAATGGGAGAAACGAAGAAAAAGCAGGTTGGTCGTGCCATGACTGAGAGCCCTCTATATTTTCTTTCTTCTTTCTATTATGTGCGTTTTCTTCTTTTTTTTTTTTGGGAGGATCTGGGAGTTTATGGTAATCGGTACCAACCGGGAAGGACTATGTGTATGCTTGTAATACCAGGACGCGGCGTGTCTTCTTCTTCTGCTTTCTCTTTCTGACGACATGGGCGCAATTTAAAGAGGGCACGGATGGAATGCTTTTCTCTTTGGAAGGAGGAAGATGGTGCACTTTCAGGGGGGAGAGTTTGAGAACGCATGTGTGCAAATAATTTTTTTCTTTTACTTCTTCTCAGTTTTACGATTCAATTAGTAGCTTTAGTTGAGGTTTGTTTGCCAGAGGAGATGTGTGTGGGTGAAATAAATGGGAGGCTTAATATTGCCGGATGAGAGAGAAAGAATAAACCAAAAGAGTTTTTTGTTTTGTTTGACCATTGATGTCTTTGTAGTTGAATCGTGAGATGCCTAAGCAATGAGCAGCTTGAGCGGGCGCAAATCCAATTGCCTTACTACCAGGTTCACTTCATCTTATCGGGATTTTTTCTTGCAGTGCTCAGAGAATATGCGAGACATCAGTTGGTGTTTGACTGACACGAACTGCTGGAGGGAGATCTGAAGCCGCTAGGCTTAATATTGCCTAGTCAAATTGAATTGGCGTACTAAGCAACGGAGCTTCCCATCACGTGACATCCCGCAACCGACGCATCTACGCGTGCCTCGTCATGGCAAGTTGGGCTTTTATCGGCATCATCAGCACAGAATCACTACTTCACCTTCGCCTCACCTTCGCTTCACTTCAGCTACTGCGAAAATGGCGTCTCCTCCCTATGCTACGTCGCCCTCGGCCATGTCGCCTCCTTATCCGTCCCCGGTGCAGATCCCCAGCAAGAAACGGACATCGACGATGGACATGAACATGCCATCTAGCAAGCGCAGAAAGAGCTCCGTCATCTCACAGCCGCCGATTCACCCCCTGCGGCAGACGTCGTTCCCGCCAGAAGCAGGCTCGCCGTACCCCCGATCTCCATCGGTCGATGCCACGTCCCACGTCAGCGGCAGCGTGGTGAGCGCGACGACGAGCGGCGCCCCCAGGAAGAAGCGCGGTAGGAAAGCGAAGAACGCCAAGGGGGACGACGCGGCGGAGAAGACGCCGAGCTTGGTGGGGGGGAAAGCGGCGACGACGGCGAGCGGGCAGGGCGGCGACAAGGAGCTGGAGGACGATGAAGATGATGATAAGGCGGAGATGGCGCTGGAGGATGCGGTTGCGCGGACACAGGAGCAGAAGCAGGAGGAAATAAGATTGAGGGCTATGCTCGTGGAGGCGTTTGATCCGCTGCAGTACGATCGGTATGAGTTTTGGCGAGCGGCCAAGTTGTCAGATGCGGTTGTCAAGAGGGTAGGTTTTTCCCTTCTATTCTCTGGACGAGCCAATGCATGTTTCTAACAAACCTAAACAGGTGGTCAATGCAACTGTCTCGCAGTCAGTCCCCCAGATGGTGGCAACTGCTGTCAAAGCGGTAGCGAAGCTCTTTGCCGGAGAAATCATCGAGGGAGCACGAAACGTGCAAGCCGAATGGATTCTCGCCGGGGAGAAGCAGAGTGATGAGCCAACACCGCCGCCATCCACAGACGAAGCCGAAAACGACGAAGAGCCTGATCTTCGAAGAGGCCCACTCCGACCCGACCACTTGCGAGAGGCCTGGAGGCGTTACAAACTGTGCCACGAAAGCCGAGGTGTAGGAGTGCAGCAATTGTGGCACGCCCAGCAGGGAACCGGGGTGGAGAGATTTTCAACGAGGACGCGGAATAGGCTGTTTCGGTGACAAGCTAGCGGCTCGGTTTTTTACTTTTTTTACTTTTTTTTTTCTTTACTTTTTTTCTGGAACGGCGTGGTGGAGTTGGGAAAAGCGAGGCCAATGGATGATTTTTCATTTTCTTCTCTTCGTTTAGTCTTGTTTTTTTTCCCGACTTATTTTATTTTATTATGATGAAGAGGCATGGAGGCAAACAGCCCACGGTACATGGATGGGGAATGGATGGATGATGGGTGGATGGATGAATGAATTGCCTTGGGACAACAAGGAACAAGACAAGACAATACATACACATATGGCTCAACCAATGGCTCTACACTACAGCCTTGAAGATACAGCCTATTACCTATTACCCATTACCGATGATCCATTACCGCTCTCAACACTGAAAAAATGCCCGATTGCAGCAGAAAAGAATGACACGCAGCTAGTCTGCAGACTTTATTGCCCGTTTGGTCGCAGCGGCTCCGTAACTGGGGCCACGGCGGTGGAGCTGCCACTTATTAGTAGTGACAGATTTTTTTTTCTCGGTGTCGTTGCTCGTGCAGTGCAGAGACGATGCAAATATCAGTGTGTAATAAGAGAAGAGGCGCGCACGCGACTGCTGACAAAAATCTTTCCTCTGGCTCAACCGTCTCTTCTTCTTTCTTCTCTAACTCGGACCCGCCACCAGGTCACTGTGAGAATTGATTTTGCATTGATCCTGTTGTTTTCCCTCTCTTCCCTCTCTTTTTCTTTTTCTTTTTTCTTTTATTATTCTCTTCATCTGTTATCTCAGAATTGACTGTCATCATGCCTAGAGCCAAGGTAAGTAGTTGTTCTTCTTTTACACTGGCTGACAACCGCCTGCCCCCCCACGCCCGCCTGTTTTTGGCAGCATGTCACCAAATTTTCACCAATTGCATTTTCCCACATTCTTGCGTCCTTTTTGCCCACAAACTCACCAATTAATCTCCGTCATGTAGCAGGAACCCGACAGCTCAGCCAAATCCAGTGCTGCAGCCATCCGCATCCGAGAAAACCAGCGTCGGTCGCGGGCCCGCCGGAAGGAATACGTCGAGGGCATGCAGAGGAAGCTGCAGGACTTTGAGACGAAGGGCGTGGCCGCAACGCTCGAGATGCAGCAGGCGGCTCGTGAGGTGGCCATTGAGAACTCGCGGCTAAGGCTGCTGCTCGCCCATAATGGCGTCACTGTCGATGCTGTGGAAAACTTCTTGCTGAGCTTCAAGGGCCAGGACGCCAATGAGGCCGAGCACTACGCTGCCAAGATTGCTACTGCTGAGTCTATTGCTGCCCTGGGACGCTCGTCGACTGTGGCGACGCTGTTCCCGGAGCATGCTCATGTCGACAAGCTGGCTGTTCTGGCCAGTGCCAGCATGCAGCAGAGCGCCTCTGGCCACGACTCTGACGGCACAATCACCTCGGACGACTCCACGGGCCCTGTGACACCAAGCTCAAGTAACCTCAACGCACCCTCACCTAGAGATGTCGACTTTGAGGCTGCGCCGCGGACAATGTCTTGTGACGCTGCTGCTCACATCATTGCCCAGATGCAAGGTTGTGGGTTTCGAGAACCTTCCAAGGGAACCCTAGAGAACAACGGCCAGAACGACTACCTGATTCAAAACTCTGCGTTTCTGAAAATTCTTGAGGCTGCGTCCATATTCAACTAGTCTCGGAGCTTACCAGTGTATAACATTCTTTTGACGCCGATTTCAGATTTCAGAGCAAGGCGAGCTGCCACGTGGTACTTTTTGCAGTACTGGCCATGTCTTGTCGCTCTTTATACTCTGCACAACGGCAACCTCATGATATGATTGATGCTATTTGTCTGCGCTCTACAGAAATGGCGGGCGGCGTTAGGCATTGCTTGTCACTGCCGTTTTCTAATCCTGAGTACGGATATCACGGAAACAGCATCAAAGCCGTCTGGCATAAGAGCTGCGACTACCAAATACCGACTGGTATCGCTTTATGACGACGCAACGAATGTATGAGGTGCGAGTTGTATCTGAATCTGCTTCGCACAAGCAACAAAACGCAGGAGACACAACCTTGGAGAATTGCAGTTCACATTGCCGACTCCTTTATGGAAGAGCACTTGACACGCAAATGGATTCCCAAAGAATGTCTTGTCTGCCACACACAAAATCGAATTGATTTATCCAAGAAAAAAGGAAGGGAAAAGCATGGCGCACTTTGAGAGAGGCATTTTTTGCCCCAGTCGCCAAATCACATCATGTTTTCGTGGCATCGACAGTACAGCCTTGATTTTTTATGACATTTGACAACAACAACAAAAGTGTTTTTTTTTTATCGACACACACAGCTTAATTGCCATTTAATGGAGTCGCACCTGAAAAGTTGAGCATGTAGTTTTACATTTTGCAGATAGATTGCGGTCTTGGGCAAGAATGCCTGAGTATGGTTATATAGTAGTCGTGGCTTGATGGCGGTTTTGCCTAGGGAATAGCCATGCACATTGATTGAGTTCTATGAGGAGGATATGGCGTGCCTGATGTTTGCTCATCGTTAGCATGGGGGGGGGGAAAGAAAAGAGGCATGCCGAGCTAAAAAGTCTTGAGGGAAAAAAAAAAGAGGCAGGCTTGATCCTCGATACGCATCTATTTACGATTTATTTGATTGAAGAATAGATGCTGACGGCCATGTATTTGACAATGTCGACTTGGCTCGGCTTGAGGGCTAATCTGTTGCTTTTTGGTTTGTTTAAACGCGCGAGTTTTCATGTTTAAGCAATGCATGTATGATGCAATAGATGGCATAGATTTCTTAGATCAAGAGACTTGATATAACAACCTTTCTGCTCGTGTTATGGTGCAAGTGTGATATTCAATGAAATTGACTCAGTTGAACTATTGGCTATTATGAACTCAAAATTTGCAATGAAATAACTGAGAGAAGGCTGTACCGTATACAAAATCTGCTGCGATCTGAAACGCCCATATAAATCATGCTTAAAACAAAAAGTAATACGTATTCTCAAGGCATTACAGCATATATCTTCATAAAATCCTTATAAAAATCCAACAAGTTCCCAAGTTCGAAATTCCTATCAAAACAGGCCAATTCCAAGATGAACCTCACGATCTCCTGCTCCTTAAAATTTCCACTATCGTCGACTCCCTTTTAGAATCTCTCTTCTGAGAATCCTCCTCAGGAGACGCTGGTGGCGATGCGAGCGGGGCCACGACATGTACCACCGATCCCAAAGGTGGTTGCTGCTGATAAACCGCAACAATAGGCTGCACACGGACTTCAGAAGATTGGTTCGGCAAAGATCTGTATGCTGGGACTGATTTGTTTCGCGTACCGACGCTCGAATCCTGATTGGGAGTATCCGCTGCTGCTGGTGACGAATAGGTAGCTGGACGAATCTGGCTTGGAGCCTGAGCTTTGTAGGGCTCGTATGGATTCACCATCTCCTGAAGCCGTTCGGATTGCGAAGGCGCCATGGGTTGCACAGGGGCATAAGTGTTGGCGCTTGCGCGGGCAGGCAGGTTTGTAGATTGAAGTCGACTGGGAGATTGGTATTTCCCGAGAGCTTGCTGAGGTGCCTGAGGCGCCTGAGGTGCGAAGGATGAAGGGGCACTTGGACGGCTGGGAAAGGTCGTGCTTCCGCTTCCGTATGCAGGGCTGCTGTAGGAAGGTGTATTGCCATACGCCGGACTGCTGTAAGAGGGAGTGTTTCCATAAGCTGGGCTGTTGTAAGAAGGCGCATTGCCATACTCCAGACGGCCATAAGACGGTGCATTGCCGTACAAAGGTGTGTTCTGATATGGCTGTCCGCTCACTGGCACAGCAGCTGGCGCTGACTGTGTTGGAGGCTGGGGCGCATATTGATACTGTTGTCCGCTGCCCGGTGTAAAAGCCGGCGCTGATTGTGCTGGAAGCTGAGGCGCATATTGATACTGCTGTCCACTGCTTGGCACCGCTGCTGGTGATGATTGTACTGGAGGCTTGGGGGCATATTGATGCTGCGGTCCGCTGCCTGGTACAAAAGCCGGAGCCGATCCTGCTGCAGGCGGAAGCGCTCCTGGCGCAGGTGCTGCAACACCGGGTGGAGGCGGAGCACCGACAGGAGTAGAGAAAGACGGCGGTGCCGGTGGGTTTCCAATGACAGGAGGTTTGTTGCTGATATTGTCTGCGGGAGGATGCCTAAGCTCCCGGTGATATCTGCATGTGTCAGAGGTATCAAAGAAGTGGACAATATGCAGTTCTCTCTCTGCCAACGCGGCAGCATGGGCATCAGCCTCCTCCTCGACAACAACAGCATGGCCATCCTCTGAGCGCAAGTAATTCTCAAAAGTAACAAACGGGTTGGCGCCATGCTGGCAGAGGAGATTGACGCATTCATACGACCCAAACGAGGCCGCTACCAGGAGGGTCCTGTCCATATTCTCCTGGGACACGATTCGCCATCTGGAGTCAAGCAGGATCTTCAGGCATTCGGTGAACCCAAACATGACGGCGAGATCCATCGGTAACAGGTTTAAGACGTTGGTTTCAATGTCTGTTCTTGCGCCCATTTCGAGAAGCAGGGAGACGGCTTCATGGTGTCCTCCTCTAGAGGCTGCGTGCAGCGGACTCCTTCCCAAGTCATCCGTCAAGTCGACAGATGCACCCAATCGAATTAGGGCCGTAATAGCCTTGAGAGCGCCAGCAGCAGCCGCGTGCCAGAGAGGAGTTCGACCGTACTGATCTCCGTTGTCCACGTAACAGTAGTAGCTGCGAGTAGCCAGAGCTCGAATAGCACCTACGCTGTCTCCGGCGGCAGCACGATGGAGTGGAGTTTCATCAAATGCATTTCGAGGTGTCAATCCTATAAACTCCAAGCTCCAGTCCATAAACTCTTTGAAGAAGGTGAGCCCAACCTCATTATCAGGGGTAGAGGCTGCGGCCAAGTGTAATGGCGTCTCGGAAAAGTGATTCGTCCTTGCGTTTGCAAGCTGTTCGCGTTCTGGGTTACCCCTGAGCCTGGCAAGGTCGTCGAAAACTTTATTGTTGCAGAGCACGGCGACATGGATCGCCGATAGGCCTCGCTTTGTCAACCTCCTGGTATTGACACCCTCTTTAAGCAGCAGCATGATGCAATTGCGAGAACCGCCTACAACGGCCCAGTGAAGCGGTGCGAGCCCATGGTAGTCATCGGTTGGTACCTCAATGTTTGCCTTCTTGTAAGCCAGGATTATCCCAGCTTGTTGTGCATCACCAGAAAACAAGGCCAAGGCTAGGTGGTCTGTGAGGCTCAAGTCCGTTGCCTTTTTTTCATGCCTGAGAACGTTGATGAATTCGTGGATGGGCTTTAGGAAATCACTGCGGACAGTTCCCTTCCCGTATGCTGAATATCTAGACCGGACAGGTTGGACCACCCAATTCAGGGGAGTGTACTCGTCAAGTGCAAATGATGAACTCGATGCTAGACAGTATATCTCTGTCAGAGCCCTTGCGCCCGAATTGGCAGAGGTAGCGTTCAGTATTTGGTTGCTTTTAGACATTACAATGTGCTGGGCAGACACTGTAAATAGCTGCTTGTCAGTTTGAATCTCGGCTGTCTGCGTCACTTGAATGGAAATGTAGAGGCGCCCTTGGAGCTGGATGCCCTCGACCGTCGCGCTGCTCGTCATGCAGGAGTCTTCTCCGAGCGAATCACGAAGCGTTTTGGATGTGATTTCACTGGCACTTGATCCGGTAATGATGCTCCCTATCTTCTTGTTCACCTCATGGAAAGTGTGCTCGAGGGAGACGTCGCGATGCAATAGTTGAAAACACCATCCCTCCCACTCCATCGTGTTTAAACGACGTAGACCGACTACAACATCGACCTTGTCATCCATCTTCTCAACGCTCTGGAATCTAAAGATGCCCATGGCTTGTAGCTTGCGAGAGTATTGCACCTTGAGTGTCATGGTGGCTGAATTCCAGTTCTGTGTGGGATACTTGTCAAACAAGCGATACTGAACGCCATCGGACGAGCCGAGATCGGATTCCACGTTGAAAGGGGACAGCCTAAACTGCGGAAGATGATAGTATACTGGCTGCTGCCTGACGTATACCGAGCGATAGCCATCCATTGGCAGAAATGTAGCGGATGGGGGAGGCATAAAGAGCTGCGACTTGGGCCTCAGTCTTCCATACTGATCCTCGGAAAGCCGCCGCAGATAGAGGGCGGGACATTGATAGACGTCGCCATCCCTCTTAACACAATCTAGAATTGCATAATAATCCTCTTCCATTGCACCTTGATCCTCAGAATCACGTTGTTGGATATATAGCTGCACGCGGATGCCTTGGTTCGTCATACTGGAGGGCGCACTTGCATATATGGGTAAAGGCGGCAGAACCTGCAACGAGCCAGCAAGCTTGAATTGAGCGGGAGATTGTGCAAGCAAGCCAAAGAGAGCATCCGGATCTTCGTCTTGGTCGTCAAAGGAGTTCCAGGCAAATATCGACTGATCATCAGTGCGCTGTATGATTTCTTCCTGAAGACGTGCAAATGCGCGGCGTCCTTCGCCGTACAAAAGAGGCATGTTGACCTGAAACAAACCCATCAAGCAGTATGCGGTATCTTCGAGCCTGGTGGTGTTCCTATGAGATGCCCAGGCCATGCGAGCAGACACGCTCAACTGGAGGGGGTCTATCCTGCCATTCAAGACCTCTTGGTCGATGTTGGTGATTTCACTGATGGCCTTGGTGAATTCAGGTGGTGTGTGTTTCTGTCCAAGAAAGCTCCAGTCCTTGGCGTAGAAGAGAACCACTTTGGGAGCAATGAGCTCTTGAAGCGTCCATCCTCTTGTGAACCAGCGACTGCGGCGCAGATTGTCATGGAACACGTTGGCACCTGCAGCAGCGAGGACTGGTTCGACGTCGGAGAGATAGGCATAGCACTCGGCAGACTTTTCGTACCAGAGATACATGGAGTTGATGGCCTCGGACAGCTCAGCGCTGCTGGTCTTGTCGATGCAGCAAGTGTCGACCCAGATGTAGTCGAGCCCCCGACTAACAGCAAGCTGGGCAGCGCCGGAGATCTTGATGTAGCCCTTCTTCAAGACGATGGCCCTTCGCTTCTTGTCCAGGGTCCGGGGAGATGCCAGTGTGGTCTGCGAGCAGCCGCCAAGGCGCCGCAGCTGCTGAATGGTGATTTCCTCATCGCCCCAGGTGTGCGACAGGATGGCGTAGGGCGGGATGCTGTCGTCGGTGATGTCGACGAGCCCCAGCGTTCTGGCGTCTAGCAGGCGCATGTTTGCAGTGCCATTGATGCCTGTAATCGGGGGTTCGCAAGATTCACAGTTTCACGACGTATGCAGAGAGAGGAGAGCAAACGAAATGGATGGGCAGTCTGTGCGATTTCAACTGCAGCCTCATCCTGTTCCACGCTGCCATATGCAGCTTCGTGCGGCTGTGCGGCTGAGGCGTGTGGCGATGAGGCCAGTCCCGACACGCACCGAGTTCCTGGATGCCACCAAACACACGCAGGCAGCGGGCCAATAGGGCAACCTCATGTTTATTAGTGGTGGTGAAGCTTGTGCTGTAGTGCTTGCATGACCTTGTTGGCGTGGCACTACTGAATGGGCAGATGGAGGACAAAAAGAAACGAGGCAGATTGAGTGTCGATGCCACGGACTGGGGCTAAGCCTGGCCTGGCCATGGCGTGGCACGGAGCCGAGCCTAGATTCGCTAGCCGCCATGCTATGGGCGAGCTTGAGCGCTATCGAGGTTTGCTGAAGCGCTAAAGACGGGACCCTAGCCAGCACTGGAGCACTTGATGGCTTGATGGATACCGCTGGAATCCACTGACCGTTTTTGACTAGGTGGTGCTTTGATGGATTTGATGGATGAGACTCCAACGGTTCGCTCCCGTCAGCATTGATCAGGTACCCGTCCATGACTGATGAGACTAGAACCAACAACCGTGGAGAATCTACTCCATACGTGGATTGATTGCTCTCCACCAGCAAAGTCGAGCAGAACCAACAACAAATCTCAAAATAGTCTTGTTCATCCGTGTGTTCCGAAGAGATGCTGCGACTGGAGTATCATTAGCCGCGGAGAGTGAGCAATAAGATCCCACTGGACCTACTCTACAGAAAAGACGTTGGTTCCATGACATGGACGTGACCAAGTTTGTTCCAGGTAGTCCTGCCTAACTCACTACGAGGTAGTACCTATGGTACAGGCATGTGAGTTGAATGGACAATACGTGCGTCCATCAGAGGTACCTAGGTAAATGCAGTGAAAGAATTTCGCATTGATCTGCTTAGACTCGGCTTTAAAACCGGTAGCTACCTATACCGGCAGATATTTGATTCTATGTCTCACATTGGACCTCACGTCAGTGAGAGACAATATGCAGACGAGCAAACCACATGACCGTCTATCCTTCACCGAGGCCTGCGCGCACACGGAGCGCATCGCATCGCATTTCCCCTGGGCAGCCTCATCGGCATGACCATTGCCGAATACGTGCTTTCGCCCAACACAAGTTCAAGTTCTATTCATGGCGTGATGCATTGGTGCAGCCAGTCTAGGCGAAAAGGATGGAGGATTCGTGAGCTCAACTGCGGCACTTGGCCTCCGTCCTGAACCGTTGCATCGAGCTGTTGGGCGAGGCTGCAGTGCTACGTGGGGACTAGCCAAAAGGACCAAGGCAAGGCACGTTTGAAAACATCAAGGATCAACAGCCGATGCAGAACGATGGCGAAGAGAAAGAAGCGAGGAGGAACTGCGCCCTGCCCGGTTGGAGAGTTTGCCCTACTGTACGGGGGGGGGGGGGGGGGGGGGGGGGGATGATCTTTGCCGTAGGATTTTGACGGATTGCAACAGGCGCCAATCTCATCGCCGTCATAGAAAGTGCCCACATCTTCGTGCGGTTCAGGCGGCAGCTGGAGGCTCGCGACTGGATGCCTTGCGGCCCCTTGCTAGGCGTTTCGAGCAGCAAAGAAGGATTCGAGGGGGTGGTTGCAGCGGAGATTGAAAGCAGTCTAGTTTCATGTTTGCATGCAAGGAGAGGTGGTAGTCGAAGGATCAGAATCTCCGCCCCCACCTGGACTGGGCTTATACGCGCTTAGATGGGATGGGGGACGAGATGAGGCTTCGATGTTGCCCAGATCGATCCTTATATAGTCGCAGCGCGTCTTCCCAAATTTCATGTGCCGGGCCTAAGTATGTGTAGCAATTGAATATTAAAATAATGATTTCACGAGTGGCATAATCCAGCAGCACGGCATTCAATTGTTTCCCTTTCCCTTTCCTTTTTTCTATGAATAGCTCATTGCCGTAGTACACACGGCAGAAAACACCAACACCACAATGGAGAGAATTAAAAGGCGGCCCGTGCCTACCGTCGTCAAGACCTCCAGCCGCGACACAGAAACCGAAAACGACTCCAACACCCCTCCAGCAGCAAAATCCTGGCCCGGGCCATGGGGTCGGATAGGCGGCCAGGCAGGCACAGCCATCATCCTCGGCACATTACTACAACTCGGAACGTTTGGCTTCCTCATCTTCCTCTGGGTCGGACGGGGCCTCGATCCCGACGGAGCCAAGGCGCCGCCTGTCTGGCGAAAGATCTTCCTCTCGGGTGCGGGCACTCGGGTGGTGACTGTCTGCGCCCTTATTATTCGCTCCATTGTTGGGCTACAAGCGACCGTTTGCACTGGTCTCGCGGCGGCATTGGTTCTCGAGGCACGGAAAGTAGACATGAGCAATGCGGCCGCGTTTTCGGTTCTGCGTGCCGTCAATGGAGGACCAATTTCTTTCGTCACGCCGCTCGCTAAGACGCCCGCCAGGCTGTTCACGTCTGTGCCGGCAGTTTTGATACTTATCCTCTGGCTCGTGTCGACGGCCATTTCGTTCTCATCGACCATCCTCCTGTCCGATTTCCGCACGATTTCTCTTGTCCTCCAGTCTTCCAATACTCATGTCCCGGTCATTGAGGCCTCTTCAGAGCTTGTTGGTCCATTCGGGCTGCCTCGTTTGGGACCCGATCCGGGAATCTGGCAGCAGCCCCTACAGACATTTTCTACATTCGGAGAGGCTACCTTGGAAAAACCGAGTCCTCAAGAGGCCTTCACTGACACTGGCCTCATTAAACGATCGATGATTCCCCTCCAGACCCAGAGCCGCAAGAATCTCCGTTCATACCAGGGAGCTTCAGCTGTCTACACCTCTCGCGCTGGCTGTACCCGTCCCAAGATTGTCAATGGATACATCACCGGCATCCCACCCACTTCGGCTATGTCCCATATGATGGAAGATGCCCTCATAACAGGCAACATCACCTGGGAATCCCCAGGCGGACACACATTCCTAGATGGCCTGTCGTGCGGATCTGCAGGGTCAACCTGTAAACTTCCCTTCAACTGCAATGTGCCATACGCCTACACAGACACCGACAAGCCGATTCTCCCGCGCCAGCCAACTTCGCTATGCGTCATCAACACCGTTGGAGAGAGCTTTGATCCGAACGCGCCAGTTCCGTCGTTCATGCTGGTGTTCAACACAGACGTCGACACAGACCACTGGGCAAGCTTGTCTCTGGCCGGCATGGTCAACAACCAGACAAAATTTCCTCTGCCGAAGCAGGGGGCTTCGGGGGAATGGACCGTCATGAACTTTGGGGATCGGCAGTTCCTCAATCTCACAATGTGCCTGCTCAACTCGACGCTGACGCTGGAGCACGTCTCGCTCAACTCGACGGCTGATTCCCCGGAGCCGGAGATTCAGTACTATGCCGGGAACAACACTTGGTCTACTGATGCAATTGTCAACATGACAGACACGACAAGCAATGCGTCGTACGTCTCGCGCGGCATCATGGCCCTCAACAACTGGACCGACGTCTCAGTAGACGAGCTCAACAACATGTACGCCCAATCGCCCAACTACAACCCCAGCTTCATAAACAGCACCTCCGTCACGAACCAGTTCTTCGAAGCGGTCCAGAACGGCATCAACACAAACGACTTCCACATCGAGCGCACATCGGCCAACTTCTCCGTCTACGTCTGCGGCGTGTGCTCCGCCCTCGGCGACACAAACTCGGCGTGGCAGACCCATCCGTACGTCAGCCTCATCTTCCACGCTGTTGCTAGCAGGACGGGCAGCATGGCGCAGGCCATCCAGGCGACCTTCTTCTGGCTCTACCAGGCGCAGTACTCGAGCGCCGTGCCGGGCTTCGACATGGGCGACAATAGTACCATGGTCTTTTCAGCCGAGGCGTCGGTCCCCGTGGGCAAGACTGGTATTATTGTAGTGGGCGTGCTTGTGCTGGTGAACTTGGTGTGCGTGTTTGCCGTGACGGGCATGTTCCTGTGGCGGACGCACTGGTCGCTGTATGGAAACGTGTGGCATGCCGTTGCGCAGTTAGTAGCAGGACCCGAGATCCGGCCGATCCTGGAGGATGCGACAGCGGCGACGGACGGGGAAGTCGAGGGCAAATTAAAGTACGAGGGCACCAAGACGACCAAAGTTGGGTTGTGGGATCAAGGAAACGGGAGGTTGGCCGTTGCGAGCGGCGCCAATCTTTCTCAAGTGACAACCTGGGTATAAGTCGTTTTAATGTTTCGGGCATCTATTAACGAACACCACGTAATGAACGGAAATCAGGCGTTTTCTTTGGGCATTTTTATTTTTAAAAAGAGGGCACACTTTGGGTATTCATTCGCACTAAGCTAATTTAATAAACACGCTTGTTGAATCTATCATGATCGTTTCCTATTCGTCCAAGTTGCCCCTGTCATTGCGCCATCCCACCGCTCCATTCGCCTTGCTTTTTCCAAACCATTTGGAGGATGAAACCTCTCGAATCCCACATCTATACATATGTGCGTGTACGGTAGTAGTTAATAGACTATATTCCCCCTTCATTTCATCTCTCTCCTTCTTTTTTTTTCTTCTTCAGCCCATCCAGGCACCAAATCCCGGCGCAGTCCAGCTGCCCCCATTCGTAGCCCACATGTTCATGTCCACTCCCATGTTATAATCGAATCCATCGTCCAGCCCGAGTCCTGCAAACGTGCCGTCGTATTCGTTATTCAGCTCCGACTGGCCATACTCGGATCGCGGTGCAGACAGATTGGGAGTCCCACCTTTGGTGGGATCGGCATGGACATCTTGAGGGAGGGTCTGCTGATCTAGGCCTGGTGTAAAGGCCGTTTCCGACATCCACGGAGCAGTCATGACGGGATGAGTAAACGGAGAGACGGTGTTGTTGACGGCGCCTGAGGAAGGGTTGAAAGCCTGCAGGCCGGTCGCGGCAGGAGTGTTGAGCACACCCGATGCGTCTGTGATTTGGGGCATCGTCTGCTGCGATAAATCGGTGGACACGACGCCTTCTCCCGTCACGGCCCTTGCGTCTCGGTTAACCAGCCTCTCCAAATCTGCGACGATACAGTCCACCGCGGGCCCTACGCAACAGTCCTTTATGGTTTGCAAACAAAGCTGGGCTTGCTCCATGACAGTGTCTGCCGCAACGCCGAAACGGCTAAAGATGTTGAATTGGAAAAGGTGCATGAGCATCCGCGCGCACTGATAGGCGCACATGGCCAGGTCGATGTCGGCCACGGGCTTCGCATCGAGCTTTTGGATAAGCGAAAAGATGAGGGTCAGTGCCAGGGAGTGATCAACGCACTGTCGGTGGCAGTGCTCAAGGAAACCTTGGTCAAACATGTCGAGCATGGACTGCGGCAGCCCACCGTTGATGTCGGCCAGGGCGAGGCGATAGAGGTCGCAATAGCACTGGCGCCACCAGATGTGAATCATGACAAAGACACACAGCCGAGGAGAGTAGGCGCGGAGACGGAGCGAGTTTTCGGAGAACTGGAACGAGGTCGGGAGGTTGGTAGCAAAGTCGTTGAGCTCCTTGTCCAGCGCAAAGATGCGGCCTTGCAGCTCAGCAGCTTCCATGCCGCGGTCGTACTGAGCTACCTTTGTGAACTCGATAATCTTCTGGCGGATGTGGAGGATGCGCGCATGAAGAGCCAAGGTCCCGACGTCCTCGGCGAGCGGTGGTCGCGGCTGGTGCGAGTCCGGCACGAGCTTCTCCGTTTGCTGCGGCAGATCAAATTCAAAGTTGCGCTCGTTGCATGGCAGATAGACGTGGATCTGATCGGCCCTCCAAAGGACAAAGTCGGGATATCCGCCGCAGATGCTGGTGTCGATGCAGTACATGGCCCACATGAGACGTCGGCGGGACTCCTGGGCCAGGAAGCGCAGATGCGGCGCCTCATAGTTGAGACGCAGAGCAGTGGCGTAGCGGGACGCGAAGCTGTGGAGGACAAAGGCGCTGGAGAATTTGTTGCAGAGGATGCGATGCTTGATGACGAAGATGAGCGCCTGGATCTTGACAATGGACGGACGGCTGTAGTCGGCAAGGAGAAGGGCCTCGGCGTCGTTGATGCAGCGGTTTCCGTACTCGCGCATGCCGGGCCCCATGTCGGTCAAGCATGATGTGATGCCGACAATGGCCAGCAGAAGCGGTCGCTCGACCTTGCCGGCGTGATACTGCTCCATCAGAGAGGCGCGATGCAGAAAGGTGAACATGGCCATGTGGTGAACGTGGCGGAAGAAGAGGTCAAATGCACGGCTGACGATGGAGTTGAAGCTTTCATCGATGTGAGGACTGAGAAGAGGCCCCAAGGTCAGCACAAGCAAATGTTCACGTCCCCCCTTATCTGGAACTTACCCTTCATGGTGATCACTCGCAGAGCTGGCTGCGTCAGTCAAGGCCGGGCTCTCGTTGCGTCCTTCGTCAAGGTCTCGGTTCTCTCTGTGGCCGCGGTTCTCCCTAGCACCGCCGTCTCGATCCGACTCTCTATCTGGGCTATTGGGGCTCTTGGAATCTCCGAAGCCGGCCCCGGCTGACGATGGCTTGGCCCGCTTGTTTGGCCGGTAGACGCACTCGATGCCCTGGACTCGACATCGTTCGCACGAAGGGAGATGGCCGGAGCATCTTGCTTTGCGGCTATGGCAGCTGAGACAGGCCTGCTTGACCCGACGGCGCGGCAGCGACATGGACCAGGCATCGACGTCGGCGTCGTCGTAGGAGCAGGGGAAGCCGAGGCGCTGGCAATTGCCGCAGCAAGGACGCGCGCCGTTGCAGCGAACCTTGCGGAAGCGACACACGGCGCACGTCGTCGACGACTTCTTGGGCCGGCGGTCGAGCGACAGGCCGGGCCCGTCGGCGGGATTTGCGAGGCTCGGGTGCGGATGCGGATGGGCTTCCGGGAGCGACGATCCGGTGAGGCCATACGGCGGCACGTCGGCCCCGGCGGGCGGGTCGAGGTCCATGACGGCGACGGACCCGGAGAAGGGCGAGGACGAGATGGACGGCGAGAAGCAGAGCGAGGGAGGCGATTGGGTCTCGGAGCCGTCGCAATGATGCGTGGCGAAGAGGTAAGGAGGAGGAGTGAAGAAGCTGGAGGCGGAGGCTTCGAGCCGCGAGCGGAAAAACTGGGGATGACTCGGTGAAGGGCGAAGGGCCAAGGGGCTGGAGATGGACAGTTGCGGGACCAGCGGAGGGTAGAGATCAAAGGGGCCGATCTGGAGAGAAGAAAGATTGATTAGATGAGCAAACGATAAAAGACGGGAAGAGAGAATGTGTGAGAGGAGCAGAAAGCAGAAAGATGGAGTCATGCGAGAAACTGAGAATTGAGAGACTGAGGCTCGTACCGGCTGGGGAACTTTTGGCGTGGCGGTTACTTGTGGGTACACGTAGGTACCCTCGTCGTGGCCTGCGCCCTCCATTATGCCCGGCAGCGCACTGGAACTGGAGCACATGCGACACAGGAGATACCTGTCAGGGACAAGATGCAACAAGATGCACGACTTAACAGCTTATGCCGACGGCCCGAGCTGAGGCGACGCCGATGGTCCGAAGGCCGGAACTTGCAGCTGATTTTGGCTCTTGTAGAGGAGAGAAGAGCTTGAATTGTTCTTAGTTGGTTGCTGTAGTAAATACAGTATCAACTGAATTGAAGTAAATAAACAGACAATCAAGAGACGGATAGAACACTGGGCCAATTCAATTTAGCCTGTTCATTTTGTGCATGGGGATCCGAGACTTTTTAAAACAATGCACACCGAAGCGGGTTGACGCCATCACGGGCTACACTTGATGCGCCTTACATGGTGCTAACACAAGATCGTGCAGCAAGAATTTCGTACGAGCCTCATGCCACGCACGCGCTGTCTCAGTCAAAACTGTCTAGGATGCAAAAGTAGAATCCGTCCCCAGATAGTGACGATATCCGGCTCAGCCTTTCCCCGGCATTCGGAGTCGACAGGATGAGGCTGCGGGACTTGTGCTTAGTTGGACCTTTTAGAAAAAAGGAATACATGGGGGAGGAGACTGTTGGTGAGAAAAAAACAAAAAAAACCTGGAATTGGGCGCTGGAGAAGGACAGAAAAAGGGAAAACGCCATAAAAAATGAAAACGAACGATTCAGGGAGCAAACCAGTAAGCTGCAAGTCGGGAGCTGCTCCCGAGACCCGCCCAATCGGCGACATGGAAAAACGAACGTCTTCTCAAATCCAGGCAGCCTTACTGGATCCCCCCAGCCTTATCGCAAAGTGGATCGTTCTTTTGGCTTCTTTGCCTTTTTCTTTCTTCTCCTTTGCTCAAGTTGGCTTAAGCACGCCACTGGTGGCAATCGCTTCTGGTTTCCGTCAATCAACGCGCTCTGTTTTTTTTGCTGTTATTCCCGCTACAAGACCCATTTGCGGGAGCTCAATGCGCTTGTTGCGGGAAATCCGCGGGAATGTCGGCAACTTGGGGCATTGGGATAACCTCTTAAAGTGCCTGTAATTCCGCCCTACGTCATTATCAGCGACATTTAACGGCTGCCCTTGGGGAAAAGGAGCGTTAGTGTTAATGCAGAATACGCGGCTGGCATTCGTTTTCCGGGGGCTATACTGGATGTAGCTTGAGCAGACGTGGTTGATGCCGTCTAGAAGTTTTTGCGCGACTCAGGAATCCATCCGTCTTGTGGCTGTGCGGTGCAATTGGAGATGTCGTCTAATACAGGTATCATCCGGTGAGCAGCAGCAGCAGCAGCAGACAATATGCCCAAATCTGCAATTCTGAGACACAATTGTTCTAGAAAAATGCTGATAACCTCTTCGTAAACTCCTGCTTGCCATTGACCAACGTCAGAGCTGTCCATCTCACCGCATGACCGAGTCCGTGTCGCCCGTCCGGCATCTCCGGCATCTTCGTCTTCAAAATCTCCGGTCCGGTCCCACTCGCTCCCCGAGTCAAGTCCGGTGAGCCAAAATCTGCACCCCCCCGCTCCCCGTTCGCGCTCGCGTTTACCAAATTCATGCCAACTTTTTTTTTTCTCTTATTCTTTTTTGACGTGTCAGGGCTGTGCAACGCAATCCTCGTCCCAGCCCAAACCCAATTCTGACACCGGCAGTTGTGAAAGAGACGTCATCGCACGGCCCTGTTTGCCGTATTATCGTCTTACATCGACCTGGTATCTCACAAACTGAGGCTAGTTCTTGTTGCTGGCATAAAATGCGAGGTGACAGATAGAATGCGAGGTGACAGATCGTCGATCTTGATAGGAACGTTTTCATTTTAGTTCCCATCTTTGACCGAAGCCGTTGTTTAGCGAAAGATGGATCTCTGGAATATCGGCACCTTGACCGTTAGATCCAGGCGACTCATGCAGCGCAGATCTGCCTTGCTCCTGGAAGCTTAATTTGGCGTCACGCCTTGTCCTTTGCTCTAATTTGATCTTATCTCGTCTTTTTCTGTCAGGCCGAAGTGGCAATTTTCTCGGCCAGCAGTTATGGTCCCGAGCAACAGCCACAGTTCAATTCCAAATGTGTTTGGCTTGTTTTGTTGGCACTATTTTGCATACAGTTAGGCCGGGAAACTTTATACCAACTGTACCGTAACCGAATAACCGATTCCACCAATAACCGATTCCTCACTACAACCAGATGGCTACCAACTACCGACTCGTGCCAAGAAATCGTTCCTGCATACAAAGCGTCTGTCTGGCTGTGCAGATTACCAGGCGCATTAACTAGTTAGAGTGACAGCTCCAGTTATCATGAGGAATCTACATATAATTTGTGTGGCTGTCCCGGCTGTGGCTCTCAGCAATACGCAATGACCAACAATAGCCACTCTTACATTCCTACATCTCTCTCACACCATCCTCCCTTACCTCGAGGGTCAACCTTTGATCCTTACTCATTCAGCTCACCATATTGCAGTGGCAGATATTGGCAAAGAATTGGGCATACTATTACCAATGGACAGCAAACAACGACTGTGGTTCTCCTAAGAAGAAACACTGTCGGGTATCTCCACGAAACAGCCCATGAGCTCATTGTTATACTATTTTCTCATTGACTGGCAACTATAGGATACTCATGCGCGATTAAAAAGTGTAACCATCAAAAGGAGCTGACGCTGCCACCTCAACTGACATCTCGTCACCGCAAGGCTTACGGCCCGATCAAGAGATCATTCCAGAATCGGAAACGAGCAAGTTAAGTTCATCTCTCCGACAACGGCCTATCTGTTGCAGCCTCCATGTCCCGTCATAGGAGTATAAAGTCTATATTTATAATTCTTATGAGAGAGTTAATAAGCTGTGGTAGCTGGTTCAGTCATGGCCATACCCAGCCTTTGAAGTAATTGAGGCGTACTGCCGCTTCCTTCGATATCACCTTACCTTACCAGTGTACGCTGTTTCGATATACATATGGCTGCTGTATAGTTGCGTGCAATGCAACGTCTCTCGACGAATTGCGGCGTACTCGTATTATCAACACGAAGCTCATGAGTATAGCATCACAGATCACTCGAAGCATGCAATGGTAATAGTTCGGGGATAAAGGGAGATTCTCCCCGTCCAGCAGGTTTTCGTATAAAGGAGAGCCACTTCGATATAGGTATGTAACGCTGTTCGCTTGCAGCCGATGTTCAATGACTCGTCTCGTTTCGTTTCGCCATGTCATTTAATTTCGTGACAACAATAGCCATCTGCTGTACACCTCCAGCATATCGTTGCAAGATAGGGCACGATGAGCAAATAGCCAAGCCCTCCAAGACAAATAATTGCTCCCCTTTCCCACGTGCTCAAACACACACGTCCGGCCAATGAACCTCCCTTATAGAGCAAATCATCACCGTTTACATCCAAGACCAAGTAGGCCCGTATGCGAGCAGTCCATCCCCATACCAATTCGGCCCTTTCAATATACCAGCCGGGGGCCTGGCCCCGCGCATCAGCTCCCAACTCTTTACGCTACGAGGGCCTCTCGTGCCAAGCCTAACCCGAAGCCGACAAGATTTCCCGCGATTTTCAGGAACCTGACTGGCCAAGGCGGCCTTCCACGCGCTGTCTCAGAGTGACAACGCGCTGCTAGCATTTGCGCTTGGGCCGATATAATGCCTGCCGTCTTTCCGTACTCCGGATCTGCCTTGTCAGCTAATCAGATTCCTTCAACATCCAGGCTAGTGAAGAGGTAGTGGCAACGGCGTTGGAGGGATTCATCTCCATGTTGAACAAGCATCGAGCAAGTACCATGTCTCTTCTTATTGGTAGACTTTGAGTTTTCCCCCCCTGCTTGTGGGGGAGGCATCACAAGATACGGAGCACGGCCTCAACCTATTACCGACGGGTATCCAGACCCCCCTAGCCTTGGGGAATGATGCAAAAATGTTAGCGTCGCGGCATTAATACTGGAGCGGCCGATACCACTGGCAATTTTTTTCTCATAAGTGAGCGACGATGGCGGTTAAATGCCGCGACTCCCCGGTCATTAAGGCTGTTATGCACAAAGCACGTTACCGTTGAGCTTCAAGGAAGCTTGAGAATAGGAGAGCTCTAGGATGAGGTGACTTTGTAAGACTATCGCGTGTTTTCTTGCTTGATGAATGCACTCGGGCCTAGTGCTTTTAATTGAAGTACTTCGAGCTTCGAGATGTCTCATGTATACACAAGTTTCGAGACCATCAAAAGCCACCGGGTCAAGCGTGACTCTCCCGCATTTCCAGGCCAATCCTGTCATGTCCAAGTCCCGACTACTCGGGTATGACTGAATGCGGGGAGATGCGGAGCCGAAATGCGCGGTGCTGTGCGGCCTACTCTCTCCGCACTGACAAGGTCAATGGATTGTGGGGGAAGAGGGTAACAGAGCCGAGCCATGCTTTTTGCCCGCTTCACCTAATCACGACGACTTGTCCGTCTTCGACCATAAACGCCGAACCATACGGTATCCATATTCCTGATTACTCGTGACTCGTTAAATCGCTTCTCCCCTTGAAGCTGTCTGTGAATATGTATTAGGGAGGAGGAAGCTTCCCATATATACATGTATACACGTGCGCTGAGATTACATGTACGCAGCATGATTTTCGCCCGCTGCATAACGTCTCACCATGGACGTGAAACATCCCCAGCAATTTAAAATGATGACCTCTGTCATATGGTTACAGCACAGTTGAGCCCTAGGGCAAATAGATCGAGCCACCAACCCTGTCTTCCAGAAATGCCAGGCCCACCGTCCCGAGCCGGGGGTTTTCCTATTTAGGCAATTGGATAACTTCGTGGCTTTGTTGGCGCGCAAGTCGCTCAAGTTTTCTTCTTTTCATTCACAAGGCAGAGAAGCGCCAAAGGGGGAAAAACGAGCGAGATGGAGGTTATAGGAAACTAGTAGCCGCAAGCTTACTTTTTCTTCTAATTCAAGCTTGAGGGGGGTGTCTCCATAATACTCGCAAGTGTTGACAAGGCCGGCCTGTACTGTAGAACCAGCATGTGAGAGCTAAACCCCACGCCTCTTCGTTACTGCGACGCGTGACCTCGGGAGTTAGATGAGCTTGGCGAGGATTAGAAAAGCCCCTTGCGGTAGCTTCAAGGAATATGGAGATGTTGGAACGAAGAAAGCAGAAGCCTCTTGCAAAAGATCAAACAGAACAGAAAGCGATATAGATACCATGGCTTCGTTACCTCCCGTCAATGATCAAGACCACCTTTCGGTCGATGTCATTGATGGAAATGCATCTCGCCGCCCTGATAGTATCTCATCATGCAGAGGCTTGCGAATTAATCAACAGTTTTGACGTCTTCCACAGTTCGGTCCGATGCTGAGTGCCTTGGACCATGCCACGCCCCCCGGTCTTGGCAAAGGAAGCAAACATCAGATTGATCGGAATCATCGGCGAAGTGGATATTATCAAACGCCATACCACATCCGACTTGCTCTCGTAAACAGAGTCGTAGCTCTGCCGTGAGCAGGTTTAAACCTGTGTGCGCCAAATATGTATACCCCGGAAGCTTTGCCTCTTGCTAGAGTGGTATAAGCCAACCCTTCGCGGCTCCAAAATGGCCGGGCCCCGGCCCCATTCCCACGATGCCAAATACCGCCGAGAGAGGGCAGCAACGCAGCTTCAATTACCGCCGGGGTTGGACCTAGATCGGAGCGAGATTCCGCTGGGGGAGGGGGGTGGTTACGGGGCCATTGGGCAAGAGAATGGACATTGTCGAGTGACGCAATGGCAATTCTCATCTTCATCATTGACAAGAACAAGTATAAGGAGGCTGCTTCGCCCTCGCCTCTCTTGGCGATATTCCTTCCAGGTGTGGTCAAGCACAGCGGTCTTCCTCCTTAGTATCTCTTCGCTCGAGCTTCAAGGATGCTGGCCTCTCTTGTGAACCTCGTCATCGCCTCGGCGATTGGCGTTGCTGCTCTGCCAAACAGCGGAAAGCTCCAAAACATTGCCGGACGTGGTCTCTTCGCCCCTATCGCGACCAGCAACCCATCCGGCATTTCTGGCGGAACCACTGCCACTGGCGCTGATGGAGCTCCTGTGTCCTCCTTCTTCGCTGGACTGAAGCCTCCGGTATGAAAAACACAGTGATCAGGCAAACAGACGCGTATAGATCTAGAAACTTACTTTGCCTTCAACATAGTTCCCAACCAACTCCTGGTGGGCTTCCTATGCCGCCACTCCCGGCAATGGCACCGCCTCGGGTCCTTTCCCGTACGAGTCGCAACTCGACGGCTTCGGTATCAACTTTGGCGTCAGCAACAGCCGCCAATTCGACGGCACGTCGATCAAGCAGCCCACGCAGAACGACTGGCGCGCCGGCTTTGTCGAGCACTCGGGCAACTTTGCCAACCACAAGGCCACGGCCTTTGACACGCACTCGGTGACGGTGCAGTACTTCCAGGGCGGCGCGTCCATGACCTCTCCCCTGATCCCTGGATCTCCTTACATCACGCTCCAGTACACGGCTGCCACGCCTCTGCTGACTTCGCGAAACGGCGGCATCGCTTCCTTCAACGGTCAGAACCTTGCAAACGGCCAGAGTGGTGAGTTGAACATGTTTGATGTGAATGGGAAATTGTGTGTGAGACTAACAAAGAACGTCAAGCCACTGTTACCGGCACTTCGTTCACCGTTGTTGACACTACCGGCACCTCCTACGTGATCTACGCTCTGTCTTCCATCACCCTGACTGCCACCGCCACCAACGGTGCCCAGGGCACTATCAAGGCCAGCGGCACTTACAACGGCGTTCTTCGTGTGGTCAGACTCGTCCAGGCCAGCCACAAGACTCTCCTTGACCAGCACTACACCGTCTACCCAACCGGAGTTGGCCTGGACTACAGCTTCACCACCACCACTGGCACTCTCATCTTCAACTACGCCACTGTTGGCGATGGCAGCCAGCTGCTGATGCTGACCTGGCCCCACCACCGTCTGTCTCTGCAGAGCCCCAACTCGCCCCCGACCTCGTCTCTGGGCTACCTCACCACCAAGGGATGGATGTACCCTACCCTTGGCAACTCGTGGAAGCTCCTGTACCAGCTCAGCAGCATTACCTGGAACCCTCCTCGTGCCCTTGACTCTTCTTGCAGCGCTTCTGTTATCCAGGGTCTCCAGTACGAGATTGGTCAGCTCAACGTCGCCAACGCTCCCATTCCCAACGAGTTCTACTACTGGGGTGGCAGCCTTGCCGCAACTGCCCGTCTTGCCCTCATTGCGTAAGATCACTCGCCTCTCTGCTCTCTCTAAGACGGATTTACTAACTCTTATGCTCATAGTGAGGCTGTTGGCCGTACTGACCTGATCCCTAATGTCACCAACTACCTCAAGGCTTCTTTCAACAACTGGTTCCAGCCTACCACTGGAGCTTCTCCCGCTTACGAGACCTCTTGGGGTGGTGTTATTGACAAGGCTGGTGCTACCAACTCGGGTATCGACTTTGGTAACGGTTACTACAACGACCACCACTTCCACTACGGATACTTCCTCACTGTTGCTGCCGTCATTGCCAAGTACGACGCCACCTGGTTGGCCCAGCACAAGGACTTTATCAACTGGTTCGCACGAGACATCATCAACCCATCTCCCCAGGACCCCTACTTCCCCGTCACCCGATGCCGTGATTGGTTCGCCGGCCACTCTTGGGCCTCTGGTATCGCCAACGGAGCCGGTAGCCGTGACCAGGAGTCTACCGGTGAGGCTGTCAACGGCTACTACGGTGCTCTCCTTTGGGCCTCCGTCGCTCTGTCTCAGGACTACGTCAACTACGCCAAGCTCCTCGTCGCCACCGAGCAGCAGGGTGCCCAGGTCTACTGGCACTTGTACCCCCAGCAGAGCCAGACCGACCCCAACAACCCCTACCCCGAGCCTGCGGTCCGCAACCTGGTCACCATGGGCAATGTTGAGGACTGGCAGTCCGGTGCCTGGCTGTTCTGGGGCAACCAGAAGAGCGAGATTGCCGCCATCCAGATGCTTCCCATCACCCCCATCAACGAGGTCCTGTACGACAGCCAGTGGGTTAACAACGTCTGGTCTTATGCTCAGAACGAGATTGTCGACCCAACTATTGCTGATGACTGGTACGTTGACGCAAATACATGTATGCTTTGTGATATCTGGCTGACATCTCAACTTTCTTAGGCGATGTGTTATGATTGCCGCTTACTCCAACGCTAACCCTCAGACCGCTGCCGCTTGGAGTGCCAACCTCACCACCTGGGGTAAGTTCTACACATGGGGATAACAAACAAAGCTGTGGTTATTAAACTAACCACCTGAATAGGATCTGGAAACACCTTCACCAACGAGCTCTTCTTCATCGGCACTCGTCCCAACCCCAGCGGCCAGCCCATCTGCGGCACCAACTTCCCCCAGAACCCCTACGGCAACTTCAAGATCCAGGCCGCCACGAGCGGCCAGTGGGTTGTTCCCAACAGCGCCTCCTCCAACCTCGTCGCCTCCGGCTCTCAGGCCAACGCCGGCGTCTTCGTCAGCGCATACACCCCCAACGCCGGCACCCTCAAGCTCACCAGCAACAACCAGTACGTCACGGCCGACCAGTCCGGCAACTTTGCCCTACAGGCTGCCCGTGCTACTGCTTCTTCCTGGGAGGTCTTCACCATCCGCCAGAAGATTGGTGCTGCCTCTGGCGTGTACACTATCAAGGCTGGTAGCAACAAGCTGTGGGTTGGGCTGGCTGCTGATGGCTCGCTCATCAACAACGTGGCTACGGAGTCTGCTGCCGCTGGCTTCCGCTTTGTTTCATCATAAGGGATGTGATGTGAATGGAGCAAAGCTCGTTGGAGTTTGAGCCCTTTCAAATAGGGAAAAAAAAATTGATTGGATCTTCTTAGTACATAGGATGTATATATGTCGCAATGATTTAAATGAACTAGTATAGGATTGGATAGCAAAAAAAAGAAAGTTATTCGTCTTAATCCTGACTTAACACGAGAACTGGAATGTTTGAAATGTACCGATAGCAGGCACTACATGTAGTTAAATGGGTGGCTTGCACATATAAATCCATGTCTGCATGATGTCGGATATAGTAGATGCATATACATGTAACCATTACCTCAATGAAGTGACCCATATACCGAAAAGGATTCAATTCAAGGTTTTCGGAGCAATTGCGCCGCCTTGATGCAACTTAAATCATAACTAATGCAGAGTCCAAGATGTAAGCGGTAAATCTCAAAGTTGCCACTTACATGAGAGGTTACCCACCTTTACCCGCACATTCATTATCATGACGTCTTTGCCGCGACACAACTTTAGCAGTGATTTACATATAAGAAGACCACTATATAAATCGACATGAGTGTTATTCATATAGCTTAATTTTACTTCATTGAGTCAACATTTCACATTCATACAGTAAAGCTACAATTATCATGGCAAATACCAATGCTCTCAAGGCACAGTCGCTTTTCGACCTCTCCGGCAAGGTCGCTCTTGTCACCGGTGGGTCTCCTCCAATGCCTCTCTTATTATGTCATGTTCATATCATGAAATAATATCATCATTTCAACTCTTAACACGTATTCACAGGAGGAGGTTCTGGAATCGGGCTCATGGCTGCACAAGCCCTAGCCGGGAACGGCGCCAAAGTCTACATCTGCGGCCGAACTAAAGAAAAGCTCGAGACAGCGGCATCAACTCACGGCGAAGAGGCTCACGGCGAAATCATTCCCATCCAAGCAGACGTCAACTCCAAAGAAGGCATCAAATCTCTCGTCGAAGAGCTCAAGGCGCGGGAGAAATGCCTGTGTATTCTTGTTAACAACGCCGGCGTCAGCAGCTCCAAACATACGACTGCGGAAGCGCAGTCTGCTGAGGAGCTGAAGAAGTCGCTTTTCGACAGTGATGATGCCACTTTTGACGATTGGACTGAAGTGTATCGGACTAATGTTGCAGCCATGTATTTCACCACTGCTGCGCTGCTGCCGATGTTGCAGAATTCTACGGAGACGAATCCTGGATGGTCAGCCACTGTCATCAACATTACATCTATCTCGGGCCTTATCAAAACAAGCCAGCATCATTTCAGCTACAACACCTCCAAGGGTGCGGCAGAACACTTGACACGCATGCTGGCGGCGGAAATCGCTGCTGCGGGACTCAAGATTCGCGTCAACAGCATTGCGCCGGGCGTCTTCCCCAGCGAGATGACTACGGGGGAGAGTAATGAGGATCAAAAGAGTCAGTTGGGCAAGTCCAAGTTTGAGGACATGATTCCTGGTAGTCGTCCGGGAAAGGATGAAGACATGGCACAGGCGGTACTGTTCCTTGCGACCAATCAGTTTATTAATGGACAGAGGGTTGTGGTTGACGGAGGACACACGCTGGCTGACGGATTGTAACCAAGACTGCAGAGAGTCAAATCGGCTGGTTATGAAGTCACCTTGTTAATATATGTCAAAATAAAGCCAGGTTCTAAGTTAGGTTGTGAGAAGTGTAAATGGCTCAGTTCAGTTCATTCCGCATAGGTGCGATTATGAGGCCACAGAACAAGAGGTGAATCCGTTGAAGGATAGTCAAAGTAACCGGTTACAAATTCGCCAGAACAAGTTTCGTATATTACTATCCAGCTCTCTCCGCCTCCTTATCCACCTGGCGGACTCCGCCCTCGTCCCCCCGGCCGTCTGCAGGGTTACTGAATTCTCACCTGCATCAACTCCGTGCTTTCCAGCTTCCGCTTAGTAAGTGCTCTCTCTATTATACACAAGATTTGTTCCAAAGAGAAAGACTGTCAGATTCTCGGAAGTAGCGAAATCCGCTGTCATACCATACCGCAAGATTGTTTAACAACCATCAGTCTATTCATCTTTGATTGCTAATTCATTATAAATTCCAACTCCGACTCCCAGGAGAAGACGAAAAATGGGAAAAGGAGAAGAAGCAAGGATATGCCGAATGCCATACTCCGGCTATATAATGTCAAGTTGATGCTCGACATATACACAGAATTGAACATACCCAACCTGACAACTTATCACAGACTCCCAACCTAGCTCACGAATAATATCGCCCATATCAATCCAAGATGAGAACCGCCGACTATATCACCTACTTCCTTGCCTACGCCGGAACAGTCGCAGGTCAAGCACTTGGCAAGCCATCTCTGAACTACCTTGGCCTTGTGAACGTGACACTCGGATCAGCCTTGGACGCTGGAGATGTTGGGCTCGGCCAGCAAGTAACGATTCCGATAACTGGGGGCACTGTCAGCGGACCAAGCGTTACTGGAAAGGTCCTATCGTTTGGCGCCGACTACGGGTCATATGATGCCAAGGGGTTCTACCATCCTGACGCACGCTTAAATGTACAAACTGACGATGGCGCATTGATTTACCTGCAACTGTTTGGGACACAGCTGGAAAATGACGACGGCCAAGCAGATAGCCACCGGGGCATCGTCAGGGTCAAATATGAAACGGGGCATGCCAATTATACGTGGTTGAACTTCGTCGCTGCTACGGCCATCTACGAGTTACCTGCTGCTGGCCAAGATACATATCTGGTTGCTGATATTTGGGAGGTATTTGCAATTGACATTGAATCTGTTAACGATGGCGCCAAGCATTGCTAATCGGTTTCATAGACAAAACCTGCCCAGAACTAGACATTTACTTGATTTATGTGCCAAGAATGCTCATTCTAAGGGTAATAACATTCCTGATTGATATATATTAGAAATTGGACTTTGACTCACCAAAAAAAGGATGCCTGAGAAGGAGGGAAGATCTCTTTGCGAGTGCGACAAGTCAGCCGCATGATTCTTTGTTATGGCATGTTGTGGAGGAGATAGCAACAGCTTTATTAGCATCCTATTGTGAAGGAATCGACATAGTGCACCAAAATGCCCCAAGACAGCCTCTTTGAACCGCTGTAATGTATTCCTGAATGGCTCCACCCCAGCGGGCCCTACACATTCGATGCCCTCTCCCTTTTCGTTCTTCCGTTGTTGTGAAGGCCTAAGCTGTTGCAAAAGGACGAGATGTTCTGCGCGTCATAGCAAATGTGATTTATGAAGTACCTTGCCTAGAGGGATAACACTGCATTCGTTCGCTGCCCAGGTTACAGAGAGAGCGCAGATGGATAAGGTTTTGCGAGATACAGTCGGCCTTGCTAAAAAGATCTTTCAAAACAGCGCAGAACAGAGATGATATTCTACAGAGCGCAGTAGATGATAGAAGCGATGAAAGACTGATAGGATGCAGAATACCTTATGAATGGCCTCTGGGAGGGCCTCATAGACATCATCGCACGAAGACTTATAGAATCAATATGCTATATGACGAACTGCATTAGATAGACGCAAGATTATAAGGGCTGCAGCGAGAAAAAAGACGAAGCTTAAGGAGTAACCATATAACTTGGAGATGGCTACCCTCCTGACGACACAATTCTAACAAAGTTTTTGCGTATGTATATGTATCAGAAGAATTGATGCTATCGAACCATAGCTGGTGCCTCATACTCAACCCCTGGCTCCCCGAGCACGCAGCAGTTTGACCACGTTTGCGTTTTCATTCGAAATTGCCCGGTCAAGTGGTGTATCTCCATTCTTCTTTTTAGCTGCAATCTTAGCTCCATGGTCAAGAAGAAATTCAACCATATCTGCTTTCCCTTTGTAAGCCATAATGTGAAGTTCCGTGGACCCTTCCTTATTTTGCTTGGCATCAATGTTAGCTCCTCGATTAAGCAACAAGTTAGCCATATTGGTTTTTCTCTTGGCAATTGCAAGACCAAGTGGTGTGCTGCCGCCATTCGTCTTGGCTTCAATCTTAGCTCCATGGTCAAGAAGAAATTTGGCTGCATCCATTTTCCCTGTCGAAGCCACGGTATGAAGGTCGGTCCAACCATTCTTCGTCCGCCGAGCTTCAATATTCGCTCCTCGTTTAAGCAGTAACTTGGCCACACCTGTTTCATTATTCCTAATTGCAAGAAAAAGTGGTGTGTTACCCTTATTCGTCTTGGCCTCAATATTAGCTCCCTGGTCAAGAAGAAATTTGGCTCCATCTATTTTTCCTTGAGAAGCCATGTAATGAAGTTCGGTCCAACCATTCCTCGTCCGCCGGGCGTTGATATTAGCTCCTCGACTAAGCAGTAACTTGGCCACGTCTGTTTTGTTATTCTTAATTGCGAGGCCAAGTGGAGTCTCGTCGTCATTCGTCCTGGCTTCAATCTTAGCTCCACGGCCGAGAAGAAATTTAACCATATCTGCGCGTCCCTCGGCAGCCATGGTATGAAGAATTGCATGGCCATTATTTCTCGGACTTTCAATTTTAGCTCCTTTGTCAAGCAGCAACTTGGCCGTATCTTCTTTTCCGCCATAAACTGCATCATAAAGTGGTGTGCCGCCATATTTATCCTTGGCCTCAATAATGGCCCCTTGTATAAGAAGCTTTTGAACCACATCTGCCTTCCCCTGTCGAGCTGCAAGGTGAAGTGGTGTATCACGATGCTTAGCGAAAGAATTCGCGCGGTTGGCATCCTCTTTGGCCTGCCGCGCAAAGACCTTTTCCGCGCGGCGGAGCCTGTCGTCTCGTTCGTTGTTTTTCTGCTCGAAGATCTCCAACTGCTTACGGCTGCGCTCTTCGGTGAGGCGGATCATGTCCGCATGCTCCTTGGCTTGCCGCTTGAGGGCTTCCCCCTGGTTATGCATGTCCTCCTCGTACTTCTTTCGATCAGCCTCTATTTGTTTCTTGAGCTCGAGTAATTCGCGCTCTTTGCGCTCGTGAACATCCTTGAGGTCCTGCTTGAGCTTAGCCTGCTCCTCGTCGTTGCGGCGAATGTTCTCCTTGAGCTCATCGTACTCCTCCTTTAAAGCGCGTTGCAGCTCGGCATCGTGCTCCGCCATCTCCTCCTGCATCTGCGTCTTCAAGGCTAGCAGCTCAGCTTGGTGCTTCTTGCGCTCGCGGATCATATCCTCGTTAAGCTGTACGCCCGCCTCAGTATCTTCGATTTGGCGGCCCTTGTTGACGATCTCATCTTGCAGCTCAAGAAGGGTAGTCGAGCCTAAAGAGAGGATATACTTGATAATTTCGAGGCAGCTCTCGCGCGTCCGGTCTAGACGGAAGACGCGGCTGCCTTTCTTATGCATGTGGCCCCAAAACTTCGGCGTCTCAATGAGTTCTCGCTCGCGCTGCGCACCTTCAACCTCGTTGACCTGGTTCCACATACTAGTGGCAAGGACGACTGACGAGTATGCGTTCTCACCGCATAGCTTCTTAAACATCGATAGGTTGCGGAGTGCGGAACCAGCCATGCGGACATCAATGATGCGGTGCAGATAGATTATGCCGCTGAGCTTAGTGCCATGTTCGAACGAGTCGCTAAGCCAGACGGCGATGTTTTGTAGCACCTCCACATCAGACCGGCTTGTGTCATCGAAGCCCGGTGTGTCAATGAGGTGGACGCAGACGTGGTCGTTGAACATGAACTCGACATCCTCGACATCAGCGGTACCTAGCAGCCAGTATTGTTAGTTGGCCTGCTCAATGACGAAAATGATAATTGTATACCCACATGACTGCAAGTTATGGCCAATCTTTACATTTTTTCCAGTACACAAGGAAATGAGAGAGCTCTTCCCAGCGCCAGTGACGCCCATCACGGCAATGTACACATGCTCAATGTCACTCTGGCTGTTAGTGAAGCCATTCTCAGCCGGTGGCGTTTCTGCTGCTGCTTGATTGGGGGGCATCTGGTAGCACTGATCTTCGTCTGTGTCACTTTCCTGAGCCTCCTCAGAGTCACTATCTCCCACACTTGGTGATTGCGCTACGGCTGCTTGGGTTGGAGGCATATGGTAGCGCTGATCTTTGCTTCTGTCCTTTGTCTGAGTCTCTTCAAGGTCAGCTATCACCGATATCTAGATGTTAGCGTTTGTTTATTTAAGGTGTTACTATGTGTAGTGACAAAGGCATACCAGACCCAGAAATGGCTTCTTTTCCCTTCTCATCCCAAAGTGGAGCGATGAAGTGTTTTGCTTTCTCCATAAGCTCAGGCGGGAGAAGATCTGCTTCTATTAGCATGTCCTCCTTAGTCGCTAAGGAGATAATTTACCTTTAATTGTTTGCATTCTATCGACATCGCCCGCTGGCACCGCTTCGAGGAGTGCCTTTGCGTATGCTGCTGCCGACATGGCTGCATAGCCTCGCCACTCCTTGAACCAGTGTCTGTCCGAGTAATCGCAGATACCGCGAATTACTAGGCACGGGAAGCTGTTCATTAATCCTGCAGCTTCCATTTCAAAGCACAAGACATCAAGTTCTTCTGCAAGTATATCTCGAATCTGAGCGTCCTCCATGAAGCCATCGGCCGAAGCAATCAGACCGTAATGAATTGCTGGGTTGTCTTCCATTTCAGACCGCTCAGGCCGTTCTATTAATTTTGCTTCGGTGCCTGGTTTTTGGACAGGGTCGCTTGAATAGAGTTTGTCCGAGTCTGGAGCTGGCCGACCATATTCTCTCTGTAGCCTTCGGTTTCTTTGGAGGATGTTATTAATGGTTGTGTCAATATCATTCCCCCTTCTCTTATATTTTGTGCTGAGTCCGTTTACCGCAGTGAGAAGAGCTCTAGGTGGCCGGTTCAAGTATCTTGCACCTTGAAAGCACCTCTCCTGAATCGTCCTCCCATAATCGTATTGGATCACACCACCCTGGTTACCACCAGTTCCGGAAAATGTTGGAACACTGACAACAACATCTCCAAGACGTATATCATGTTTTTTGCTAGGTGCGCCACCACCAATGCCGACCATCAGACATACCCTCACGTTGGGAAAGGAATGCATCATATCCTTTGCGGCCATTGCTGCGGCCGCCACGCCATTGTCTCCTCGGGGCAAAACTGCTATCACGACGTTGTGCTTTCCAATTCTGCCCAGCGTATAGTGGTTTTCATCGTTCTGATGGGCCAACCTTGGCCCTTCGTGCTCTTCATCGAGAAATTCTTGCGCAGCAGCGTACTCGATTTCGATGGCGCTGATCCACCCAACTGTGTAGTTATTGGGATCCGACATGGTTTTTCTCTGGTAGCTGGATGACAAGCGCAACAAAATGATCTTGATCACCTATGCATAAATCGACGGTATTGCTAAATTGTTTGGGCCATTTATACATGTGAGTATCCATCGCATGAGGCTCTGCTCTCATCCACTTCGTCGGGTTTCAAGGTTGGGCGTTACTTTTCCGCATGCAATTGTATGCATGCATTTAGTTAAAGAGGGGATTGCGAAGAGACACCGAACATAAAACGTGGGCTAATAATATTCGTCTCTCGGGCTGGGAGCCTTGTACTATGCCAGATGGCAATGCAGCGTGGGCACCAATTAACAACTCAGGAGCTAATATCACATATCGCTTATAAAACGTGTACCGATACTATTTGTCTCGCAGGCCGAGAGCCCCGCGCTGAGCCTCGCGTTGAGCCAGATAGTAAGGCGGCTTGGGCACTGAATATGGAACTCAGAAGCTGAGATTCTCCACTGCAGAGAAATTCAAGGCGAATCGCTGTCCAATATAGTAACCCTCAATTGATATTCATCGCTGAGTACATATATTTCTTGCCCAATTCTAAGCTAGTTCAATTCTTGGACTACAACCAAGTTCCATCCACCGAGGCTCCTAGAATAGAGTTATTACATTTCAAGTTTTTGGCTCATTAAAACCACTCTCAAGTACATCTATATACCCGAGCTCAGCTTATAAACTTGCTTCTTAACTTACAGAAGAGTAGATCCATGGAGCCCAGTCAACCCGGCCAAAGCTTGAGCGAACAATTCCCCAACCACTGGCAGGCTAGCACATCCGACAGTAACCTTACGCTACATGGCTTCCGTCGCTTCAAGACCACACACTTACTGAACCTGCGGTATCTCGAGGCCGAGGTTGCTGGAATAGATCATCTCATCTATCAGCTTGGCCTCAGTCTGAATGTGGAGCCATCCTCAACAGATAGGTTGGGGCTGAAGCATTGTAAAAGGGACGAAATACTTCCTTCTACTGACCAAGCGGTTTCAAAGGAGCTTATACTGCAACTCCGTCAATCATTAAAGCAATATGGTATGTATAATTTCTCAAATTCCAATGCATCTTGTTAATCTTGAGTAAGATGAGGCGTTGATTGCTTTTAATACGATTATGTCTATGGACACATTCGCGCTCCTTGATGATGAAAAACAATGCAGCCTCAGAACAGACATTACCTTATATGAAATGTATAAAACAAGGCTTCTGAGGGTAGACCAGACCCCTCGTACTCGACAAGACCCCTTACAGCGTTCCATTCATCAACTTCTACGGTGGTTTCGATATTCGCGGATATCTAAATCATCTCAGAATAACGTCGAGAATGCCAGTCCTTTCGGAATGAATCAGGCATCGTCTTCCCAGAATGCCACACTTATTTCAGAGATAATTTCTCGAGTTATTATAGGAATAGTCACGGCTATCTTTTTGATAGCTCCTCTTATTGCCCTGTCATATGATTCACGGAAGAGCATCCAAATTGTCATTATTTCAATCTGTATTGTGGTGTTTGCATGTCTGGTATCAGTATTGTTGAGGGCATCTAACCTAGAGATGATGGTTGTTACTGCTGCCTACGCTGCGATCATCGCAGTATTTGTTTCTAATGGCCCGGCATCTAGTTAGAACTCGACAGGCATATTTCTCTACATTTCCGCTTGATCCTTGCCGGGTCTGCTATTATTTCATTGGTCTCTTCTTATCTTCATGCTATTTAATAGAGAATTTTAAGGCGTTGGAATTAGCTGTAATTCGCCATGTCCAATCATGTCAAATTCTTGCGCCAATACACACCCACCCTGTAAGAAGAGGATTAAACTTCAATTTAGCGCAGACGATCAATAGAGACACATTAAGCTCAAGATGTCCATGAAACAAGTCTGACATCTTACAGCAGAATCGTTTTTCTAAAATTGTTAACCTTTATATGTCGGTGGGGCAAGAACAATTGAAAGCATCATTGACATCTAGATTTTGCCAACATTGATGTCATTTGACAATCACCATGTCCGGCCACAGTGAATGACATCACGGAAACGCAACCTTGTGAGATACCCAACACAGCGAATTAATATAGAAAGGATAAAAGTGCTTACAATAAGTGTATGCAATTCTTTGAAACCGAAATCATGTTCAGTGCCGCTGTCCGCGTCTCTTTCAGACACTTTATTCCCAAACGCCAATTCTACTGCGCCGCCATTCGCAAATACCCTACACCAAACACTAGTTCAGCAATTTCAAGAATCAAATTTCACACAATGTCTCGCACCGAATCTGGTAGCTTCAAGCCCGTCGGGGAAGCTCAAAGACAGGACCTTCCCGGGTAAATTATGTTGTTAAACATCTGACCAGCAAAGAATGTCCGACTGACATTGAGCTTAGCTTGGAGAAGGACATGAAGCCAACCAGTGAAGCAACCGCTTTGGAAGGAAAGCATGAACATCAAGAATATCTGGCAGCCGGAAAACTAAAAGGCAACAAAGCCTTAATCACAGGCGGAGAGTAAGTATACTACAATTCCATCCTTACTGTAACAAAAATAATAAAAAAAGCAATAAAAAGAAGAAGAAAAGGAAAGAGCTAAAAATCACCTAACAAACTTCACAGCTCTGGCATAGGCCGTTCCGTCGCAGTCCTCTTCGCCCGCGAAGGCTCAGACGTAACCATAGTCTACCTCCCCGAAGAAGAATCCGACGCCCAAGAAACCAAGCGCATGGCCGAAAAAGAAGGCAAGCAATGCCTCCTCATCCCAGGAAACCTCATGGACAACGAAACCTGCCGCAAAGCCGTCGAGCAGCACATGCAAAAATTCGGTGCCCTGCACGTCCTCGTCAACAACGCCTCGAAGCAGGTCATGTGCGAGGACATTACGGAGATTGATCTTGATACGGTGGAGAGTACTTTTAGGAGTAATATTTTGCAGATGTTTGCTGTTACGAAGTATGCTGTGCCGCATATGGAGAAAGGTGGCTCGTGAGTCTTATCCCCTCCCTTTTCATCGTGGAATATACATGTTCATTCTTGTTGACGTATTGTGACTTGCAGCATCATCAACACAACTTCGACTGTTGCATTCAGAGGCACAGCCGCAATGGTAGACTATGCATCTACAAAGGGCGCCATTACTTCGTTTACGCAGTCGCTCGCAAAACAGCTCATGCCCAAAGGCATCCGCGTCAACGCTGTAGCCCCTGGCCCTGTCCACACGCCTCTTCAGCCTGCCTCGCGTCCTGCGGAACAGATGGAGGGATTTGGGAAGAAATCTGGGATTGGAAGGCCTGGTCAGCCGAGCGAGATTGCTCCCAGCTTCATATTTCTCGCGTCCAAAGATGCCGAGCTGTATTACGGGCAGATTTTGCACGCGTATCCTCTCGGCGACTAAGGATTAGCATCTCACAAGTCAAGGAAAGCTGCATTATGAGATTGGGGAAACAGCAGATTACGAAATAGTAGTCAGTTTATTCGTCCAGGTAGTCATCAGTAATACGTAAAACACAAATCTGCAAGCTATTTTTACACAGAAGCCGCACCCCAGAACTCCAATGGCCCCCTGTGGACCGAAAAAGTGTTTCTATCATTACACCCAGTCATCCCATCATAGAAGATATGAAGAAAATTTTACAATACTACGTGAAATTCGACTTCTTGTCTACATCTGAACACGCAAGAGATAGCGCAGCTTTACCTGCGAGACATCGTAGCAGATGTACTCGTTGTACATGAGATATGCGCCGTCTACGTTGGTGGCACATGGCTTGTGGGAAACGTCGGGCTGTTGCTCATGTTAGCAAATGATACTCATACTTTGGTATGCATAGAACGTGGAGTAAACTGAGGAAGAGAAGAAAAATATGAAGGAAGAATCGACTCACAATCTGAATGCCCTTGAGGCCCTCATGCACCTCCCCAGCGTCCTTCCACTTTGGCGGCGCTGTCATACCCATACCCCAGGTACTCTCCATGCCTTGCGACTTTGCAGAAGTGTCGGCATTGTAGCTCGCATTGGTCAATTGCTGCATAGGGTCACCCAGCTTGGCTTCGCAGAGAAGCAGAAGCGCCTGGCCTCCGGAGATGTACGAGCAGCAGTAGTTGGCCGACTTGGATGACATATCAGCCAGGTAGATACCTTTGCCAAACATGTAACCAGAGACGGGGGCTTCCGGCGGCGCGATTCGCAGACCCTGACTAAGGATACCACCGAAATTTGTAGCGCGCGAGCCGTGCCAGAGAAGACGGCGGTTGGCGCCGATCTTGCTCTTCTCGACGTAGTCGTCGAAGCGGATGTTCTCTCCCTGTCTTTCGATTCGGAATATGTCCTGAACCTTGTAAGTGTGGCCATGGCTCTCTCCCTTGGAACCGTGAAGGTAGTCTGAGAGATACTGGAATTCAGTGCTCTCGGGGTCCAGTACCGTCATTTCGTTGAGACCTAAGCTCTGGAACTGCTTATCGAGGGGATGGACCGTGTCTGTTGATTTGTGGTCAATCTTCATAATGTCTGCAGCATCCTTCATGTCTGACAAGCTTTCTAGCAGCTCAATCTCCTTCTTGAGCAGGACACTGTCTCTGATAATGGGAGGACGGTTGCGGCCAAATGCGTGAGGAATGATGGAGTAATACATGTTGGATAGCATTTCCGTGGCATTAGCAACGGTAGTGTTCCACTTGCTGGCTGCGAGAGAGGCATCATCCATCAAGGCCGCGAGATCTTTGAGCTGTTGGAAACCACGAGTGATGGTCGTTTTGCTCAGCTTTCCTAGAGGGAGCTTGTTCGCATCGTAATTCAGGGCAGTCATAGTGGCCTGGAAATACTGCTGGTTGAAGATGAGCTCCATAAGTGACTTGACTTGGGGCTCAAGAGTGCAGTCTGCAATCTTGACCTCTTCATCGTCTTCTTTTTTCACACCGGCCTTGTCGTCGGCCTTGTTGGCATCGTCCTCGTCCTCGTCGTCTGGATTGTAGCTTCGCTCAACAAAGGCATACTTTCCTGGCTTTGGATTATCGCCTCTGTTGTCCCAAGACAATCCAGACTTGTCTTTGAACTTCTTTTCGAAGTTCTTGATTGCATCTGCTGATGTGCCGTTGCCGAGAATGGCACTCTGGCCGGTTTCTCCGACACGGCCCCACCGAGTCCATGTCTTGTATTGATTTGCTTTGGCATCAAATACAACCTGGGCAGACGCGGATCAGTATGTGGTCTATAGACACGAGCTGGACTCAAACTCACCTGAACGCGGTAAAACTTGTTATTGTTGTTGGATGCATTCGTCTGGTTTAGGGAAGCATCGTATATCAGGCCAGAATCAGGGTCAATGTATACCACGGTGTGGACCAACGGGCAGTGCTCGTCTACCGGGATTGTGAAGTCCTTCTTTTTAATGAATTGGCCCTCTGCCACCTGGCTGGCTTCTTCCGTCTCGGGCTCAGGGTCGGCAGCTTTAGCCTTGCCCTTTGCTCCTTTCGCAGCCTTGGAGCCCGTGGTTTTGGCCTTTTTGGCCTCGGGCTCTTCGTCATCGTCGCTCTTGGACACCATGATGGGTCTCTTTTTGCCATTGGTTTGTGGGCCGGCAGACTTGTCGCTGCCCCAGACATGGGTCTGTGGGTCGATTGTCTTATTCTCCTTCTCGGCCTCGAAGATCCAGGCCGGGCTGACCACAGGCAAGTCTTTGGCCTTGCCGGCAGCGACCTTTGCCGTGTTGTTGTTGTAATCGTCTTCACTGCAGACAACGTGGGTTGTGCTTTTGGCGACGGTCTTGGTGACGCTTCCGCCCAGGGATTTGATGAGCTGCTCGAGAGAGGCTTGGGTATGCTTGGAGTTGTCAAACTTGCCGCTGATGGCAATGACGCATCCGTCCAGCGGCGGCACTGCAGGAGCAGCAGGAGCCGCAGGGGCAGCCTTTCTTCGAGGCATGATGGCTGGTGGTAATGTTGGATTTGGGGAGGGAAATTAGGAAGTAGAGAGAGAAGTAATGGCCAGCTTCCTACTAGCGGCTTTTGTAATAGAAGAGCTGAAGAGGTGAATGCTGTGCTGTACAATGCTTGGTTCAACGCAGCGAAGCAGAAAGATTAAAAAGACGCGTCGACAAGATTCAATTGCGCTTTCAATGGCAAGAAAAGAAGAAGAAAAGATGAAAGTTGAGCAGCTTGATGCTCGGGGCTGAAGCTGATAATCGACGCCCATTTTAATAGTCCGCAGATTAGCTCGGGTTGGGACGGATTTCTCAGGTACAGGCGCAAATTGGCCCGGAGCTGCCTAGCTTTTAGTGGAGCCCAGCCGCTAGAAGCTGCGCAGCTGTCCCACTACGGCCGGGGCTGGTTAGCGCTGCAGCTCCCTAGCTTTTGTGGCTCCGGGGAGGCTTTACGGGCTTTACAGCGGGCTTTCCAGGCACCAGCGCGCCTAGATCTCGCTCAGCAGGCGCGCGAGAAGAACGCGGCATCACGTGGCTGGCCGAGAGCTGGGATCTCAGTGGCCTTGCTGCCTGGATTTATGGGGATGCGAGAGCTGGGATGACTAACAGCTGCAGTGGTCAATCTCTTGATATCGTCAGTCGAATCATTCATGTCACGCATGTGCTCAGTCTGGATCAGCAAGGGGATTCAATTGGCCAATGGCTTTGTCTGAGATGGAGATGGTGTCCAGTTAACATTCGTTCTACTGCTATCAATATCCATTTCTCAAAGTTCATGATACTTCAATGTTACCTAGGCATTGGTATTGTATACGGAGTCTAGGTACATGTACATGTAGATGCCCCCAAACAAACAAGGAGCATCACCACTAACCTCCCACCAGCCAACAAGAATCACTCCGTACAGCATAGAGGCTTTCATAACATCTGCCCAAAGCCCAGCTGAATCCATCCATTCAATCGACGCTTAAGGTGGCGCGACACATCCTTCCGGGCTCCTGATCTTCTTATCGCACCACGGATCCGCTGGGTTACCAGCACAGCAGCGAACTGACGCTGCCTGTTTGTGCCATTTCACGTGGCTCATGGGGCACAGAAACCTTGTCCACAGATGTTCGCCAACAAACATGGCCGTGTGTTCGCCCTTGCATTCATTGTTTCTGTGAGTGTGTCAGAGTTGCGCCTTTCATTTGGTCGAATGACAGGTTGATGGTGACTGATGATACTTGAGGGGAGAGATGAAGAGCTATGGTAGGTATAAATGATAGGTGGAAACAACAAACTCAATGTTAACTTACCGAAACATCATGCATCTACCATTAGATGCGCCAACGCCCTCCAACTGTTTCGTAATTTTAGGGTCCAAAGCACCCAGGTCATCTACCAGCCCACAGTTAGCAAAGCTAGAGAGTTCAAACAAAGCGGACAAAGGGCACCTACAACACCAGCTGTGCTTGAGCTTCATCTGAGAACAAGTGGCGTTCTGGTTGTAATCACTGCACCAAGAGAAGGTGACGTCGTTGCTCGCAGCGGGTCTTGACGGAATAAACTCATCATCTGTGCCGGCCTCCTTAACGACGCCGCTAACGTAGAAGTTTTGAGGGTCTTCAAGATACTGGGGGATACTCGCAGCTAGGACAGGGAGCCCAAGGCTGAGAAGTGCCAGGATTGAAGAGGCCTTCATGGTGATTATCTTGCTTTGACAGTTGATGGTGAGTAATGGACAAGTGTGAGTTGTGTGGAAGTGTGAGCTGTACGGAAGTATGAGTTGTATGGAAGTGTGAGTTGTGTGGAAAAGGAGAGGGCCGATCATGGCCTTTATATAATTGACGAGGACAGTATTGCAAGCCACCTATCTGATAGTTTTTCACCTATATGAGATTTTTTCACCGAAATATAGTGCAGATATTGGGGAAAGCTTTTCAATGCGAGGCGAGATTTTATTCTACCATAACTTTGTCTAGTGGTGGCCACGGTATAGCATTCGACATTTGCTATCAGCCAAACCAGATGTCGCCTCATATTTCCATCGGTGCAAACTTAATAAGTGTACCAATGCCGGCCATTTTTGCATCCTGTATTCGGGACATTGGGGCACTCCCCGAAGCTTCAACTACATGTTCAACTCGAAATGTAAAAAAAGACACTAATCGTACTCGAGTATGAGACAAGTAATGCTCGACAAAGCAAGCTGCTTTGAGGCGTGAGAATGAGAATGCAAGTTTCCAAGAATCGCATACTTTTTCGTCCATTCGGCCTCTCTCCACTTATCCCACCTCTGTTCATTTTTATGCTTCTGGTAAAGAGAAATAACTGAAGGGTTATCGCATAAGTACCTGTTCGCTCGGTGAATTAGGTAGACATTGTGAGCGTCCTCAATTTTTCCGGCAGATCAAAGTTACTTTCCAAGCAGTGGTCATATGAATGCGCCATTCACTGGGATAGTTTGGCATTGATTCACGGTGTATGTTGGCCTTCACTGGCATTATTGTGGCAATGGCAAAATAAAAGGTTTGGTACATGTATAGCATCCCGAGTTGGCAAACTGCATGTCACAGCCCAGCGACATCTACTACATGTATAGGTGGAAACGTCATGCCACGAGTAGGTACACGTAGAGCTCATTCATCTCCAATCTACTGTTTTTTCAAGCATATGTCATCACCAATGGCTTCTCCAAACATCGGACACTATCTCTAAATACATTAATTTTCCTCCAACATCTGCCTCTATTGTTTGTTTTTATTGCTAGCTACCTATGATTTTGATCAATTTGTTGGTCACACAGCTGCCAGGACGGGAAGTGGTGAAACCGGCCAATCGGGCGACAGATGGCGGTGGGGACTGAAATTGAACACCAGGCAGCAGCTGGCCCGAGAACATCAAACCAGTCCAGCGCTCTGGACAAAGGACGTGCAGCTCTTGTTCATCTCTCCATGTATATAAACACCACACATCTATCAACATCTCCCCTGTCTCTTCTTCATTCCCAATTTTCTCAATCCATCATCTACTTTCGTTCCTTCTCCTGTTATTTTAGCCAAGAGCATCAATATTTCAGATACCCCATCAGCCACTATAATCCTTAGCCTAGCACCACCAAGACACTACGCTCCCGTCTTCAGCTGCGGCTGTCCATGGCCCAGTCGATAGTTGTTTGTTTACATCTACGCTCTGGCCACTTATTTCCCCAACTTCATCTCCTTCATTTTTGATACCAATTGGCAGTGGCCACCATGTCTCAACAACCCGCAGACATGGCCACCAGCCAAAACGTCCAGTCCTGCCGTCTCCTCCAAATCCCAGCAGAGATCCTCGACAGGATAACATGGCATCTCACCACCCCCGAGCTGTGCAACCTCCGCATCACCTGCAAATCCGTCGAAGAGGCCCTCTACTACAGCTTCACCACTGAGTTCTTCACCCGCAAACAGTTCATGATCTCCGAGTTCAGCCTCAGGGCCCTCGTAGACATCTCCAAAAGCCGTCTGGCGGGACACTTGCGCCACGTACATTTCGGCCTTGACCAGCTCGGTATACACACCACCCCTTCAATGGGCGGGGAGAAAGCGCGCATGTTTGCACAGCGTTTGGTCGAGCAGGAGACGCTCTGGTCACTCGGGCTGGTTCCCAAGTACTTGACCGAGGCTTTCAGCAACTTGCCAAACTTAGAGACGGTGGTTGTCCGTGACTTCAACTCCAACAGGAGATCTCGGGATGGCCCTCACGCTCACTGGTTGAGCTACGGCACGCAAACCTTGCTGAAAGAAACTAGCGTTCGGCCTACGAATCATGGAATCTTTGGTCGGGGCTCAATGGAGTATGGCTTCGTCGACCAAATGTTCAAGGGCATTATCCACGCGCTAGGAACGGCGAATGCCCGTCCAAAGGCCATTGAAGTCATGGAGAGACAAGGCCACCCGCTTTTCGACTCTGCTTTTCATATGCATCCAGATTTTGAAGCTTCCATTATTCCTGTTCTCCGGGGTCTTAAAAGACTGCACCTAACCCTTGAAGCGAACTCGAGCGCTATTGGCGATGACGATCTACCGTATCAACGGCATAGCTTGACCAAGTTCCTACGACACTGTGATGGACTGGAGGAGCTCCGCATCAATGGAAGGCACAGCGCTAGCTTATACGATACTCGCAACAGCCTTAGAAACCTGTATGACTGGCTCACGGCGACAGACTCAACGTCTGAAACAGAAACCCAAAAAGAGGCCAAGTCGCCATCCCCCAATGGACAAACCAGCGATATCTCACTACTAAATGCTCCGATAAAGTTCCCCCGGCTGCAGAACATTAGCTTAGGCATGACGTCCTTCACCGTCGACGAGCTCGTGCGCCTCATTGCGAGGTTCGCCGACACAGTCCAGAATCTCGAACTATGGAGAATCAAACTGGTGTCCGACGACCGCACCCTTGATCAAAGCCAGGTGCTGGAAGACAGACAGATTCTCTTTGCACAGGTGCTGAAAAAGCTGCTAAACATACCCAACCTCAATCTTCGACATATCAAATTGGGTAACATGCAGCAGATATGGTATCCCGTCAATGGGCACCACATCCTGGAGGAGATAAACTTCAAGCCTACTGCAAAAACGAAGGATGAAGACGTGGATGCTGGGGTTGAACGAGTGACTGGGGGGACGTTGCAATACACGGGCACAGATTGGAGACATTTTGTGGCCTATGAGATGATTCCTCGGTTATACACCCCTAGGGTCAAATGTAAGTCTTTGAATTGAATAACAGGCATGTTGTTATTTTTGCTAACTGGTCGTGTTAGATGAGGAAGCAAGTCAAGACGAGGATAACGAAGATGAAGAGGATGAAGACAACGACGACGACGATGACAATGACGATGATGAAAATATGGATCAGGACGAGTAATCTTAGTAGATTTTACATTTCATAGGATTTGGGCCACAAGGGAATTTCCCAGTGTTTATTACTAGATAATGCGAATACTATGCAGTGTCTGCTTTCAACAGCTGGAATCATGACATTTCTCACACAAACGTGTTTCTGGTTCTTTCTTCATTCATTGTATTGGATCTCTCTTCTTCTTTTCTAATATAAATTCAGCGCGCATGCTATACAAATGCCAGCCAACAAGTTTTTTTTTAACTCATGGTATATCCTCCGCCACAACTCAACTTCACTTCACCTCATCATTCCAAAAAACTTATACCAAAAAACAACAAAATCCAAAAAGAGCAGCAAAGCGAAAGAAGAAAAAAGGAACGTGGGTGTCCGTCTATCTAAAGAGCTAAAAAGGCAGGCTTCGCACGCAGTTTAAATAAAATAAAAGAGTAATAATGATATAAAAAAATGATCCCAACACCATTTTTTTCGTCCGTTACTGATTGGTATCATAAAATCAGAGGAGCCAGCCAGCTAGCCCGCTGTTCCCTCATGTTCTATACCGGCCGAAGAAAGAAGAAAGAGGAAGAAAAAAGAGCTCTCATCTTTTTTTTTTTTGTGAGTGTGTTGGTTGGGTCCATGACTCAGATGCAAATAAAAAACACCATCTTTCTTTCGTCAAGAAAAACAAGGCTTGAGATCGTGATAAATGCCATCATACCATGTCGTGAATTCATACCCGCGTTGCCAGTTCCATTTGCGTGCGTCATGATGCAAAAAAGGTCAGATTGGTAAGAGATGAACAAAGGGAATGTGGTAAGAGTATGCCCTCTGTTCAAAGATGCATTTGTGTCGCCTAAGCATGAGCGCAAACGCCGGAAATAGAGATAAAGAACAATGAATAAATCATGAGAGCGATAGCCAAGAAGAGTCCTTTGCTGTTCCAACTTGGCTACCGTACTCGTATACGAATACTTGGGGACAAAGCTAATCAACTAAGTCCCATAAACTCGTTTTGTCGCAGGAAGCTCGAGGCAAGCTCGTCGCCACCCTGCTCAGCCGCTTCCATCCAGTGGACAGCGACGCACATCAAACCTGGATCAGTTCTAACATCACCTTCGTTGCCACCGGAGAGCTGCCCATCGCCAGAGCCGCCATTTCCAGATCCCGGGCCTCTAGAGGAAACACCTACACTGCCAAGACCGCCAGCACCGGGGCCGCCGAGGCCGCCTCTGGTGCGGCCATACTTCTCCATAACCGTTTGCTTAAACACTTCCCTCGGCTTGGACAGGGGAAGCGTTGTTCTTTCAACGTATTCGGGGTTAGATAAGTAGAACAAGGCGAGCTCACGCTGCGCCGTGGGGTATCCTTCTTTAGCGGTAATGGTCCACATTTTACCAACATCGTTAAGTCCATACGTGGTGGATGGGGGAGGGGGAGTACCAGTCGTTGACTGAGGTGTGTCGAGGGGAGTAGCGCTATCAGTAGTTGACTGGCGAGCGTGCGCATGGGCTGCAATCACCTCGTCTGCCATCTCCACCATGGTTCGGCACACCTCCGATTTCAGCTTGAGCGCTGCAAGCCCTGCGTTCCAGAAGGCTTTGCCCTTCTCCGGCCTGTCAAGGATAGAGGCAGGGACAAAGGCAGCGATGAACTGCAAGTCACGGAAGAGAGATTTTGGTCGAATTGAGGCGTCTCGGAAGAGAGTGTAAAGCTCCTTGGTGATGAGGTCTGAGTTGGACGCACCACCAGACACAATAGATCGCGTCTCCGAGTTGGACCCGCGAGATGTGAAGGAAAACCCGGTTGACGGAA